AAAAAGACAAAAAATGGAGCTGCGGGGAATCGAACCCCGGACCTCTCCCATGCTAAGGGAATATTATACCACTAAACCACAGCCCCATTTGATGAAATACGAACGGCCTCTTTTGCTACAATAGGGAAAGCTAAGCTCCTAGCTTCCGATGATCTACCATATTTGATCTTCGTCATATTCCACTAAAGCAGCTTATAAAACATTTCGAAAAATTCCGCATGTGGGCTACATATGCCCTTAATAGTCTCATTCCCAACTGTATGCTATAATCGGAGTCTCCGAATGAGTCTCTGCGCCAATCGCACTCACTCCCTAACGTTGGGTGGATACCCCGGACAATATATATCACACGAAATGATTACCACTGGCAGTTAGAATGGGCTGGATAAAAGCCGAGATCAAGTTCGTAGCTTGGTTGCCTGACACTGATAAGAGTTAATTGCTTCACCAGAGACTCGGATGCGTGCCCCAGGCAGCTGTCCTACTCGTTTAGGTCATTCGGTCCTGTCGGGAGGGACCGACGCGGCGTCGCCGTCGACTTCAACTCACGAACTCCCCAACTCACCAACACACCATCTTTATCAACTCCCCGGTCGGTTCGGAATATCCCCATACTCATTTTGTACTACGTTTAGATGCCATCTCGCGGCAAGGGAAGATAATAAGATACATCCTTCCACACGTCATGAAATGCAGCCACCTGGTCCTAGCAGCAAGAGGTCTCAAGTGACATGATCACAAATAATCCTACAGGTAGATAGATACATTCCGATGAGAGGATTGGAACCATATCTCACAGAAGATGACATCGAACAGAGACTCTTCCAGCACCCCGAGACGTGTTTGTTCAACTCGGCCCCGACCTCGGTCAAGTCTTGCCCCTGCAGTGGCTGAGTGCAACGTTGCAACGCCACATCCAGACCGACCATGCCATATTCCGAATCTCACAAACGTGGAAGGATTCATATTGTGATACTGGATCATCCCCAAAGAATCTACGTCAAGGATGTACCGAAGGGCGGAGAAGGCCCCAGACGTAGGCCAAGACCCCGGATCCCGATATTGGGCAACGAGCACGAGCCGTGGAACCCAGGTGGTATTCCAGCAGCTACCCGGGACTTTCTCAAGTCATCCTGTCATATACCCCGGGGTAATTGCCCCTCTGAGTGATGACATAATAATTGACTTTCCCCGGATCGCTACCATAGATCGGCTGCCCCCCAACGTGCTTGGAACGTATCACAGTCCGCGATTGGACCGGGTTCCCCGAGCTACGAAGTTACAGTCTCGGCCGGGCTCAGACATAGGTGGCTGATGAGGCCATCCCACGGGCCAGCATTCAGGACCACCACGTGAGCAGCTGGGCATCTAGACTGGGTTACCCTTGTCCGAACAAAGTATCGGAGACGAGTCCTTTTGGCCGCTCGAACAAAGAAACAAAAGGAATGAGAAGCCCAGTCCATGTTATGACATCATGGACTCATCATGTAGATTCTCCGACGCTTGCCCCCGCGGTCTATATATTCCAATCTGACCTGCGACGGTCACCACGGAGCCCGAGATCGCGCTCCGATATCACGGCTGCGCGTACACCAGATTCTGATTATCACAATGAGACTACCAAATTTGAAGATGCCCCGTACGAGGCCAGAGAACCATTTCAACGGCGATACACTGCCGCAAGAGGTACCTCCGATCGATCCGAATCACAAAAAGTCCGAGGAAGCGATTGTCGACACGCCCATTCCCCTGCTTACGTGGCGCTCCTTTTTGATGGGCATTTTCGTGTCCATGGGCGGTTTCCTTTTCGGGTATGATACCGGCCAGATCTCGGGCTTCCTGGAAATGCCGGATTTCCTCCAGCGATATGGCCAACAACACTCAGACGGCACATACTACTTCTCCAATGCCCGTTCGGGGTTGATTGTCGGCCTAGTAAGTCCCGCGCATCGAGGATTCCATCGAGATAACTAATTCCACAATGCAGTTATCGATCGGTACCCTGATCGGCGCTTTGATCGCTGCCCCCATCGCAGATCGCATTGGCCGAAAATGGTCCATCAGCTGGTGGAGCGCCATGGTATGCGTTGGCATCACCGTCCAGATCTCGTCACCCGTCGGAAAGTGGTACCAAGTCGCCATGGGACGTTGGGTGGCAGGTCTGGGCGTTGGGGCCCTGTCGTTGCTTGTTCCCATGTATCAAGCAGAAACGGGACCCAGACATATTCGTGGATCGCTCGTGAGGTAATACTACCGACTCTGCTTGACATCTTAAAGCTAATGCTCTCAGCACCTACCAACTATTCATCACCCTCGGAATCTTCGTTGCCAACTGCATCAACTACGGAACCGAGGACCGGGCCGACACAGGATCCTGGCGAATCCCCATGGGCGTCACCTACATCTGGGCCATCATCCTCGGAGTGGGGATCTCGCTCTTCCCCGAAAGTGCCCGCTTCGACTACCGCCACGGAAAAGAGGCCAGAGCAGCCAACACCCTGGCCAATATGTACGGGATCCCGATGAACCATCGGATGCTGAAGCTTGAGCTCGACGAGATCCGCCAAAAGTTCGAGGAGGAACGAGCACGCGGAACAATCACCTGGGGCCAACTCTTCCGCGCTCCGCGCATGGGATATCGCGTGGCCGTGGGCGTGGCCCTGCAAGCACTGCAGCAACTAACCGGTGCCAATTACTTCTTCTACTACGGCACGACTATCTTCCAAGGTGCCGGGATCGAGAACAGCTACGTGACCCAGATGATCCTCGGCGGCGTCAACTTCGGAACGACCTTCCTCGGCCTCTATCTCATCGAGAACTACGGTCGTCGTCGCTCCCTCATCGCCGGAGCATTATGGATGTTCGTCTGCTTCATGGTCTTCGCCTCCGTGGGCCACTTCTCCTTGGACCACGAATTCCCCGAACGCACCCACACCGCCGGGGTAGTCATGGTCGTATTCGCCTGTCTCTTCATCTTGGGTATGCCCCTTACCACTCCCCCCCCCATCTACCCCAACATCACAACCTAATGCTAACAACTCCAGGCTTCGCCTCCACCTGGGGTCCCATGGTCTGGACCATCATCGCAGAACTCTACCCATCCGAATTCCGCGCCCGCGCCATGTCCCTCGCCACCGCATCCAACTGGCTCTGGAACTTCCTCCTCGCCTTCTTCACCCCCTTCATCACCAGCGCCATCGACTTCCGCCTCGGCTACGTCTTCGCCGGCTGTCTCTTCCTCGCCGCAGGGCTCGTCTACGTCGCCGTCATCGAAGGGCGCGGTCGCACCCTCGAGGAAATCGATACCATGTACGTCATGAAAGTGAAGCCGTGGAAGAGCTCCAAGTTCGAGTTTCCGGACCTCGCGCCGTATGATCGTCGGGGCTCGGCGGCGTCGAAGGCAGAGGCGTCGCATATTGCGAGGTTGAGTGCGGGGAATGAGACGGGTGCTGGGGCGCAGGGGTTGGAGGTGTAGGTGGTGCTTTGGGATGTTGGGGGAGAGGAGGCTGGGTTGTCAACGTTCGCTGTAACCCTTGTGTTCTGGCACTCGCGCGCCCTTGTATTACGGACTATCTTTTTGTATACCTATACTACACTCCCTGTCTTATGATGAGATGCTGCGATGTATGAGTTATGAGTTACTACTGGCTTATGATTATTGTTACCCCCGCTGATTGATAATACCGACGTTTCCCTTGTGAGGCAATAACGTTACTCCTTTGATTCAATACCAGATATCAATAAAATCAAAATTTCCACATTCATCTCAGCTGATACGAAGTACTATGTCTGGTTATAAAACAACGATACCTATGCACCCTGCCCATACATTGCAGTAGCACAGAAGTGCGAGGCCTCCATAGTAGTAGTAGGGCTTTCATTGCTTCGACCTCGCAGCCCATCTTTGATAGAAATCAAAAGAATTCCTGGGCATACAACCAATGGTACTCGATACAGACTGGATGCAGAATCATTCATTGTTCATGAAACACAGATCAAAAAGATGTGGCAAAAAGGAAACATACAACAGAAGGGATTCGCTGGTGGTCACCCACCCAACTACTAACCTCCCGGCGTGTGGCTTAAGTACGGCTGAGCGGACGGGAAGCCCTGTTCTCCACACCCTGTGGTCGTATGTACTATTCTACTACTCAGAAGGACCTATATACGCTATATGCTAGAAGTAAGATGCACCGATATCCGCGGGGGTGGTCTGCCGAATCAGGAACTGTCCATTTCCTTCAGCATAGGCAGGTATACGTGATGATACCTTCCCAACGCCCATGAAGTAAAGTACAGCTTGTAGTTCGGATAGCCGATCATGCTTTTCAATCAGAAGAAAGAAAAGGTTAGTCAACATTCGCTGGGCATTCAGAGGATAGAAACTTACCAGGTATTGTTGAAAACGCCTTCCACATCCTCCTGGTACCACTCGCCGTTATTCTGCTGTCGACTCATGATCAACTAGGATACAAAACATTAGTATTTATGATCCCTTTCACGTAGGGAGAGTTACCTTCAGCCCCTTCTCAATCGCTTCCTTGAATGGATACCGCGCATGCATTAGTGCCAAGCAGGCCCACGCCGTATTCACCACCTGGCTTTGCTCATGCTGGACATACATGACGCTAGTCCATATGGGGGGAATTATGGCAGCATTCCTCGCGCCCCACTAGACTCCAGATCCTTGGACCGTAGATAAAAGAAAACAGGAATCGCAACAAGATCCAGGTATGACTGAAATGAACCCAGGAGATAACATGACTGGCGTAGAGCTGGCCTGACTAGCCCCCAACTTTCAAAGAAGCAGAACCACAAAAATTGGTAGTTCGGCTTGGCAGCCATGATTCTCAGGCCGCAAGCCGATCGGGAAGCTTTGACTCCACGTCTACCACGGACCTTGGACAACCTTCTTTTCATTTCATGCTTGAACCAGAAAACCATTCACTGTGAGGTTCATTATTATGCGAGACCGAACCAGACCGACTACATCCTGTTGAAATGGACCTGCCTTCCAACAAGAACCATTAGAGCCAGCCCAAGCATCATTTCCGACAGCTTCGCACGGTTGGCTTTTTTTACGTGGATGGTTCTCCATCCTATGTCTCAAGAACGGTGCTAATCTCAACAATACTCTGAACAGCTGTCAGTCCAACTTGCAATGCACAGTGAGGGGACGCGTAACGAACCGGTACTCCTATCTGCGTTGTACTCTCAAACGCCTTACTCTCATACCTCACCATCCCCAATCCTCCACCACCTCCCGATCTCACATGCTTAAGATACCGCGGTGCACCAGGCATATCCGTGTTATCCGCGATGACCAACGACCCCTCCCGAAAGACCCTCAGGTCCTCACACAACAACAGATCCGGCAAATAGTACTTCTCCCAATGATCGAAGAAGACCATGTCCACTCCACCCCGAGCAATCTTTCCTTCCTCATATAACGTCTTTAACGACTCCGCCGCAGGTCCTTCCAAAACCTGAACCAGATCGTCCAATCCAGCCAGCTGGATAAACTCCCGCGCGACACATACCATCCCCGGATCCAGTTCAAAGGTATACACCCTGCATCCCTGCGCAGCTGCATCCTCCCCATAAAGGCTTCGCAGGATCGCACCCCATGCGAGGGCCGAGTTACCCACGTACGTTCCGAATTCAAGTATCACCTTTGGTTTCACGGGCATGGCTTCCAGCGCGGCACGGGCGATTCTCACCTTCGATTCCCGAAAAATAATCATGTGGGATTTAGTGGTGGCAAAATGTTCAATCGCGGCCATCAAGGCCCACGGGTTGTTTTCGAACGAGGAACGGGGGTGCTCGGCGATGTAGGCGCGGAGAGCGTCGGCACGGTTCTCGGTAGACATGAGGAAGGAGGTGACGGAATCTTGAAGGGTGGAGATGATGGACTTGGACCATTCTGTCCACTATGTGATGTGTCAGATATGGATCGGGGACTCATAAGGGGCATCCACGTACGGAGCTTTCCGACATTGCGGTTGTCGTGCAGAGAACGTGAGCGCCAGACCAGTTGCTCATTTCTGGTTGGGACTAGCTCTGGGCACACATGTGCGTTGTCCATGGAGGGCTCTTATACGTCTTGAAGTAGTGGAGCCAGGATGGACCGAGTTTCTGTTTCAGTGGAGCTATGGCATGAGCTGCGCCGCGCCGTTTCAAGGCTCCGATAAGGGCCTCGGACATAATTGCCGTCTTTGGAGATCGCAGAGGACGTAATCCCGGGCGTGTATGTCAATGCCGAGCTCTAGCTGCACTTCTGTTGCATATATCGTGCAACGACATCAAGTGTCTTGGTTGAGCTGCTGGAGGACTTGCAAAAAAATGAAGGAGAAAAGATCTGACGACCGAAAAAAAGCTTGTTGGGAGTTAGGGGATCCGAGACAGTGGGTCAGGGATGCCAAGCTTCAACCTAGGACTCTTGGAGTCCATTCAGGGGGTTTCGAATGTAAGATCCGGGTCTAGCAACTCTTGTGCCCATGTGGTGTATGGCATGGCCAATTGAATGAGGGACGATCACGAATCCATATGCCGGGACGCATCCACTGACTCCATCGGATCGAACCACCCTTGCCCCGTCGGGGTTTAGTCGCCGCAGTGGAAGGTTTCTTCCGAGCTCAGGAGTAGGTGATAGTTGATCGGCTTTCCGCACACTCATCGGCCCGATGGCAAAAGAACCGTCTCCCTGTCATTGAGTGTGACGGAAGACTTTCATATACTCTTACAAGCCTTTCTGTGAACACGTGTGTCTACCCTGAATATCACTGGCAAATTTCCATCACTGGGATAAGTACCGATTGTTTCTAGTAGTCAGTCGAACTACATACTGCCATAAAGCAATCATCCCATTATCATATCCCTCATCAAAGAGATAAAGGCTGCCAAAACCGAAGGACGATCCAAAGGAGGGGTTATCTTCTCCCCATATCTCATCAATGCCACCATACCCCATCTCTCAAACTGCCCTTTCCCTATTCCCATACTAACACCCCCCCGTCGCACTCGACCCCACACACACCGCCCCCGTACAATTAAACCCCACCGTCCCCTCCACATTCCCACAGAGATACTCCCCCGCATACGTGGTATTTCCCGTAATCCGCAAATCGACTTTCTCAATAGTAATATCCTCGCACGGAGCAACAGCACTACATTGGAAACTCGCCACATCAGCAGACTCCGTGGTACCGGAGATATCCCTGAACACGAGATCCCGGATTTGAAACTTCGAGTTGGTGCAGTTCCCCGACGCACCGGAAAATGTTGTGCATTGGGAGATGGTAAAGGGTGTGCCTTTGAGATTGTTGGTTTTGAGGTTGGTGGCTGTGATGTTGGAAGCAACTGTTTCATTCGTTTAGGGCGTTGTTAGGGGAAAGAAGGAAAATTCATGGGGGATGGAAACGGTTAACATACATCCTAACCCCCCACCGCCCCCGTTAGGCGGATATCCGACCTGATCGCCCGTCCAGGTCTTAAAGTACACAGCGTGGGTCGTTTTTTCGTATGTGATGTTTGAGATGTGAAGATGTTCGACGGTTTCATAAGCCCCGTTGTATTGGCCGATACTGCCGATTGCTATTCCCAGACCGCTGGAGAAGGTGGAGTCTGCGATGGTTATATCAGTGGAGTTGGCTTTGGTGCTGATACTGTCGTCGCCGTTGAGCACTTCCCAGTTGGTGAAGGTGATGTTGTGGCTGTAGATGGTGTTGGCGCCGTCGGTGTTTTCTATTGAAGTAGTCAGATATCGAGGAAAATTGAAGTTGCCAGGGCGACATACGCGCCGAATCCCCATTATCGTATAGATTATTCACGTAAATGGAATCGAACCATGCGTTGGAGGTGTGGATGATGGACATGGTCCTGTGCGTTCAGCTTCCAATGATATCATGGTATGTAGAATGGTGAACCTACCACATCTGACTCTGCACAAACCGCAACCCCCTAAACACCGCTCCCTTCGCCCCCGATACGGTCAACTGATTCGGTCGTCCGGGGTAATTTGATGTCGATCCAACGTATTTGTACCAGGTGGTGCCACTCCCATTGAACGTTCCGTATCCGTGTCCGTCGAAGACGATATCGGTGCCGCCTAGGATCCAGGCCGTGGATTGGTTTTGATATCCGACGGGGAGGGAGTGGTTGAGCCAGTAGGAGATGTTGGTGCTCCACTATATCCTGTCAGGATATGAGAGAGTTGGTGGAGGAATTGCTTGCTTACCAAGAGGGTACCCTGCAGGTCAATCTCAACATCGTCGAGCCAGGTTGTGTTCATGACCGAGTTGATGTGGTAGGTATTGTTGGTGAAAATGACCCGGCCACCAGTACCACAGGTTGTCAGGGCATCGAGGATGGCGGGGACATCGTCAATATCGGAGGAGTTTCCGGGGGTGACGATGCATTGAGATCGAGTGTCGCCATTTCGGGCTACATCGGAGAGTGAGAGGGAGGGGACAAAAAGAGAAAAAAAAAGAATAACGGGGAATGACAATTGAACCATGATGAGGGCTAGGAAGGATATGAAAGAGGCTGTACGTTTAACAATCTCGGCTGGATGAGGGTTAGATAACAGATGTCTACTAAGTATTGTCGAACCCCTCACGCCCGGGGTAGGTTTACCCCGACCTGCATCAGCTCGGATCTGATAGGTGCAGTTGAGGAAAGGGTTTCTCCATGATCTACATGGTCCCCAGGGGTAACAGCCTATCAACGACATGATGATATGTTGGGCTTCATTTCTGCAGAAACTGGATTGCTCATGGTATCTGACTTGCATCTTCGTGGGGACCCTGGATAAGCGGGCCAGCGGAGTAACACTTCCGCGCTTATTGAGGGGTCAAACCTCAACATTCGGTCTGGAAGTGTCTACCTTTATCACAACCTCGTGTATCCATCAGAAAGCATGCTCGCGAAAACAATGATGCCCTGGCATAGATACTGATGGTGCAATCCCCGTCTATCACTCGCCATCGTTCGCCATACAGCCAGCGGCTAAATCCTCATCCTCTCCACTTTCTGACCCAGTCGAACCAATCTTCTTCCATCCCAGGACGCTAAGCGCACATTCCACCGATCGGAGCGATACAGCCGCGACTTATAAAAACGGTCCGAAGCCCCGCCCGTCACTTTGAATCTTGAGGCCCCTTTGCACTTAATCTCCGAGTCAAGAGTACGCACCCCACAGGGAACGCCGAATCAGCGACCATGTCCACAACGGCAACCGACAAGCTACCCACATATTTCATTGGCCATGGTGAGAGACTGAAGGTAAAAATCGCGAGAATATTTCACTGACCACGATGTGGCAGGTGGGGTGAGCATCCTCTTCAAACCCGGGTATGGACCCGTTCAACAGGATCTGCGCGAGATTGGCAAGGAAATCAAAGCCCTGAAGCCGGAGGCAATTGTCATCACCTGTGGCCACTTTCAGAGCGAGAATGATACTATCCAGGGTAAGGATTCAGAAAGAGAGTCGCCTGTCGCTAGTTTCATCTAAGACCATGTGCACAGTAAACCTGAAAGAACCGACAAAGGTCTGGCATGACCTGGGTCCCTCCTGGCATACTACATTCCCGCATGTCTTTGAATATCAATATCCGCACAAGTCTTCCAAGGCTCTGGGTGAGAAAGTGCTGCAGCATTTGGTCGACCAAGGGATTAAAGCGGAGGGCGTGGAGCGTGATCTTGACCATGGGGTGTGAGTCTTTTACTTCTTCCTTGGTTTCAATCTGAGTTCCAAAGTCATTTTCGGACAGGAAGAGAAACGATGCTGATGCCAAGCAGATGGGTACCCTTCAAACTCATGTTCCCGGAAGGAGAGGATGAACTGGATGTCCCCATCCTGGAAGTTTCCACCTATGATGGCAACGATCTCACGGCACATATTCAACTTGGCGAAGCTCTTTCTTCGCTGTACGTTTCCCTCTAAGCTCATTTCGAGGTGTCCCTGATTGGTTTGGAACAAAGTGCCCGTACGAAAGCTTACCCATGCTATAGGCCTGGTCGTATCCTTATAATTGGATCAGGAATGATAGTCCACAATCTTCGTGCAACTCGCGAGGGGACCGCCGGCACAACGGTGGCTAGGTCGGTGGAAGAAGCGGCCTTGAAGTCACTCGCTGCGCTGAGTCCGCGGGACAGAGACGCCCAGTTCCTAAACTTCCAGAAACGTGACGACTGGGTTGACGCTCATCCTACCGAGGAACATGTTCTACCCTTATATGTCACGTTGGGAGCCGGGCGGCAGTGGCCGGAATATAAGGTGTGGAATCAGGATCGGTACATCATAGGCCAGTCCTATCTCTCATTTCGGCTTGGGGCGCTGCCTATCACAAGTAACGAATTAGGGGGTCGTCTCTAATCAGAAGATCAAATGGACGCAGACGACTGCAGTCCAAAATGGAGATTCTGGATCGAAAGAACCTGCGATACTAGGCTCCACTCCGTAGACTGGTCGTTCAGTCCCGGGATTTCCCCAAGGCCGAGGCCAAAAGGGGATGATGGGGCCCTTTGATGACCCTAGGCCTAGTTAGGCTAGTCTTGCGCAGGAGCGGATCCGATAAGCAATCAGATGCTTGCAGCCCTGCTGGGTACGGGGTAATAGACCACCTCCATGACAGTCATCTCCCCATGTAAACCGCATTCGCAAGGACATGCATTGCCAAGTCTGCGCATAATTTCACCAAGAGGATACTCGGACCCGGAGACCGACCAGTATCTCCGAAGACGATGATGTCCGACCGCGCTCTGAGGGGGTATATAAACCTGTCTCATCCCAGGGATAGTTAAAAGCACACCAAATCAGCACTCTTCCCAATTCATCCGAGCGCATCTCCCCTTTGTTCAGCGAGAATTATTCTTTGTCCAAATTTCCCCTACCTCAGAGCCAGCAACCATGTCTACTTCCACCGGCAACGCCGCAGCCTGGCTCACGGCCGCCAAAGCCCACCCTTTTGAGGTCAAGGAGGCACCCCTCTGGAAGCCCGGAGAGAACGAAGTCCTGGTGTGGAACCATGCTGTCGCTATCAACCCCATCGACCATGCCCATCAGACCGTCGCTTGGTGGCCCATGAATTACCCCACGATGCTGGGTCAGGATGTGGCCGGAGAAGTGGTCGCCGTGGGTCCCAACGTGACTCGCTTCAAGCTTGGAGATCGTGTCCTTGGCCACGCAGTTGGCATGGCGACCAGGCGCAATCAAGACAATGCCTTCCAGGAACATACCATTGTGCAGGTCAATATGGCCAGCGAACTTCCGGACAACATCCCATACGAAAATGCCGCAGTCATTCCCCTGGCATTCTCGACAGCATGCTGTGGTCTCTTTCAGGATGAGTTCCTGAAGATGCAGCTGCCAACTGAGCCCCGCGCCCGATCCACTGGGAAGACGCTGCTTGTCTGGGGAGGCGCAAGCTCCGTGGGCAGCAATGCCATTCAACTCGCCGTGGCAGCTGGATACGAAGTTATCACCACGGCATCGCCCAAGAACTTCAATTATGTCAAGAGACTGGGAGCTAGCCAGGTGTTCGATTACAGCAGTCCCTCCGTTGCCGAGGATCTCATCCAAGCCTTGCAGGGCAAGACACTTGCCGGTGTTATGGACTGTATCGGTTATTCTGCTACCCCAATTTGTGCGGATGTTGTGAGCAGGACCGAAGGAACCAAATTTGTAGCAACAGTTCAGGGCCGTTTTCCTACACCACCAGAGGGAGTCAGCGTGAAACAGGTCTTCGGGACGACCATCAAGGACAACTTCGTTGGAAAGGCGGTATATGAGGACTTCCTGCCTCACGCACTAAGGGCTGGCACTTTCGTGCCTGCTCCTGCGCCCCTGATTGTGGGGAAAGGTCTGGCAAGCCTTCAGACCGCCGTGGACCGATATGGCGAAGGTGGCATATCCGCTCAGAAGCTCGTCACTTTGCTTTAAATCAAAGACAGTTCCAACTGCCTGACAGGCGATCCCAAAGCTGTTATGGAATTGATTGCTTGAATACGAATATGCGTCTTGCTCTTGTTTTAGTTGCATTCTGCTTGAAATCAACCTAGGCTGTGTTTATGGCAATGTCATCTCCGTAGGGGTCTTTTTAATGATAGGCTAATTAGTTCGGGACTTCCCATGTGGAGATCCATTAGTGCTTACCCGCGCACAGCCCACTTGCGTAAGCGACTCGTTGGCGCAAACTTCACCTCTTCCACCGTCCACTCCCCTATGACAGTTTAGCAGTAATTAGTCTCTAGTGTCGACCATGGTATACAGTGGTCCCTCTCGAGGATGTGAAACCTGTCGATGGCGGAAAAAGAAGGTCTGTCTGATCTATATCACTCATCTCTGGCAACCTGGGCTAACTCGTCTCACTCAGTGTGATGAAGCTCGTCCGGTACGTTGCGCAAGTCAACTGAAACTACCTGGTACCTTTACCGGTAGAACAAGATTGTATCGTGTTTGCGCACGTGGAATAACATGCATTAGTCGTGCATACGATGTCTCAAATCCAACCGAACTTGCAAAGGTTACGTGGACCAAGCCACCAGCAAGCTCGCCTTCCGATATGTGATTCCCGATAGTGTGCAATCTCCACCACAGCCCAAATCCATGGCACGTAAATGTAGTTTACCTGCTCGAGTCCCGGCTCCTGGTACAAATTTCCTCCCGGATGATGCGAGTCCCATGGAAGAGACAGATGATGGTATCGAAGAACTAGCTTTGCGAGCATTCTTCCACGACTATTGTGTGACTTCAACAAATCATACCATCTCGCGAGGTTTTCTCAATGGCCTGGAGCCAATGGTGCTACGCTGCGGGCTCTGGTCGGACTATGCCAAAGCATGCAAGGCGGTCGCCTTTGCCAGTCATGGCATCAAGCTTCATAGGCCCAGCCTCCTGCGCAAGGCTCAGACGCTCTATGATGAGCTAATTAGCTCCCTGGCACGTGTCATGAGCTTAGTTAACTCGTCATTACTATCCGCGGAGGTGCCGACGGTGGTAATGCTGCTCGGGTTGTATGAGGTTCGTTGTGATTTTCGGACTCTGCCAGGCCCACTGGCGTTATACCTTGCTCATCTTAGGCAGATGATTGTTGCAGATGAAATTTACCCAAGATACCACCAGGTCCACGCAGGAGGTATGGCTGCAATGTTGCGTATTGAGAGCTCCCCGTTGGGACTGGTGAAGGCTGCACAGTCAGGTCACCCGCTACTTACCCGTGGCATGAGCCAGGTAAGAAGCCTATAGAAGACGGTATTGACAAGCCTAACACCTTTGTTACCAGGGACCTTTCTTCGTACCATATATCGGCAATGAGCATCAAGAGCTGGACAGCATTCTTCATGATACATATGGCATATGGGGCAAAATGAATCTATTTCTTGCTGACGATGTAGAGGCCCTTTACCTTCTTCAGGAAGAGGCACTTTTAATCAATCAACGGTTTTTGCAGTGGCAAGATAGCGTTCCCACAGATTTCATGCCCACCACTGTCGGTCACCTACCGCCAAGATCGTCAGCAACAGCCCCGACAGTTGGACACTGGCCAGGTCCAATCGATGTTTATTTCGACCTGTACACTGCAGCAGTCTGGAATATCACGCGTGTGGCTCGATGCTTCCTCATTGACATTATCACAAAGATCAGTGACACCCTCCAGGATGGCAGAGACTATACTCGTGAAAAGATAGATGCCGACCGCCTCCTTAAGGAGTTGCTGTCTTCCATCCCATATCATCTCACCGAATGTCTACCAGATTTTCTTCGGCATATGTCGAAAGTGTCAGACATCCAAACCCCTGGAAGGGCCGCCGGGGGCCTGTTATTGATGCATCCCATATATTTGCTTTGCCAGCTATCCATCGTATCCTTGGAGATACGGGAGTACCTTACCCGATGTCTGGAGTGGATTGGGATGAATATGGGTGTTGGACAAGCTTCACTCCTCGCCAAGGTACGTGAGCCTTTTTCCCATTCTGCGTTTAGATATCCTTGCGAGTGACTGAGCCTTCGACAGCAGAGTAAGGAGCCTCGAGTGGACGACCTTCTTTCGGGGTGTATGATTATCTGGACTGGATTCCTGCTGTAGCGGAACGCGGAAACTCGATTTGATGGACATTTCGGCAGTTCAGTGTTGTCTCAGTTTGCTACACTGTATTAAGCAAGAAGAATAACATCATTCAGAGCGTTTTTACTGCATCACTTTATGGGCTGGCGATGACGTTGGGCAAGAGAGTAGATCGCAATCCTTGCTTATTCGGCTTAACATGGCCGTCACCATACTAAGCACTAGTCATATTCCGGGAACTGCGCAGTCAGTGTCAGTTATTTGATCATTGGTCAGTCGTTGGTTGGAGAAGCGAAGGATGGGGTTCTCTATGCAGTTCACCCGATATCGGCAACCTCCACTCTATCCCCCCGTCGACGACAATTCAGTCGATAGAATGCATAGTCATACAATAGGTCGGCGTTAATCCCTGCATAATGTAGAATCTGCGCCAGATGTACTCGGCATAGAAGCTGTGGCTATCACGAGAGGTAACTTTCGGAGAGGATCCATATTCCTGATTGATGGTGTGGAAGCGGAAAGTCTGGATCTCTGGGACGGACGGAGCGGAGGCAGCAGAGGAACCGTCGCCCGGGCCGCTTGGTGCCGAGATGCACTAAGCCCGATTGAGCCGTGGCGGCCAGCTCAGCTGACAGCGCCAACAAGCGGCTGCATCTCGAGACTCTCTTCCACCAACTATTGGTTTTACGTCCTCGGCAAGGACCTGGGAGGGATGACAGCTCCACTGGCTTGCAGGCAATACGAATGACTATGCGCTCCCAATTCGATGAGCTTCAGTGAAGACCTGCAATGTAACAGCCGAGAAATGCCCTGATGCCCTGATATACCAAGGCATACCTAGCGCCTTTAAGAGGCGGACACGCCCCAGCTGTGCGACCGGTAATGCCTCCAATTGAGCCTGCTGCATAACAAGATGCTGACCACTATCGCCCAGTCTTTCCAGTCTTACGCCCTTCGCTTGGTACAAGACACTCTGAGGCGGATTGCAGCCCCTGTGACACTAGTGGACCATCTTGATGGCAAGAAGCGTGTGTTGTACGACGACCCAACAATACTGGGTGCCGATAAAGCGGTCATCACCGTCAAGCATGTGAATTTCTGGAGAAGAGTTCTACTAGATTTTGACCTGGTAAATATCCTGAGTACTCCAGATCGAGTGGACTGACCCAATTAATGCCTGAAAGGGATTCGCAGAAGCCTTCATACTCCAAGAGGTGGAATGCGACCAACTAAATATAATCTTTGACGTAAGTGTCCTGGGCGGCAACAGAACCGAGAAACGGGATCGCGATTCACATATGGTCTACTCAGTTGTACATTCAAAACCGCGCGACCCTCGATGCCGGTGGTTCACCGTTTGAGCTCATTCACCGATTAGCCCAGTGGTGGAGACCGAAGAACAACATCGACAATGCGCGCACCAACATCGCATCCCATTATGACACTTCAAACGGGCTATTTACCAGTTTCCTCTCAGCGGATATGAACTACTCCTGCGCGCATTGGTCGAATGATGCCACGGAATCGCTTCAAACAGCACAGCGACGAAAGGTACACTACATGATAAAAAAGGCTCGGGTGCAATCTAACCACCACTTATTGGACATTGGTTGCGGATGGGGAGACTTAATCATCGAAGCAGTGCGACTGACTGACTGCCAAGCGACCGGCTTGACGCTCTCGGAAGAGCAAAAAGGTTTGGCGGATAAGCGGATCCGTGACGCGGGCCTCCAGGACCGCATTCGTGTCTTGTTGTGCGACTATCGCAACGCCCCGCGGCCAGAAATCGGATATGATTGCATCATTTCAATCGGGATGTTCGAACATGTGGGGTCGGAATATATGGATCAGTATTTCGAAGTGGTTTCGGACTTACTCAAGCCTCAAAATGGCGTGGTAGTGATTGACGGGATAACCAAGATACATCCAGTATGATCTTCTCCCGTTTGACATTTACCGACCATCTAACATTAGCAGTTCCACGAGACTAATCCCCGCGTGGGCGACTACATCAATCGCTACGTCTTCCCGGGCGGGTACCTCCCCACACCAAATATCCTCTTCGAGTCGCTGCATCGAGGCAGCAAAGGCACCTTGGAAGTGTCCTCCGTTCTCAACACTGGCCCTCACTACGCCAAAACGCTCCTGGCTTGGAGGGATAACTTTCTTTCCAACTGGGATCACATCCGATCGGATTTTTGCGCTCGATATCCTGAAGCCTCGCAGATGGAAATCGAAGCATACCGACGGCGCTGGCTAGTGAGTGCTTTTATTTATCGAATGCGGCATCTGCTAATGCGAACAGTACTACTTTGAGTATTGCGAAGCCGGGTTTCGGAATCGCATTTTGGGAAATTATACAATTTGCGCGGTCCGCACTCCTGAGGCGGTCATGGACTATAACAACTTGAACATCGACGATGCGTAGAGTATCGGTCTATAGAAACAACCATATTTTTTATTGGAGCCCGGACTTTGCATAATACTCGGCTGGCTAGTCATCTTCCCACTGAAATAAGCTTAACTTAACCTTTTGGCCTCAGCGAAGCTGTTACGACTGGAACGACATCCCACCCAGAATGTCGGCACAGTCTGACAATAACGGAGTTCCAGAATACCAGAATTCTTGATGAGTGCGATTTTGGTCCAAAATAAACGCTGTAGGCTAAATTGGAATTACGCGCAAGCCAGGTAAGGTTAACCAGAATGTGATTTCAGCTCACTAGAGTTCAGGAATTACAAAATGTGAAGCAAAACCAACATCAGAAAAATTATGACAACAGTAACTCGAACGCCCATCTCTGTACCCTCAAATATTTATAAGTGCAGGTACCCACTTGTTAGTAAGTGAACTCGCAAGTAACTCCATGATCCCGGGAACCACATCCATCCTGGAGCGACTTGGTGGTGCTGCCGTACTTGATGTACCCTCCCTTCAGATCCGAGGCGTCCTCATCGCATCCCTCGCCATTATAGACGACAATGTCATCACTCAGACCAATGCTGGAGGCACCGAAAGTCTGCGCCGAACTACCGCTCTCAAAGTTGGTGCAAACAACGGCGAACTGGGCAGATTCCCAAGCGCCGTTGTTGGAGTTGCAGACACGGATCCACGGATCGAGGTTGGTTAGCATTTTAGCCGATCAATCGGTCGCATCAGTCAAGGCAGGCTTACCCAGGGTTCAACGTGACCTTCTCCGTTAGGTTCATAATTGCTATCACGAACAGACGTGTAGTGGATCCAGAAAGTGCCATCGGCGGGTTCGACTCCGAGGGCGTTGAGACCGCTCTCACATTCCCAGAGGGCAGAGGCGAGTTGAGGCCCAGCAGCAAGGGCGAGAGCCGCGGCAGCGATAAGGGAAGAAGGGAACTGCATGTTGGATGGATTAAAGAGGAGCTTTGTGAATGAATTGAGGAGATTGAAATGTGGGTTTGATGATTGAGTGGTTGCTTGTCGCTGTTGATGCTACTGGACTGAGGGGGAGAACACCGCCTTTTATATCTCATCCTCCCATGAACAGCCCCTCCTCAAATTGCTTCGGATACTCTCGTCGCCTGGTCCTCTGACCATATTTGCCAAACGGCATAGCGAAGCCGGGACGTTGCCAAGATCCCGCCCCCAAGGCTGTTAGGAGCGGAAATGGAGAACCAACACAGCCTCACGAAGATTTAAGGTATTTCCCGAGCCTTTGGTTCCTCAATCTCATCAGACTATACCATTATGTTAGCCTGAATCCTGACATTTGGCCCCAGTACCATCGTATGGACGCGTGGCTCCCGGGGGCGCTAGTGGGTACACCTCGGGCACTACCAAGTACCAACGGGGCCATTGGCCGCAGCGGCTGGCCCCCACGGTGTCCCAGGCTTGCAGAACCCCAGCCCCGCGTTAGGTTGGATCGGGAATGTTTGCAACGAAGATAACGTTTGCTGCAGGCTGGGGCTTATGACGAGGCTCGCAGTTTAGCCGAGTATCGCCTGCTCGGAGAAACGGCGATGCACACCATGATGCTCCTCACAATCCGCCAATTTGGGATGTAATCGCTGCCGTAACTGATTATGTTCTCAGAGACACCACCGTCGATGCAGGTATATTTCAGCCCACTGTACATGATCACTGTCGGTTCTCACTAGCTGGTGGTGTACCATTGTGGAGACGGCCTGTAAACCGTAACTAACTGAAACTAGGTCATCTTCTGGGCTGTGCCTTGGGTCTGCCATGCGCCCCGTGGCGACCTGACTTGGGCTTCTCGTGTCGTTGGGGGCCGCAATCATGCAAGGTGAAGATATAGCCCCAAGCTCTTGATAAGACGGACTATCTCCGACCCTGCTATCATATAGCCGAGTTGCTCTTCCCCTTAGGACAATGATATTGCCGAAGCCGCGATCTCTCCTTCCCAGGAGAACCCGCGGTCCCGATGCCTCCATCACCACAGTGCCAGGCAGGACATGGGTTAGCACGGCGACCGTTGGTTCATAGACCTCATTCCATGACTGATTCCAGATTGAACTTATTTGGCCCTTACAAGATGGTGTACAGCGAAGGTAGGAATCAATTCCAGTGTTTTGACATACAAACACGCCTCGTACCTTCACGCAGGATGTTCTGGGAGGCAGCAATGATGTCCACGAATGTGCCTTGACTAATGCCCGTTCTTCCACGGTACACTATGATTTCTTGAGCTGACTTTTGTCTTGAGTTAGACAGCAGAAGATTTCGGAGCCTCTTCTGACGATACTCTTGCGATAGCCGTCATAGCCACTCTTACCGCGACAACGGGACACCAGAAACTCTGGAGCAAGTCGGCCAACTTGTTGATACGTCATGAACCAAGGAGTTACTTGCACTTATTTCTTCCGCTGCAGACTTTTTGACTGCAATAAGCAGCAGTATCCGACCGGAGGATTTTCGCAGGATTGTTGTATGAAAGCGGAGCTGGGTAGAGGGACTTATTCAAAGCCCATTCCTTCATTCAACCCTTTCAGAGCAGTCCAGTACGCGATCATCGTCGTCATTAAGCTTGACTATGACTATTCCGGGATGGCCTCCCATATGCATCTTCCAGGGCCCGGAGAACGACAAGAGCGAAGAGCTCGAAAGATCAGCCGCCCTGTACTGGAATGCATAGTTGCAAAACATGGTCACTGCCCATGCACCAAGGCCCAAAAAAATCGCACATGTCCCTCGTCGGGCGTTGTTTGGTGCAGCTATTTACCTGTTCGGTGAGCTTAGCACGTGCCCTCCCCGGCACTTCATTTTCCCGACTTTCAGGCTCCAACGATGGAATGATGAAGCTCATCGATCTTCACCTCATTTTTGCGCATCAAAAGATACCGTAGCACCTCGGACAACAGGACGCCGACTGTGCCACGCCATCGGATCATCGTGGACATCAGAACGTCGCCACGAGCAGCCACAAAACGACAACAATGAGTGGGGCTCCCCCGGTTCTAGAAGGATACTTGATTTGGAATTAATTCTGCAGTTGCGGATCCACTTCCAGGATCCGGTCAGGGTCTGGTGGCGCGGGCCTTGCCTTGCTTCCCGCACCAGCTGATTGCAGCTGTTGGTGATGCAAGAGGCGATCCCTTCAGAGGAGCGATGAGGCATCCAGGCCGCATGAATGGGGAAAGAAGAAGTCACGGGATGTCACGAGCGGGCGAGTTCAGGCGATGATTGGCTGGAAGTTGTTTCCGTCCTGTAACGGCCCCACGAGTGCCACTCTTGCCTCGCCCGGCCCTTCTCCATAATCCATTTCCTTCCTGGTAGCTATCAGATTCAGATGCCCTCCTCCCTCTGCCCTTTTCTCTCCCTTTCTTTTCTCTCTCTCTCTCCTCTCTCCATCATAAGTACCATCCACTGTCCACCTCATCCCATCTCGTCATGTTCTACGCTGGCTGGACCATTGGGTGCTAACACTTGTGTGTCGGTTGCGCCCCGCCGCAATACAATACATTCATGACCTCGGAGCAGAGGCAACGGCTCTTGGCCCCTGCAGCCTCCAAGGACCCGGTGCCACCCCCATCGTCATCCCTTCCTCCCCAGAGGAAGGTTTCCACCGCCTGTTCCAGTTGCCGATCGCGAAAGGCAAGGGTATGTTCACGCATTTTCTCAAGATTCGTCCTTTGAACGTTTACAAAGTTGACCCTGCATATCTTGCAGTGCAGCGGAACCGCACCATGCGACTGGTGCACCAAGCATAATCTTGCCTGTCGGATCGACGAATCGACCGACTCTCGCCGGAAGATCAACATCAAGCGCAGAATCGAGAGCTTGGAGGGCGATTGCGATGTCTTGACGCGGATCCTGGAGAGTTTGCGGAACAGTGGCGTGACGCGGATGCGCTCTCTGCTACAGCTGATTCGGAGCAATGCGTCTCTGGAGGAGCTTCGGCTCTTCGTGGATGACCGCCTGGCAAATGCGCGTACCCTCGATTCCGCACTAGAGGACGATGAAGTTCCAATGCCCGATGACACCGTTTTCAAGATCCCTCGCAGAGTGATGGACATCAAGCGGCTGGCCGATCAGCCCGTCTTTCGGGTCCCCGCAAAACCGTGGACCAGGGTGACGGACGACGATGACTTCGTATCCCATCTCATATCCCTATACTTCACCTGGCGCCATTCCTGCTTTCCATGCATCGATCGCGATCTGTTCATACGCGACATGAGAGCCGCAAAGCTCAGTTCCCTATTCTGTTCGCCATTCCTAGTCAACGCTGTTCTGGCGGACGCATGTGTAAGTACCATTCCCATGGTCTCGAAATGACCACCATCATCTGCATTTTGCCTGCTCATTCGATCTCGGTGCAATGAATTAGGCCTACTCCGATTACGCTGAAGCATACGAATATCCGAGCGACCCGTCCACGAGAGGTACACATTTTTACCAGGAAGCGAAGAGATGTTTCGAACAAGAGGACGGCTATTCAACAATAGCTACGGTACAAGGACTAACGGTTTTATCGACCTGGTAAGTGCCATTCCATCCCTTAGTCTCAAGACGACTCAGAGGCGCTGATGGTGTGGCTTAGTGCATGTCTAATGGGGAAAGATCGACGGGGCTGGATATACCAGGGCCAGCTCGCCTTTGCAGCGAAGGAGCTCGAACGTACCCTTGCCTTGACACCACCTGGCCCCGTCACCGACAAGTCTGAAACAGAGCGAGCAATCGGGGTTACCCTCTGGGGGTTGTATATTACCACAATGTATGATAGACCGATGAACCTAGGGAACATAACTAACCATGACCAGTGCACACGCCTTTGCTTACCAGAAACCACCGCTGGTCGAGAGACCCCGCTACCCATACCCACCGAGCTGTCACGATGACGACAGTCCGCTCTGGCATCCCTATCCGCAAGGAGGCGATGGCCTTGAGGGGCATTTCAAGTGTTACTTGAACAGCTTGTCTAGCCTTACAACGATTGTGGATGAGTGGTGCACATTACTGTTCGATGGCTTTACGAAACCCGCTCTCGACGAGATTCGAGACATGGCAAAGAAAGCCGATAGGCTTTTACTGGAGTGGGAGATGGCACTTCAGCCCTGTCTGAGGATTGAGTCTGGGCGTGTGATACTTCCTCACGTACTATGTCTTCAGTACGTCGCCCCCGGAAATATGAATGCCGTTAGTCTAGTCTGACCAGATTACTCAGTATGTATTATCATGACATTCGTATCACCGTAACGGAACTGGCTGGAGCCGCAGTGTACGGAGCAGACAAGTGGTCGAGCCCGGATCGGCATCCGGCACATATGTCTCTGTCATCCGCGCGACAGATCGCCTGGTTGATGGACGTGCATCGATCCTTGTGGGGCATTGACTTGTTTCCCGCGAGCCACATTCAGTGGATTACAGTTTCCATGTTCACTTTGCTGGGGGCACTTGATGATCCTGCCAACCAGGAGGCGTTTGTGGCTCTCACTGCAGCGGCGAAAGTCGCTGCCCGGCGCTGGCCGATTGCCAAGGGCACCTTGCGAGCGATCCAGCTGACCGCGCGCAAGATGGGGGTTAGGATGCCACCGGAGACTGACGCGCTGTTTCTCGATTTCGAAAAGGAAATTTGGGGCGCGAGAGGTCGCAAGGGTCTAAGGAGCCTGTATCCCAACTTTGCAGTTTTGACAGGATCCTTGCGGGATGAAGAGGTAGAGCTAGACAAGTTTCTAGAGAAGGAGGATGGTGTCGACGCTTCTGATCTCGAGGAACAGGAGGAAATTGAGCTATGACAGCCCTAGTTTAGATGAGCCCGAACCCTGTTTGGCGGAGATGCTGGGTGGATATTGTCAGGTCCAATATAGTAAAACAAGCTCTCAAGGCAGAAGAAAGGTTTCACTATAAAAAAGTAAGAAAACTATTACAGACCCAAAAAAGGGACTGTGAAATCAATAATGCGTTAGCTGGGAGTCGAACCCAGGGCCCAACCTCGCAATCTTTCACCTCGCGGCGGAGATCATGGAAGGGTTGAATGTTACCGTTACACCACTAACGCGTTTCGTTGTAGGGTGGCGAAATTCTTGCTCTCTCAATCAATTGAGCTAGTCCTCTGCTGTGTTGAATCGATAAGAAAAGCAACGATAGCCAAGGTCGAGACCAGCCACCGCCGATGCATCGGATCCCCGAACCAGGCTGTCATCACAGCCACAAGATGATAACCCCGCACTGGACTGGGCGGGATCTCCAACATGCCGCGATCTTATCTTAGTTTCAGAAGAGTTACATGAGTCAGTCTCTTCTCTGATGATCCAGGTACAAGACCAGAGACCCTTTACATGAAGTAATAATAGATCCGACTCGACTCTCATCTCTTACGTACAATACTCTTCCCCTTCATATCTCCCTCCTCTCATGAAATTAACTGAGATGTCCACAGCCCCTAAAATAACCACCCTCGGCCACCGCGAACTCACGACGATCAATAATCAACACTATCAACGCAAAAAGGGCACCGAGGAATGGATCCCTTACTACCCGGACACACCACCTTCAGCTTTGGCTTCTGGGCCCGAACCGGTCTACCTCTCTCTTATTCGCGAAGCCCAGGGCCCTGGGGAACCGCATCACTGGGCGCTTTTTGTGGCGCGGGAGAATCAGTCCGGGTATGTGTATCAGGTGAAAGGGGATGCGGAGTTCATGAGCTATGAGCCGTCGGAGGGGGTGGTGGGGTTGGAGGTGCTTGAGGGGAGGGTGGATGTGTTTGTGTTGGGGGTGTTGGAGGCTGGGAGGGGGGAGGAGATGGTGAGGAGGGTTGCAGGGGAGGAAAGTCCGCCGAAGGCGCGCAGTCGGAGGGAGGTGAGGGAGAATTGTCAGGGGTGGGTGGTTAGGGTGTTGGAGAGGTTGGTTGGGGCGGGTGTTTTGGGGGAGGAGAAGCTGGGGATGGTGAGGGGGATGATGGAGCCGGTTTGATCTATTTTTGTAGGTTTGGACTGGATGAAAGTGGCTATTGAGAGATGAGTGCTATAGTGACTTATAATGCTGAGGTCAAGGGTGTTAGGAGAGGATCACGCTATTTCCGAACATAGACTGCCATCTCGCAAAAGTTCGTATCGGGTAAAAAGGCGTAGGTGTTGTAGCAGTTCCTCAGCATGTCAAACACTCTGGGAGTCACCGGGTCGGTGGATGCGTAAAAGTCATCTTCCGGTTCGTCTCCAGTCTCGATATCACTCTCTTCCACCTTCACCCAGATGATAATTGCTGGTCTGGCAAGTTCGGTGATAATCTCCTTCACAGCCACGTTGGACGCACAACTGAAGACAACTGATGATTCGTCGACTTCCAGATACCCTTGAGGATCGTTCACGACCTGCATTCCGTGCTCAGTAAGGGCTTCTTTATCAATTTCGTTGTACGCTGGGTCCTGGATATAACACGGAAGCTTATGCTCTGCGGTGCCACCCGCATCTCTCTCGAGGAGACTCCTAACTGTCAATAAGAGCGCATGCTGAATACCATACCTGAGACTCGTGCTCTCGTCAGATGGCCAGGAGATTGAGGCGCATGAAAATCAAACAACCTTATCAATACGGTGTCTGTACAGGACGGGATCTAATGTCTTCTTCAGATGGGAACACGTCTCGCTCTCCTGCCAGCTGCTGACTGACCGTTGCAACAGAGTACGAGTCTCATCCACAGTATGTAAAGGGCGAACGATGGGCACCTTAGTAATAATGTCCCTCAGCCCCAACGAATGTAGGATGTTTATGCTGCAGTAGGTGGACTCTGCAACCCCGAATTCTTTCGCACATCGTTTGAGGTCGGGAAAGGATTGATAGTGCATTTCTGTAGATCTATCCCTCGGGAAAGCACTCAATTGTTAGCCACTGGAGAAGTCCCTGGGTGGGACAAAGCTCACACAACATAATACTCCAAGCCTTCCTCATCTGGGAGCATGTCTGCTTTTCCCAACGGTTCCCATTTCACTTTGACCCCATCATACCCAATTATCCGAATCTTGTCTCCTTCCCGGAGCGGACTGCTGAGCTGCTGTTGCACGTTTCGAAGCGCGTCCTTGGTAAGGAGCGGTCGTCCCTAGCTATACCATTTAGTCAAATTGGAGATAATCTTCTTAATGGTTCTCGGGCGATTGTGTTGCGGGCCAGCCCAGTGGGACCGGTTTTCCTGATAAAATGTCTCGTGGACCATTGTGCGGTAGGTTGATTGATGTTCACGATAAGTTCCAGTTCTGGGAGGAGGGAGAATTGGCGTTTGTGCCGCATGGACTGCCGGTGTTGGGTTTGTTTGCACCGCGTGACTGCCTTACTCGGCGAGGCTGGTAATCCACAGCCTTGTCCTTACAAAGCACGATGTCTGGGGGGTTTGAAGGCCTGCGAATCCTCTGGCATTACCTGATGTCATGTCTTGTAATGCTTGAAAAAATCACTCGGCTGAGATGCGTTGATTGTTATGAGTCATGAAGTTAATAGCTAGCGACTATAGATAGTATATCTTGCTGGTGAAGCTTTTATTTTAGCTCCGGGTGAACGGTCGCGTAGATACGCGTATTCCCCGTCGTAGAGTGTGGTTGTGTATCGAGAAGGAGTAGTTGGATACTCTTTTCTCAACCAGGTAGATATCTACGTCTCTAGATCTTGTGATAGGTGAGATCCACAGATATATGTCAGAATTGTCCGCGGAAGTGCGACTGCGTAGTATATGCAGAGTATGGGCAAGAATAATCCTAGGTAATTGACGATGGGTTGTAACCATAGCACACCCAGGATATGAAGTGAATTTGAAGAGAAAAGCAAGAAAATAAAACGACAAAACCAATCATCTTAAGGGGATGGATGGATGTAGCGTAACCCAGAAGGGCAATGAAGATTGTGGAGCTCGGGAAAAAAACAAAAAGGAATGACAAGAGTGGGATTCGAACCCACGCCATCAAACGATGACCAGGAAGCTGTGAAGCTGAATATTAAGGTTGACCTTAACCTGACGCCTTGGACCAACTCGGCCATCTTGCCTTGCTTATGGATCGAGCTAGAACATTTTGTTAAATGAGTCTTCATTAAAGTTCAAGCTATCCGTTTGCCCAACATAACATATGGTATTGACGAGTACCCCTCATGAAGGGCGCATTCAGAAAATTAGTCAATCAGTGAAATGGATTGTTAAACTGCAGATTGCTACCTTTCGTCAAAGAGTTGCAGCTGATCAGATGGATTGAATGAAGATCACGTCGAGGGAGAGTAGTTCGCCAGGGAGAATCCCACGCAAGTATATATTGGAGGTCCGGCCTCCGACCAGATCATATAGAATCATCCAAGCTTCACGTTTTCCATCAAACTTCCCACTTCATTAGCCTTATAAAGCCTTGCTATCTGCCTGGTTCAATTCACAATGTCCAACAAAACCTACGAGTATGGCGAATTGGTCGTCACCTTGACTACAGCATTTGATGTCATTTGGAACGACAAGGGAAGTGGTGCCACAAGGGACGGGGGGTTTTAGACACTATGGCTATTGGGAACTTCAGTACTCTGAATGGCAAGCGAGCAGCACTTCTGGTCGGAGCCAAATTCCTCACTGGCACCAGCCCCGCAGTGAGACCACCAACTGACTATACCCAGCTTTGGGCCAAACAGGACAGCGGGGCTAACGCGGATGGGTCCTTCTGGCGACCCATCGCACCGGCTGGCTATACATCAATGGGTCATGTCGTCCAGGCAGGGTGGTCGGTGCCTTCGCTCAGCAAGATGTGGTGCCAACGACGACGTTTACGTGAGAGGGGTTGACCTATGATGGACGGTTCCTGCCAGGGGGTAGATGTGTTACACGGATAAACCACCTCTACAGAGTATCTGCCTAGTATTTGCTATCTGTTATCTGCAACCTTATTTCCGGCTGGAGGATTGTCTGTGCCGGAGCTAGTGGCTGGCCAACACAGCGCCGTCGCAGCGCCGCCGATCGTACGGAGTAGTCTCTGACCTTCATCTCATGATTCATGCACTGGCGTCTACGCTTACACTTGGCATCCATGGTAAGTAATGAGGTTGGCTTTTATTTGCGACTAGTGCTATCCGTCCCATTGCTGACTATTTCCCACCATAATCAGAGGCCGTCGAAGACTCGCTGCCTTCCCACCACTGCCGTCCTGCCCGCAATGTGAGAACGAAATACCACCAATCCGGACAACCAAGTCAAATCACAGACATGGAGAGCAAAGCAAGTTGCAGCCGTCTAGGTTGAACCCATCAGAAGGGACAACATCCGGGAAATCCCTTTCCCCGTCTCCAGCCACAGATGGGGTTCGATGGCTTCGATCTCCATCAGCACAAATGACCGATCATCCGTGATGAAGCCGTCGATCCGCACATAGCCTCTTTCCCCGGAGCCCACCTCCTCCGTGCCCCTCGGGGCGAAGCGGCGTTGCAGCGACTCGAACACGGCCTGGACCACTTGCAGGGTCTACAGCTTTATTCCGAGCAGCTCCGCCACTTTGGCGGATCCACCATACTCATCCTGAACCCGAAAGTCCCCGCGCTGAGGAGACTTGACCATAACATGGGTGAGGTGGGGGCCCACAAACACAAAAGAATATTCACCCGTTGAGATCGCAGGCTCGAACTCTTGAATGAGCAATGAGCTTCGCAGTCCAACCCCCGTGCAGAGCTCCAAGAAGGTCACATCATCCGCGGAAAGGGCCGATGTGTCAGCAATCCGCCGGGTCAGCGTGACGAAGGGGATCGACGAATCGCGTCTTGGGAATCACGAAACCCTCCTGTTCAATGCCCAGCAGGTATCGCTTGTCCGCATTCCACCGGACCAGTTCGGTGTGATTGATGATCTGGGGAGAGACAAGATGAGGAGTGTATGGAGCGGTTTCCATCCATTTGTGACAGGAATGCCCATGAGCAACTGGTCTAGACTGTCTTGGGCGAATGCCAATCCCTGAGGTTCCACGATGGTCAATATCTGTTCTCAAACGGAGTGACTTGCCAATTACTTGCCATGCAGTGAATCCGCAGACTCGCCTCCAGATTGTGTGTGCATGTAGGTGCGGGCTTAGCAATTCCCCATTTTTGCATGATACAGAATGGTAACCTCTTTGGACTTCGATGATGCGAACCATACTCTTCAGTTTGTCCATTGAGGTTATAAAAAGGTATGTGACCAAACACCCGAGTACCATTCTTCAGGACATCTGGATATCATCATTCAAAGGATTCCAAATTTGCTTCTCTACTTCATGGCACCATGTCCACCATCGGCCAACTCTACCAGCTGTCCAAGATAGAGGAAGACTGTTTGAACCTTGGTCCTGCCTACAAAGACATCGGGTAAGTCATGTTTCCTTCCGTTTATCCAGGCAGTTAGCCCTGGTTTACGGTCTAGCGTCAACCGATCCCATCCCCTTGTACGCCACAGCTTGCATCGCTGCTAACCGGTACAGCCCTCTCCATCAAAAAGTCCGCAAGACTCCACTTGCGAATCCCCTGACTCAGGCAATCCTCTTTCTTCAGCAGCACCTGACCCAAACCCACAACCCCCTCAAGGGCAGAACCCTCAGCACCAATGGCCCCATTCGCGCCGGCGAGCTTCTCATGGCCGACCTTCCCTATGCCGTGCTGCCAACCGTGGCCACAGGAAGTGTCGATGACTTCCTCTGCAGCAACCTGGGCTGCAGTCGCCAGGTTTCCCGTCACGCAATCAACAGCGTCACTTGCAAAAAGAACTGCTCTCTCGACGTCTGGTGGTGCAACGAGTCTTGCAAAGACGAAGACCAAGCTCGCCATGACCTCGAATGCGCCTGGCTGAAAGCCTACAGCTCCATCCTTCGCCAGGACGTCGGCGATCACGACTACTACCTCCTCTGGATCGTCGTCCGACTCCTCGCCACCCGCCACCTCGAAATCCAAGGCACCACCCCAACCAACATCCACCAACATTTCACCTTCCAAGACCGGTTCACCAGCGGCTGGCAAGGTATCCAACAACTCCGCACAAACCGCGACTCCTGGCCCGCCTGGCAAATCAAACACTGGACCGACCTGGCCAAAACCTACCTCCAATCCCCTCCCCTCCACCCTCCCCCTCACCTCCCTCATCGACCTCATTAGCGCCGAAGAAACCAACGTCTTCGAACTCTGTCCAGGCCCTACGGAAATCCTCCCCGACAGCACTCCCGCCCCCCACCGCGGCACCCAATACGGTCTCGCCGTCTTCCTCCGCATCACACTAGCCAACCACTCCTGCGCCCCTAACGTACGTCCCACCCACCCCCTGCCCATCACCGCAAAACCCAAAACCCAAACCCACTCACTAACCCCTGTACACGTACCAGGTGACACATCAAGCCGACGACCGTGGTCGATTGATGGTAACCGCTCTCCGTGACATCGCCCCCGGCGAAGAATGCTGTACCTCTTACTTCGACCTGTCTGAATACGTTGACTTGCAGGCCCGTCGCAACAAGACGCAGGAGTTGTTCACGTTTACGTGTACTTGTCCGAGGTGTTTGCAGGAGGAAGCACAGACACAGACACAGACACATACACAGGTCCAGAATTATTTTCCTGGAGGGGTAAGAATGGATTCGTGGTGTATGCATGCACGTGTGTGGCAGGCTGGATGTGACATGTCGATGCGGGTGGTGTGTGCCTGAAGAAAGTAGGGAGTTGGTCCGTGCGGAACCACGCCGGCCCAAATGTTCGAGGGTCGAGGGTTTGGTCTAGATCGTTAGGTACGGTTTTAACACGAGTGTATTGTGTCGGGTGCTGGGTAGATTGGACTAGTCTACTGATATCGTCATTTGGTTTATTGACGCGAATAGCGGTTTGGGGATTTGAGTTCTTTTCCGATGGTTCCGTAGGGTACGTAGTAGAGAGAGGGGAAGGTTGGGAGATATAATTCCCTCGAGAGGTATAAATCCCTCAACTGTCCCCCTTGAGTATTGTTCTCATTACTTTGCAAATATCTTACTTTTGTCTCAATTTTACGTCTACGACTACAGATCGACATAATGTCGCTTCTCCGTCCGACTTTATCTATACCGGGACACTCCCCAACCCGCAACATCATAGGTCAACATCCCCTCTTCATCCCTTTCCAACATGTACAACAAATACGGCATTACTCCCCCTCCCACGACCACCAAATAACGGCTACCCGATCCACCATCGCCCAACTCCTTAACCACATCGACTCCCCGCACACAGCTACCCAGTACCTTACGCATTTCGCATCCACCAACCACTCCCAGACTCACCCCTTCGCCGTGATAAAAGTCGGCGGCGCGATTCTCACCTCCCATTTGCAAACTCTCACATCCACACTAGCGCTTTTCAGTCGCATCGGGATATACCCCGTTATCGTGCATGGCGGTGGACCGCAACTGAACCAGATCCTCGAGAACGCTGGCGTGGAGCCGCAGTTCGAAGATGGGATCCGGGTTACAGATGGGCGCACGCTGGCGATCGCGCGACAGCTGTTTCTGGAGGAGAATTTGAAGCTCGTGCAGGCGTTAGAGCGGGTCGGGGTTGCAGCCAGGCCGATCACGGCGGGAGTGTTTCGGGCGGACTACCTCGATCAAAAGAGGTATGGGTTTGTCGGAAAGGTGAGGGGGGTGGAGAAGAACAGCATTCTATCCGCAGTCAGGGCAAAGTGCTTGCCTGTGTTGACTTCCATGGCTGAGACACCGAGCGGGCAGGTGTTGAATGTAAATGCGGATGTGGCGGCTGTGGAATTGGCGAGGGCGTTGAAGCCGAAAAAGGTGGTTTATTTGGCGGAGAAGGGCGGATTGACGCATGGGTTGACGGGGAGGAGGATTCAGAGAATTAATTTGGCGGAAGAGTTCGAGGAGCTTATGGGGCAAAGTTGGGTGAAGTTCGGGACGAGATTGAAGATCAGGGCTGTGGAGGAGTTATTGAGGGAGTTACCAGGCTTGGAAAGTGTGGCCATTGTGCATCCGGTGGATTTGCAGAGAGAGATTTTTGTGGCGAGTGGAGCAGGGACAAGAATTGAGAGGGGGACGAGGATTTTGAGCACCACATCGGCGGAGTTTAGGGATGAGGGGAGGTTGGTGAAGGGATTGAGGGAACAGGGGGCTGGGGATGATGAGGTGAGGTTTTGTGTGCAGGAGATGAGGAACAATCGGCCGTTGAAGATGTACTTCCAGGATCCGGAGACCATGAGCCCATTGGCGATTGTGTCGTTTGAGTATGGAGGTACTCCACGCTTGGTTACATTTCCGGATCGCAGTGTGGACGATGCGGTTGCCGGTGACTTGTTCACTCGGATCACGAAGGACTTTCCCAAGTTGGTGTGGAATCTCCCGGAGAATGATGGCAGGCTTGACTGGTTCTCTGCGCGCGCCACGGGAAGGTTTCATCATGGTGGCTGGGCTATGCTCTGGTATGGCTTGAGTCAGCACGAAGCGAGGCAGTTGATCCTGGGGTTTCAAGATAACTATCAGGACGATCTCCAGGGGACTTCGAGTGCTAGTGCCTATGGATACACCTCTCGGGGATAGTCCTCCCACGACACTTGGTGTTTCTGAGGTTCGCCGGCCGACCTGACCTTCAATGAGTTGGAAGAGTACCATGCTCTTGTATCCTTGCCTTCTACTTGCTGCTCTTATTGAGATCGACTCCGGTGTGATTGGATCTGCAGTGCATTTGACTCTCAGTTAGTATATAGGATCATGCAAGGGTAGATCATGTTGGAACCTACCTACCATGCTATCAGTCCGAGGAACCAGGAGACTGGTCTAGTTGGAAGATTCTGGCATATTGTACCTTTGTCTACTGCCATCCCGAAACAGAACACTAGGCTACTTTCTGAACCTCTGCTATTCAGGCCAAAAGCCTATCGAGACAGGTATATCAAGGAAAGAGACATAGTGCAGAGGGGGCTAAATTGGTAACAGGATGAAGATTGTCAGTGGCCCACGGTTGAAATCTTCGGATTGCAGTAGCGAGAGCGATCCACCGTACCTGACAACAGACCAGTCAATCAAAACGTCTTGTTCCCAGCTAGATCGTCCACTCCAAGTCTGGGGATCATCTAAGCTCGAGTCCTGATACTGGCCATCAGAGCTACTTCCGATCCGAGAACATGGCCGTATCTCGCTCACTGTGTTGCTGCCATGATGTGAAGGAGGAAGGAAGAAATGAAGGGGAGGGCGAGCGAGCGCGAATACCGGGGATGACACGTGGATTGGTGCCTGATAGAGAAGGCTCTACATATGCGGGGTTCGTTTCCATGGAAGTTCTAGAAGCCTCATGCAGATTATTCAGGCATCAATTATTGTAGAAGCTTTATTTTTAGCAGTCCGTTTCTGGATTCACGACCGAAGGATTACTATCAATGGATCTTGAAATCCATTTACCCAAGTATAAATCACCGACAGGAAATATTCAAGGCTAGATTTGAACCAGATTCAACAGGTGAAGAATCCGTGGATCGTCTGTTAAAGTTAAGTCTTCATAAGTGGGTCATCCATGGTACAGCCAGGCGATTCTGCCTTTGTAGATCAGGACCAAGGCCATCATAAAAGATGATCAATATTCCCATGTAGCTATTCATGTGTACAAGCAACAAATGTGAAGTCTCCTACAGGGCAAACTTGAACTGAATGCTCGGCACGTCCGAACTATTCGCCGGCATGGAAAAGGTAAGATTCCAGAACTCAAAGTCACTGGCAGCGGTTAGCTCATCAGAATACATCACTGTATAGAGACCACTTACTGAATAATATCGCATGAACCACCGACGAGTCCACAGAATGAGATCTCTGGCAGAGGATCAACACTCCCGCCTACCACCTCAATCTGGAGGCCATCCACATCGTCGAAACCAGTGATATCACGCTTTCCTCCAAGCGGGTTTGATGCTAGCACAAATGTAAAGGTGCTCGAGGCGTTTCCAAGAGGATAGGTGAGGTTCAGCGCGTATGGTGCGACCTCAGCCTGCAAGGCCGTTTCAGTGGGATACAAGTTGAAGTAACCGACCGAGTCATCGGAACGGAGCCACTGAACGACGGACGGGCTGAACGACGTGGAGTCCTCGGAATAGCCGCCCACAACGCTCTGATTGAACGAGTCCGTGCCGATGGTTAGATTGGCCGAAAGCCAGGTGGTGATGTTTCGCGGCTCCAGATCGGCTGGAGGGGCATAGGCGTGTCCGCTGTACGTGTGCTCGCCCTCGAAAGAGATCAGTCGCGAGAGGATCGACTCCGGAAGCAGGGTCCGGTGGAACTCGGATAGAATAGCAATGAGCGGCGAGACTTCAAAATCATCGGCGTGTGTCATAGTCCAGATGGGAGATGTCTCGTGGAATACGGTTGCCTTTCCTACCAACGACCATACCCAAGTCGCCATGATGGCCACATACTTGTTCATATCATAGCCATAGGAGCGGTCCCAAGGTCCTGCAAAGTTACGCAAGTTGGCATTCCACAGCAATGACTCGTACTCCCAGATCTCCCGGATTACACGGGCCGCGTTCTGCCCGATTGTCGAGTTGGTTGAGCCGAGGTACTTGGCACCAATGGTGAGAGCGTAGAGGGATACACCCGCATATGTTGGGCCATTGAACTCGGACAAGGTGCCGTTGCGATCAAAGAGGGCAAGGAACTCGCGAGCGTCAGCTTCTCCAGCCGCGGTCATGTTGGCGTTGTGGAATTTGCGTCCGGTCCAAGAAGTGACAACCGTCCGCATCAACCAGGCGTTCGAATACGCGGGATACAGATTGTCGCCGTCGACACCGCCCACCCGATAGCTGTCGCCAACGGTGTTGTTGTACAGGCTTTCGAGGATCAGGTCTTGGACATGACCCGGCAGGAGATGCGCATACTCCTCGTAGATGACAATTAAGGCGGTGCCGATGAACCCTCTCCAGTTGGGATCCCAGGAGTTGTAGATCACCGGGGGGTACGCTGGGGTGCCAACAGTAGGCTGTTCAGGGTAGACCGTGTAGTCCCCATACCATTGTACCGAGGTGTTCTTCTCCTGGTCGCCAATGACTTTCTCCAGGATATTGACGGCCTCTTGGACGTCGTTACCTTCATTGCGTTGGAGTAGCCCAGCCGAATACCAGACGGTCGATCGGGTCTCGTGCGGGCCCGCGGCGAGGGGATAGTAGAAGTAGTGCAAGTAGGAGGCAGCCGGGTCATAAATAGCATCCTGAAAGGTCATGGACTCATCAAACATATCCTGTGCATCTTGGCTCAAGTCAACCGCCTCCACGACGCTACCCCCCAGCAGGGCCAAGCTGAAGATCCGAGCCAACCACATATTGGCGTGAGTCGGTCAGTCTTCCGACGCCACATCGTTCCATTGGGTCTTATACCCTGGACCCCTCCCACCGGTTATCGGAATTTTGCCTGAATTAGTCTGAATTGATGAGGATGCGGGGAAAGATAGCCCGAGGTGGGGACCTGATGCAGCCTGCCAGCCACGGACCGGCAAAACCCGGCGATCCCGGCCAGAAGCTATCTTTTCTGTTATCGGGTGGTTATCCGACTTCCCCGCACTTATCAAGGGGCTCGTATCTTTGAGACTTGAGTGGGCCCAGCACGGGCTCAGGCCACACCACTCATCGGCATTGAGGATGATCATCGATAAAACAGGGGTGGTGCCACAAGCAATTCGACTCCTCTGTCCTCGGTCGCAGAAACGAACAGCATCATGAGCGACGTTGCTACCAAAGAAGCCATCATCCACGCCAAAGATGGCTCGGTGCTGGATGCAGACGAGCAACGGCTGGCCCAGATGGGTAAGTCCCAGCCTCATCTCTGTCATTATTATACTAACATCGTGTAGGCCATACGCAGGAGCTCACGCGACACTTTAGCATTCTGTCGCTCATCGGTCTAGCCTCCACCACGACAATTTCCTGGACCGGGCTGGGGCTGAGTATCGTCACTGAGATCAACGCTGGTGGACCGAGTGCCATTATTTATGGCTTCATTCTTGTCACCTTGCTGCAATCCTTCCTCGGCGCCTCCCTGGCGGAGTTTGTCTCCAGCTATCCCACCGAAGGCGGCATGTATCATTGGATTGCGGCCGTGGCGCCGAGAAAATGGAGCGCCTTCTTGAGTTTCATCACCGGCTGGCTGACCGTCTGTGGCTGTATGTTGTCCGGAGTAGTATATGATAACTAGATCACAGCCCTAACCGACTGCAGGGATCTTCACCACCGCCTCGACGAATCTGATCTTTGCCGAAGTTGGTGAGTATATCGCCCTTCTTGTCGCGAGCACATTACTAACGATATTCAGTCCAGGCACTTTATGCGCTCTATCACCCCGACCTGGTAATCAAGACGTGGCAGACGTTCGTGATCTACCAGATTCTGAACCTGCTCACAGCAGCGGTGGTGCTTTTCGGGAACAAGATCATTCCGGCCCTCAACAAGTTCTCCCTGTTCTATCTGCAGCTCGGCTGGCTTGTGGTCCTCGTCACGGTGGTCGCGTGTGCTCCAACACACCAAAGCAGTGACTTTGTCTTCAAGACGTGGATCAACAACACTGGATGGAGCAGCAACGGTATCTGCTTCATCACGGGCCTTGTCAACCCGCTCTATAGTCTCGGTGGTCTGGACGGTGTCACCCACATCACCGAAGAGATGCCCAATGTAAGTCATCCTGCACTGAATCCTCTCTTCCTGCTAACAACCCTACCAGCCCTCCCGCAATGCACCCTTAGCTATTGGAATCACCATCACCATTGCATTCATGACCGGCCTCACTTATCTTATTGCCTTAATGTTCAGCGTGCAAGATTATGCTGCACTAAGCACCACCAACACGGGTCTTCCTCTGGCCGAACTCTTCCACCAAGTCACCCAGTCTGCGGGAGGTGCCTTTGGCCTGACTTTCATTCTCTTTGTGGCCCTCGGTCCCTGCGTCGTGTCGTCGCAACTGTCCACATCACGCGTCCTATGGGCGTTTGCGCGCGACGATGCCATGCCATTCTCGCGCACGTGGGCACGCGTCAGCAAACGCTTCGGCATCCCCTTCAACGCCCAACTGTTGGTCGCAGCAGCAAACGCCGCCCTCGGCTGTTTGTACCTGGGCAGCAGCACTGCGTTTAACAGTATGCTCGGGGCGGCGGTGACAATCAATAACGTTGCATATCTGATTCCAATTTCCACAAACATGCTGACAGGGAGGGTGAATATGCACCGGGGCGTGTTCCACATGGCCAAATGGGGCTGGCTCGTGAACGCCGTAACAGTCGCTTGGCTGATATTCGCCATTGTTTTCTTTAGCTTCCCATATAACATGCCCGCCACGGTGGAAAACATGAACTATACGTGTGTTGTGGTGGGTGGACTGATCATCCTCATTTTGGGGTGGTGGGTCGTTGGAAGTGGAAAGTATAGAGAAAAGATTACGCGAGCAAAAGAGTAGACAGCACAACGGATAGTGATATAAGCCATGGATAGCCAATGGAAGGCGAACATCCAGATGACATATCTGCCCGCATTGAAAGCCTCAAGTGATTCGGGTCGTACGATGTGCACAGTCCCATGCAGGCGGGCTTAAGGATGCTGGCCGGGGTGGATTCTAGGCCGTCCAGTTCGAGTACATCATCGACTGCAAGCTGGCTTGGTCGAAGATCCAGGTCTGATCCGAAAGACCTCTCATCTCAGCGTTCTCAACACTATCCTGTGGCCCGACTGGCGTGTGGACATTAGCTAGACTTGCTTCCAAGCGGGCAACGAGTTTGTCCCCGAGCCCCATCACCTGTTTGAGCTTTTCCAGGTGGATTCGTATGCCAAGAAGATCTAATCAAGGATTAAAATGAAAACGCAGAACTGCTTTGGAGTGTTATTTTCCAATGCCATGTACTCACCGTCTGGCTCACCAGCACCGCCTTCAATACCCTGTATAACAATAAGCGCCGCCCAGGTGATCATCACCTGGTCCCAGTTCGACCAAATCGAGTCGTCATGCAAATGCAGCTTGAGTGTAGCTCTCGCTGACAGAAGTAGTTCGTGTTGCTCCTGTGGTGTGGTACTGTTAGACCAGAGGTCACAGCCCCGGGCCGGATGATAGATCGACAGGACTACCAGTCGATGAAGCACGTATTGGCGGAAAACCAGTTTGAGATCCTGTTCCGAGCCCTCCGCACACTGACTGAACTCTACCAACCACTCGTCCAACTGCCGGGCCCAGTCCCGGATGACCGCCGCGTCGACCGCGGTGAAATTGTTCGTCAAACTACCCAGATTAGACAGGTGTCCCGTAAAGCATGACCAAATGGTAGGGAGGCCTCTCCCGGTAAAGTGTGTCAGTCCCGTATGCATCATCCGAGATAGCCGGTATAGCTGATCCCGGTTGGACGTCTGCAACCCCAGCAGCGGACACTCGATCGGGATGATGGGACAAGATAGATGAAGTGAGGCATGTTCTAGATCAATTATCTGTAATCCACTGAACAACTTGCGCCATTCACGGGAGGTTTCGTCGACGTGGGCCGGACAGTTTTCCAAGATGAGGCGATAAGCGATCGAGATCCAGATTCCAGTCTCCCGGTGAACGGCTTCAGTGAGGAGCCCGGCGAGGACTAATCCAAGCACGGTCTGGAATGCCCACTCTTCAGAGTCCACAGGTACCTTGCCTACTTCACTACCGGGAATGCTCAGCTGTGCGATCGCGTGGCATACCACTGACAAGTAATGCGGTGCCAGCTCAGCGACATCCAGTGGACCGCGCACGCTAGAGCAGAACAGAATCGATGCCACGAGTAGAGGCTGGGGCGAGGAAAATGTTTGCTTGCGTGGCATAAAATGTAGGCCGGGCATGCGGTCATGAAATCTGTCCTCATTAGCTTGGCGCCGAGGCATGACGCTGTCAACTTACGATAGCCAAAGGCCCTTGACGGTGCTCTTGCGCCAGATAGAGCTAGGGATCCAACCAGGCGCAGTCCTTTCGAGCACTACTACTGCATCCCACAAGGCACCCAAGCTACTGAAATCCGGTGAGGTGTCTTCACTTTGGGGAAGTGGAGATTCCAGTGCGGGTCTCGATGCAGCGGAGAGACCCAGTCTGTCCTCGATAATGCGCAGCCTACGAAGAACATCATCCTTGAAGTCAACATCTCGCGTGGCCATTAACCCCTCTGGGAGGGTAGCAGCATTTGCGCGGGGTACGAAGATACACGGAAGACCAGAGCGACGACATCGACGACATGTATCGTTTTCTACCACGCATTTCATCTTTTGGCGTCGGCAGTTTACTATGATTCACGATGAGATTTCCCATTCTGGCCTTTTGCCTGGGGCAGAAAAAGCGGGTAGGACTAACTGCAGGCCTTCGGGGTCTTCTGCACCCGATTGTTAGAATGAAGTCTGTGGTTGCCTGACATGTTTCTTGTCTGTCAGGCGAAATGGATGTGGGACGCAACCGGCAAAGTCCGGATCTGTGCCGGCGGTCTCACTATCGGACGCAAAAATATCGGGCCGACACGCTACGGGGCAATTCGGGCCCGCCCGGTAAATCCCGGCCATGTCTGTCATGGAGGCCAGCGAAGCCTTGACACCTAAGGCCAACGGGTGAGGCCATAGTAGACTTAACTTAATACCCCAATCCCCGCAGTATGAATCGCTTATGAATAGACTCACCATCGGCGAGGGGCATCTCAATCCTAGGTTCAGTTGTCTGCCATGTCCACGCAGCGACCAAGCTTGCTGGCTCAAGCAGAACAAATAGCTCAAGAATTTGACCTCAGTCCGGATGATGTCAGGCGAGTAACGCGACATTTTGTTCACCAAATCAGTGAGAAAGCCAGGAAGATGTCACTGAGAGTTGAGTTGTGCTAATAAGTCATTTTTAGAGGATGGACTCGCCCATCAGCGCGTCTGGCAGTTACCATCCTATGTGCGACTCGTGCCCACGGGCAGGGAGAAAGGCAAGTTTTTAGCTGTCGACCTCGGTGGCCGCAATTGCAGAATCTGCCTGGTCAATTTGCACGGTAATTCGACTTTCACCACGATCCAGAGCAAGCACAGTGTACCGCCTGGGGTTATGGTGAACCCCAGCTATCGGCCTCTTTTCGACTTTATTGCGCACCGGATTGCGGAGTTCTTGGATACGCAACCGGGTCTCCGGAACACCAATCAGCAGCTGTACCAGTTAGGGTTCACATTCAGTTTCACCTGTGAGCAAACATCACTCGCGAGTGGGCGCCTTATCCACTGGGACAAAGGGTGGGATATCCCCGAAGCCGTGGGTCAAGATCCCTGTCGAATGCTACAAGAAGCAATCGATCGACTAGGGCTTCCTGTTGTCGTGACGGTCCTTGCAAATGATGGCGTCGGTACACTTTTGACGCGATCCTACACATCGGGACAAACAGCTTCCACTCTCGCTGCGGTTATCTTCGGGACGGGAACCAATGCCGCCTATGTCGAGAAGCTAGCGAATGTGAGTAGGATAGGCAGTGAAATAGATCCTGACGAGATCATGGTGATGAATACAGAATGGGGATGCTTTGATGACCAAATGGAGGTCTTGCCGCGAACCTCATTCGACGACGAGCTGGATGAAGCGTCTGCGGATCCCGGGACCCAGATGCTAGAAAAAAGAGTATCAGGTTTGTATCTCGGGGAGCTGCTTCGATTGGTCATGCTGAAACTGTTACGCCGGAATGCTTTCACGATGACGTGCAGCAACGCGTCGTGGGTCTTCCAACGAGACGGTATCGACAGTTCTTTTCTCTCGGAGCTCGCAAAGGCGGATCCTAATCATGCGAAATGCGCGATTCAGCTTATCCAACACACGTTATCTGCGGAGAATGTCAGCGAGGCTGATGCGCAGGCCATCCAGCTAGTGGCTGCGGTTATTGCTCGACGAGCAGCACGTTTAGCAGGCGCGTCCTTGGCCGCCATCATCATTCAAAGTGGGAGACTTGAAATGTCTGCAGACAGTGTCCCAGATCCTGGTTATTCCATGAACCGTGTTCAACGCTTCACGGCTGATGTGACTCTCCTCTGGCGCCGGCTGCTGCGCCTAGCAGGAATCGGCTCGTCCATTGGGAAGCCTCCGGCTCCGATACCACCACTGGGGTCCAAGGAGGATGAAATTATAGACATTGGGGCCGACGGGTCACTGATTGAATTTTACCCTTCTTTTGAGGCCGAGATGCGTGGAGCGATGAGGGATGTACCGGAGGTCGGACCTGCTGGGGAGCAACGAATCCGGATTAGTATGGCTAAAGATGGGTCTGGGGTGGGAGCCGCGCTCATGGCCCAGGCAGCCAGTGAGATGGAAGCTTGATTTGTAGCTCACCTGGAATACTCCAGGAGATTGAAAGGTCATATGTAGGTCAACATATCGCGTCCCACAATGGGCGTCAGGGTGGTGAGGAGACTAGAGGTCTGTTGTATCGCTGGGATGGGGGCGATGGTTCCCTGCGAGTGAATGAAGGAGAGAAACAAAAAGCTCCAAGTTAGACAACATTTAGGAATCACCCGACTCAACATACGGTTCTCGTGATTGTGATCCCGAATTTTTGTCTCTGTCATTTAATAATGCGAATGAAATGGCATCGCTAAAGCCTCTCGGCAGTGGTTGCAGAAATGGTTATTGCTACTAAGCGACTGGAAAAAGGCGTGTTTTATTTTGGTTTTTGAGAACACATAGGAGTTGAGTTTGTAGTCCAGAGTGAGCACGCTACACCTCATGGCAATGGCAAACAACCTCCGGTACATAGCGTACACTATCCACATTCGCCGCCCGTCCCCTAACCAAACCATAATCGATTGCCTTATCTTCGGACGGCCTCGTCCAAAAGCTCTTCGGTATGCTTCCACACAGACTCTGGGACTCCTTGTTCCCTATACTGCGCCAGGATCTTATTGCTCGAGCTCACATCCCCCTTCCAGTTCAGCAGATATGCCCCGCTACCCACCTCCCCTGTGGTCCCGGTAGCCACACCACCCATCTCAGCGTTCACAGGCACGCCTTGGGTCGCAATTCCCTCCTTTGCCGGGTACCGGGCAGAGCTGAGATGGAACAGATGCCGTTCGCCGCATTCCTGGAGATTCAAGGAGAAAAAGGGCCACATGGCGTAGTTATAAAAGGAAGAAATCGGCCACGGGAAGCTGTTATTGTAGATATTGGTTCCAACGAGGCCTGGATAGGCATGGACGAAGCTGACCTTCGGGTGAGTCTTAGAGAGGTATTCCATGCTCACAGAGGTCATAGTGATGGAGTGCTTGTAGGCGTTGAGTAGAGAGAAGTTATGCTTGAGATCGAGATCGGAAGTATTAATCGAGAACTCGAAGCCACCGCCGTAGATGCTGACGACGCGACTGGGGCCCGACGATGCCTCGAGTAGTGGAAGAAGGTTCTGTACAAATCGCATACGAGAGTAATAGCGGAGGGCGAATAGGTAGTCGATGCCTTCGATGGTTTCTGCGCTCTGTGTCAGTTTTTGCAGCCCGATAAAGGATTACGCTATTGTTCCGCTCACCATTTCGACCTCCTAGAGAGATGCCCCCGGGGGTCATGAAGAGAAAGTTCAGATGCTTCTCCTTGTCAAGAATCTGCCGGCACGCAATATCGACATTGCGTGCCAAGGAGACATCCGCCTCAATGAAATGGAAGCGGCCTTTGGGACTCAATTCGTGCAATTCCGACAGAAATGGCGAGGCGCGCGCCTGGTCGCGACCGACAATATAGGCTGTCGGGCTGTCCGCGTAACGGGCCAACTGGCGCAATGTACTCTGGCCTATGCCACTGGTTCCTCCCACAAAAAGGGCGGTGATGTTGGGAAGTGCCCGTAGGCCAGCGTTAGATGCTTGGACTGCTTTGAGAGAAACCATCTTGAGGTAGAAAACGGGAACAGGAGGGAACAAAAGCTGTAGGGGAAGGACACCGAAGTTTAAAAGAACATAATATTGCGGGTCTTCCGAAGGATCGATCCTCCCGATGAGGCTGTAGATCACTGCAGTTGAAACCAACAATGTGATATATAGAGGAGGAATATTGCTTTTGACTATGAAAAGGCCTCGCTATGGCCGATCAGACACCCCTCCAAGCAACAACCGGTGTCTCGAGACTGCGTTCTCCGGCAACGACCAGCCCCAATGGCACTGGCAGCGCGTTGTCTACTAAGTCAAGAGCTAAAAGCACAGCCAGCCTTAGTGCTTACACAGGCGTTAGTAGCACAGGGATTCAGGGACACGGCGCGGAAAGCCTCACATGCCATTGTCTCCACCGGAGCCTTATCCGTCCTGTGCCGTCATCACTTTGTTACTTTGAGGTGCTGCCGGTCAAGGCATGATAGGCATCAGCTGAGGTATTGATTTCTCACAGTGACTCAATTGCTATGGCCATGACGGTTCCGACTGAGGATTCATAAGCTCTTTCGCATCGAGCACCCTATAAATAGTGATAAGCACAGCAGTCGGATGATACCAACTGAAATGCGGCTCGACCTTGATCGTTCATCTTGGCGCAGCGCTGCGGTGGAGCGATGGACACGACTTCTCTGACGCGGGGGAACATCTGCCCGACGGATGAAGGTGCACCCGCGCCGTGGGTCGCAGTCACCTGATAATACATAGGAGACCCACTGAACCAGACACCAGCCCCGCGATTCCTTCACCGCCGGGATTTGCGGGGTTTGCTGCGAAATCGGAGGCGGGTGAAGAGTACAGCAAAGAGCGAAGTCCATCAATATTCTCGACAATAGCCCCATGGCATCACTGCTCCAGATAAAGTCAACTAAATATGTTCAAAGATAATTGTAACACTACCCTAATGCTAGTAAAACTCCCCAGTCCCTTCAAATGAGTTGTTGTAGAAGCGGCTGACACAGTCAATGTGATTGAATATATACTTTCCTTGCACCCAGCCAAGACAGGGAACAGATACATAACCGAAATTCTAGGCAAAGGAGACACGGTCAGGAAATCAATGACACAGAAATATATAGTAAAAGTATGTCGAAGTCGACAGCAACGCGATCAAAAACAGTCAAGAAGTCAGGCAGTATGGGACGCCTTAGTTGCTGTTGTTTCGAGTGACAGGCTTCTTACTTAGTATTTCTTGTTTGCGTTAAACAGCCAATAGGAACGACTGGAACTTGTAATTGGCCAGAAGTATTGATGGTAGTCTAGATCAGCTCGTCACCACCATGCTTCTCACTTCGTTTGATTGCATCTGTTTCAGTTTCCCCGAGACATGCTTATCTAGTTGCCAGCCATCTGCCACTACTCGCATGGATTATGCAGAACACGAGATGTGGCGTGAAGAGCATAGAGCGTCTTTACTGCGTCACTGGACAAAAAGGAGAATATATTTCATCCTTCTTCTCTTCGATGAATTATCAGCTGTGCAGCAGACTAAAATTGTGGGAGCAGTAATAGTATATAAATACCCCCCCCTTCACATCCCAGACCCCAACCCAGCACCCACTGCACAACTCTATCCCAACCCCCACCATCACCCTCATTGCACCCACCCATCATGTCCAAACTCTTCACGGTACGACCAACCCCACCCCACCCCCCACCCAGAACACCCCCCTAACAACCCCCACCTCCACCACAGCTCCTCCCCCTCCTCCTCACCACAACCCTCACCACCCTCCCCCACCTAACAACCGCCTACTTCTACACCTACCCCGCCCTCTTCATCTACAAAGACTACAACTGCAGCCAAATCTCCTGGTCGCTCGTCTACCCGACCCTGGGCGCCTGCAACAGCGGATACTGGAACTACGCGGGCTCAGTTCAAATGTTCAACATCGAGACCCCGTATACGTGTGACGCCGGTCAAACCCTGACCTTCGAACTGTATAATAGTTCGGGTACGGGTTGTGCGGATGAGACTGATTTGTTGTTTCGGCAGGCGGTTACGGAGGAGTGTTCCCCTGCGGATGTGGAGAGTCCGGGGCCGCTGGAGATGCCGATTTGGTTTCGTTTGGAATGCTTGTAGTTTTTTGTGAGGGTAGTGGGGTGGTTGGGGGGAGGAGGGGAGGGGAGGGGTGTAAGGAGGGTGAGTTGTGGAGGTATTTGGGGTTTTAGGTGGAAAGGTATGGTTTTGGGGGATGTATATTGGTTGCTGGTTAATGTCTTGTTATCGTTGTATATGGTGAGCATATCGATTAAGAGGCTCCAGTAGGCAAGTGAGTTTCAGTTGGAGATCGCATTGAAGTGAGCGAGGCCGCAACGGGTGCTGAGTACTGCCATTGCAGCCCCAAGCGAGTACTATTCGGACACACAGTGAAGGTTCTATAGGCGAACATGATCACTCACTCCTATAGCTGATTCCATAAAACATTGTTATCTGTATTATAAGCATTTGAGTCATATCGTATCCAGTATCTGACATCTAACATCACTCATGGCTCGTAGTAGAACAAAAGGCATCGAACTATTAACATAACATTTTCACCAACAGGCATTCAAGTAATCATTACCCCCCGCTATACACGGTGCATTTACAGAAAAGCCACGACGGCAGCGAAGATCGCAGCCATGGAGCCGAAAGCAGGCATGGTCATGGCAGATCCAGCGCTGACAGCGGCGGAAGAGGAGGAGGATGCGGAGCTGGAGGTGGAGGTAGTGTTGGTGTCATAGCCGACGACGCCGGTGGTGTTGACACCGGAGACGTAGGTAGTACCGTTACGGCTGTAGGGAATGTTCACATCCAGGCCGTAAGCAGCATCGTAGGGGAAGGGAGCAGTGTAGTTGTAGGTAGGGTTCTGGCCCTTGTAGGCATCAATGACGGACTGCAGGATACCGTTGCCAGCAGAGCAGGTGTCGTTGGTGGTGGGAATGGGCCAGTTGGCACGGTACTTAGAGTAACCCCACTGCTCAAGGGGACCAGGGAGAGACTGGTTGATGTAAAGGTGGGTGGGGTCCACGTCCCAGTTGGTATAGCCGACGGTGTCAGCAACGAAGCTGAAGATGTTGGCACCACAGTCCCAGCGACCAAGGGAGGGAAGACCCCAGTTCGCCTCGACGGTAGCCAGGGTAGAGTAGTGAGTGTAGACGGTCTCGTCCTTTGTGCCAATGAGGTGCTTAGGGACAGCACCTCCGAGGAGAATGCTGAAAACGCGGTTGCGGTCGTTGTAGATCTCAGACTCGGGAACACCGTAGGTCTCAGTCTCATCAAAGGTCAACAGCAGCAGAGTGTTGTCCCAGAAGTAGGTGTTGTTCATGAGAGGCTCAACGAAGCTGCGCAGCCACTTGGAGCCAAAGGTAATGTTGGTGTCATGAGCGTCGTTGGTCATGTCTGATGAAGATTAGTGTATACAACATCGAGGCTTTGGAGAAAACGTACTAGGGGTGATGAAGGCCCACTGGGGGAGCACTCTGTTCTTCATATCATCCTCGAAGCTAGTGAAGTTCTTGATGAGGCGCAAAGCGGTATCGTTGCTCGAGATTTGGTCAAAGATAACCAAGGGGTCGTGCTTGCGCATGTAGTCGTTCGCGCCGGTTTTCTGGTTGGAGAAATTGTATCCTTGGAAACCGGGGTAGGGCAGGTGCTCCTGGTAGTGAGCCCAGGAGATGCCCTTGGGGTTGAGCAGGTCGGCAATGGTAGAGACATTGGAAGGAATGTCATGGAAGTTGTCTGCAAGCGACGATTAGCTCTGCGCAGATTGCAACCATCCATCAATATTACCATTGTCCATGCCATAGTTGTCACCACTAACAGAGGCGCAGTAGTTGGGCTGGGAGGTGTGTCCAACACCGTAGTAGTTGGTCAGGGTAATACCCTTGCTGGCCAGCCACTGCTGGTTGGTGTCGTTGGCAGCATTGACGTAGTCCTACAAGGAACCGTGAATATTGCGACGTGCCATTGTGGGACGTATGAAATACTTACAACATTCTCCAGCCAGATCTGGTAGAAACGGTCAAAAGACTTGCCGGTGACGTTGGAAGTCCAGGTCTGAGGCACCGTGGTCGCCTGAGCCTTCAGGATGGCAGCGAGTGGGGGCTCGGTGGTGGTGATGGTGGCACCAGCGGCCAGGCCCGCGAGGGCCAAAAGAGCAGTCACAGAAGCCATTGAAAGGATGCTCACGAACAGCAAGAAGAGAGGGCGCCTGGTTTTCGAAGCGAGCTGCAGGGCACCGCATCTTTTTATCGTGGACTGTCTCGTGCCCAGGTATATCGCGCGATGCGACCGTGGCGGAATACAGTGACCCCGCGGACCAGTCAGGATGGCCATCTTCTACACGTTCCTGCCTTGTGCCGGAGCGAGTGAGAACCAAGCGGGGCATTGTCAATTGACCCACTCCGATTGGGTCTGGGTGGAGTCGCCCGCAAGGCTTCTCGGAGGTCAAGCCTCGGGCTAGTCCGTCCCTACCCAATCACCGGGACTTTCTCCTGGGCGTGCCTTCTAGGCATCGGACGACTTACGGGAAAAGTTCAGCCTGGCGGCCATGGAATGATAGAAGTGTGGAAAATGACATTCGACCAAGCTCGCTAAGCTTCACGTTTGCCGCCAGACCCTCTGCGCCAATCGTTGGTGGAAGAGTCAGCCAATGGGAGAATCAGGTTCCGCCCGCAGTTTTCCAGATCGGTTTTTCCCGCTGATGTTGCTCAACTTGTCCACGTGCCAGCCACTTGCACATGGCCAAGACACGCATTGTCCCTGGTTGCGGGCTTTGTGACCTTGCTAGCGATGCAACCCTACTCCGGCTAGCTCCGGTGTTTTTGTTGGTACCATGGGAGATCCAGGAACCCAATCCTGGACATCCACCCCATTATTCTGCTATCTAATACTGCATGTGACTACTATGTGCACCAGAATTTGCCTGGAGTACAACCCACAGAAACCCAACGAGAACTCCTCAGAACACTTGACAACCCTCTATAGTCAAAATCTATAAGGCTGGTGAATTACACAGAGGCAGCTCGATGCCAAGGTTCTGAATATTCACTGGTACAAGGCAGATAATTTTGATTAGCTTTAACTCCAATCCAATTGGTCAGTCAGTACTCCATCATCTCAAAGGATTCAAGTCCGCATTAGGGCCCACCATACCAACAAAATCACCGGGCCTAACCGGACTCCGAGCGGAAAAGGCTAGAGTTCCGGTCAGATCCTGGATAATCGGATGGCCTCTATACTCTAACCAGCATATAGAACACACAACCCACGCCATTATTTTCACCAAGAGTTGAGAGAAAATTTTCACCATCGTAAACTGGGCTTGGCTACGATCAACCGACCAGACAACTAGTCAGACAACGAACCGTTGCGACCTTTGAAGCGATGGCCTTTGTCGTTCATTTCGAGAGTCCTCCAATCAACTGATGGTACATTTCCCTGTTTATGCCGTTCTTGCTTACTGCAGTTCGTCCACAGAAGTGGCGCTCAGCATCCAGGGTTTCGAATCCTTCTCGTATACTACGGTAGGGCTCAAATTAATCATATGGTTTTCGACTTATGGGAAGTTGGAAGTACCTACGCTACCTGAGGAAGAACCCTGCATCCAGTCCTTGCCGGTACTACCCAAGAATACAACTTGTTTTGGGGTCCCGGGGATGTTTATAGTGCGGGTGCCAACACTATCTGTTTTGATATTGAGAGCCAACCACATCTAAATAATGAGAAGATATTACGTAAAAGACTGCCCATGAAAATGATGGAGCAAGAGTCAATTAGACTATCGACTATCTTGTGACATGGACCTATTTGCCCAAAGATTTAAGAAGGTAACAATGTCAGTTTAGGTATCAAATGTCTGTTAAACTTGATTGCATAGTTATCAAATGCTCTTCGAGCTACATTTCACTTTCTCATCAGAATACCCGAAGACCAACATGGTGGGATAAAAGGCCGATTAATATTATCTCCCAAGCTGCTGTAAAACCACTAGTAGGAGTACAGGGCAAGCAAAATTATGAGCGCAGTCATAACAAGCTCCTCCGCAATTACTCATCTTGTTTTGACCCCTATACCGCCCATTAAGACATCGCAATTATGCGCATAATGTTTCCCCTCAACCTTTGTCTCCTCTCAGAGACAACACATCCCCCAAACACTTTTAATATATCACGACCACGTCTCACAAACCCTCCAAAAATCCTCCACATACCCCGGCAACACCGAATCCCACAGCTCCTCCTTCGTAAAATACTCCAACTCCTTCCGACACACCTCCTCACTAATCAACGGCGCAACATCCAACGGATGACTCGTAATCACCGTAAAGATCTGCCCTTTCGCACACGCCGCATACTCTGGAAACGCATCTGTATGCTGGCAGAAATCCGTGGTAATCAAATGACTGCAGTGTTGTTCCACCGCTTGCATGGATTCGTCGGTGATTCGGAGGAACGCCTCGATGTGGTCGTGGTCAATCCCCAGATTGATGCTGATGGTTTGGACCGCGGGTTTGAGGATTGCTTCGCTCATCAGGCTGGTGTATTTGCCCCCGACGATGGGTTGGCAGCCGTGGTTGCAGAGGGTTTTGTAGTATTGGTCGTAGGCGATGTCTAGTTTTGGGCCCACGGCGGAGGGGAGTTTTTCGCAGGTAGGCCCGACGATGGAGGTTGCGGAGGTTATTGTGTGCAGTGTGGTAAGGGCGAAGATGGTTGAGGGTTTGAAGTACATGTTGTCGGTGGGTTGAAGATCAGGATTGTTGTGGGCGTGCGGGTAGCTGTAGAGGAAAAGTGGGCTTCAGTCCAGTATGATTGGCATTTTACGCTGGAATAAAGACCAAAGACACATGAAGGGCCCCTTTTTGTACCCGATTTCCTACTACTGACTATCATGTTAGTATTGGTGGCGGTTCATGTTACCGCGTTCGCCGTCATATTGAGATCATCCCTCTATTCTATCTCGTCTTTCTCCTTCGGTTATAGACTCGTATTCCCAGTGAAATGATCCTTCGGTTAAGTGTTGAGGCATTTCTTGGTTGGAACAGAACTCTAGATATAGTTTACGGCGGGGTGGACCTTGGCGGGGATATGAACCAACCCTCTTGCTCCGCATCTCCGCACCTCAGCAGTTCCGCACTTTCACCCTACGCCAAGATAGATGCCAGGGCCCTAACTCTTACAATATCCCCATGACCCTTCTCCGACCATCCTACTCAATATCATTTGAAGGAAACAGCTGACCAGCTGTGGATATAGTTGTCAGGTTGGATCATGAACCCCCATTGAACCCGAACCCGCTCGTATTGGATCCCGCGTCGGGTGAATGTTCCGCCCGTGGGTCGAAAAACCATACATAACCAACCGGTGTCCCAAGGGTCAGGTCAACATATAACCAAGCTTAATACGGGGTTTATACCACTTATCCCAGCCAAGAGCTTGGCAGATTGGGCCGGCTGGGTCTGGAGCAGAGCATGTCGGTATGGCAGTCTATAGCTGTTCGTAAAATACTTTGTCATCAAGGGAAAAAGTTCGACGTGCGTGTGACCGGATGGACTTTATCTGTGATCGTAATTAGGAACTGGGGCATTTTCTTATCTAAGCTATTTTGAATCTGAGGATAGTCTTGATCTTCTATGTGGTTCACAGATGGTTCGTGAGAAAGGCACATGAGCGACTTTTGTTGAACTGGGTTGCATAGTTTGATCTCATGCAAAGATGTCGTTATCTTTATGTAGATGTCCCTGGGTTTAGTTCAGGGCGATGATGCCAAGATAAGAAATAGCCAGAGAAGGTCTCTACATACTCATAACCTCGAATGAATTCCTACCCGCCCAAACACTGCACCATTCCAAGGCTATCTAAAGAATCAACCCCGCCTTCCGAAAGAGTGCAAAACTCTCCAACCAGCCTTCAACTGGATCCCGATCCTCCTCAAACCCAGTCCCCTTAAGCTTCTCCAAACATAGCTGCCGATCGAACGTCAGCCAATACCCCACGCTATCCAACTGGCGGTTGCCAGCCCCCACACCTCCAGTGATAGCCTTCTGACATCCGTACCGAGTAAAGATATCCTGATACTTAGCTATATACTCCCCCGGTGCGAGCGATGAAGCTTGTTCAGGAAGTTCTCCAACTTTCAATTTATTCTGTTCTGTTTCCTGTGCGGACTCGACAGGTCCCACACCGACAAGGCCAAACCATCTCGCTAGCTGAGGCCACAATGATCCGTACGTGCATGGCGTCTCTCGGTCAGCAATATTGAATAACCGACCATCTCCACATATCTCCGGGTGCAACGACGCATAGATCATGAAACGTGCAAGTCGAGTACTAGATACGGGGCTGAACATTGACGTAGCGCCGGCCATGGAGCCAGGGAATGAAATCTCCACGACGGGGCCGGTGCTTGCCTCCTTTCCTTGGGTATGTGGTCCGATGCCGTTGTTGTAGGCATATAAGGATAGATACTGCGCCCAGTGCAGGGCCAGACTGAATTGTGATCCGTTCGGTGTGAAACCAACCTGGGATTGGAGTCAAATTTAGTTTGGCCCAAGGAAACATGTTGAGGAAGAGAGAGGAAACTGACAATGGCATCCGGACACACTTCGCACCAGGTCCATTTCTTTTGCGCGCTGGATGCGTTGAGGATTTTGCGGTAGAATGGATACACGACTGTTTTTGTGTACTCGGGTGGAAGGTTGTTTACCATGTCTTCGTGCAGGGGTGGGGTGAATGTCCCGCCGGGGGAATAGATGCCGTAGCCCTTGGAAAACGTCACTGTTAGAACCAGACGGCATGGCGGATGGCTTATGGGCTATCCTAAGTTGGGTGTCCTACTCGTGTTCCACCAACAAAGGCCACGAACTGGAGCTTCGGGCTAATCATGTTATGAACATCGATCACATTCTGCAACATACGTCGATTGGTCGCAACTTCTTCCAGGTCATCGTCCATGGCGGTAAATACTGCTGATGGTAAGTATACTTAAGTACGACCGTTATAGAGCAACATACCCAAGTAATAAACATGAGTCACATCTTCAATACCGTGGACGACCCCCCTCAAATGCTCCAACAACACATCTCCATTCCACCCACGAAGGTCCACGCCCGAAACAAGCTGCAGATCTGGCCGATGCGATTCCGGCTCCGGCCAAAATGTCTCCGACGGATCCAGAGGCCGGTTCGTGATCGCTGTCACCTTCTTGAATGTGTTAGCACCAGGGTATGGGGCCAAAAGCTGGTTGATCAGAGCCCAGCCGATTAACCCCGATGCGCCGTATACGATCGCGTGATTGGGACTGTCTGCCATTTTCGACGTGTACTGGTTGTCTGAAGTTCTTGTGTCTGCGGGTTTAGTGGATGAGAGGCGCGCTTTTGTATAGAAAGTTGCGCCCGAAAGTTAGTCAATGCGCGGGGACCAAGATGGGTTTAGCCGGGCCAAGAAATTAGTTCATGGCAGGCGGGCGGATGGGCAGGTTCGCAGGCTTACAGTATCGAAATTTGGGTTTATCCTCTCCAATGATTTTAACGAAAGCTTCCGCGGGTTGTGTCTGTCATGGAACGGTTCTTTTTTTATTTGATTATTGTTGTCAAGTATGTGATAGCGCCACATATCGCGCTGTGTGACTTGAGATGTGGCGTTATCCTCAAAATAACATAGAAACAGGCAGGAAGAAAAGGCAGTACGGAAAGGGGAAAAGAGCATACAGTCAATAATGGGCTGTTCCTGGGGTGTCACTTAATCGTCTTGAGGGGAGCAAGAATGGTTTCATTTGCCGTGTCCCTATAATATCCCCCTGTCGGAATACCCTCCCTGCACATATTTTCTCCCATCCCCGAGTGACTTCCACATCAACCACATCAACCACATCAATGCCAAATCCTGCCCATTGCAGCAGACCTGGAGAAACTCAACCTTTATTATCTTTCTTCGTCCGAGTAGCTATGATTGAATATATGCAGATGCAGTTCTCTTGCTAGCCCACCCGGGTGAAGTTAGTGCCAATGCATGACCCCGCCCAGATGAGGCTGTGTTGCGAACAAGGCTGAGATTCCAGATCCCCTTCGCTTGATACCCCTCTCCCAGAATATTTTCCAAGCTAATCTCAGCGCCAAGAAAATGTCCAAGGCACCGTCTCAGCTTCCTTCGAGATCTAATAACTTGAAAATGACCCTCTCTCGCTGGCGGTCTAGGATCTGGGGTTACAGTGCAGCGCAATCGAGTAGTGCCTCAGACAAGTTGAATATTTCCGATAAGAAAAATACACAAAGCCCGGTCACGAGTCAAAACGAGTCCTCTTTGTCAGAAGCGGATGGCAACAGAACAGTCACTCGAGATCTGTGGGCGGAGGCTTTCGAGGAGCTCTCCCCGCAGACCCAAACCCAACTTTCCAAGTTCGGTTATCTCCCAGATGAATCAAGTCTCCAAAAAAGAGATATCGACACTCTACTTCACGGCTTCCAGCAGAAAAGCGAAAAATGTGAACAGAAGTCTTGGAAGTATAAGACCGAGCGCCATGAAATCATTGTTAGAGACTACGCCGCCAAGTGCGCAACCTGGGTGCAGAAAGTCGGCGATTTGATCCTCCCGTTTGCACCATCCCCAGTTGCTGGACCGTGGGGACTAGTCAAAGCTCTTTTGCAGGTAAGAAATGGGTACGATCGTTGTTCATGAAGGAGCGCTTAAGCAGTATCTAGATTCCCGTTTCATACGCAGAGGAAATGCTCGCCTTGCTTGGGACGCTAGAGAAGGCTCTACAGATCATCCATCATGGCAGTGTATATGAATCTGTCTACACTGCAGAGACAGTACCCGAATTTCTTCTGGCTATGTTACAACGCGATCTTATCAAGGTTTACAAAGCAGTCCTCGAGCTCCTGAACCACTGCACAGTGCAATTATCAAAACCAATGCTAAAAAGGCTGGTAAGCGAGGTTCTATATCCTGATAGAACATCTGGAATGTCCTCAAACCTGTCAAATTGTCAAGTCGACCTTACGAAAACAATTCAAACTTGTGAGAGTCAGCGCAGTGCAGACGCGAATGGCACGGCCACGAAGCTACTCCATGCAATACACCGCCCCCTTTTACGAATTGAGGCGCATGTAACAAACCACCTCACACGAGTTGACAAGAATAAGGCTCTGGAACTCTTGGAATGGATCTCCCCCGTGCCATACGGCAAACATCATACTACAGTGCAAACTGAGCGAGCGGCTAATACTGGGGAGTGGCTGTTGCAGCACCCCATGTTCCGTGACTGGGAAGAGAACAGTTCGTCTGCTGTACTTTGGTTGCGAGGATCCCGTAAGTTTCCGTCTATTTCATAGAAGGCCCTAGCATTAATCGCTGCAGCGGGGGTGGGCAAGACATTCCTCACATCCAAAGTTATCGACCATATTCAAGAAGCCCTATCAAATACACCCAACCACGAGGGACTTGCATTCTTTTACTGCAATCGCAATGATGTTGGTACATCTCAGCCCCTGTCCGTGGCACAGAGTTATATTCGGCAATTATCCACCACGGCACGGGGCGAATGGGAGTATTTTCAAGTCAGTCTGGAGAAAACGTGCGTTGAATTACGATCCAAAGGAGCGCATCTGGACCTTGGGACATGCAAAAAGCTACTGACAAATTCCCTAAGCCTCTACCCGAGGACAACACTCGTATTGGATGCCTTGGATGAATGCGATCCTGTCTCACGTGAGAAACTAATTCTTTTGTTCAAGGAGGTACTCCGCACCAGCACCAGGCCCATCAAGCTATTTATTTCAGGCCGTCCCGACGGAGATATTCGACATCACTTCAGCTCTCAACCCACGATTGAGATCCAATCGAGTGACAACCACAAGGATATTGAGACTTATGTTTGTCAGATGTTACCTCGACTGGCGGAAAAGAACAGCGAAATGAGAGATCTGCAACCGGTCATTACATCAAGGATTCTGGGCTCATGTCAGGGAATGTAAGCATCGCAGCTTCTTATATCCTATCACTAAGCTGACGCTCTATAGGTTCCAGTGGACTTTCTTACAGCTGGAACAGCTCCGAGACTGCGTCAGCCGGGAGGCAATCCTCGAGTGCCTTGGCACCCTTCCCAGGACACTCGACGAAGCCTATGACAATATTTACAGCAAAATCGTCAACGGCAGACCCCATGATCGGGATCTGGCAAATCGGGCATTTATGTGGGTCATGGCCGCTGCTAGACCACTTCACAGGGTAGAGCTTCTTCAAGCGATCCGTATCGACCCGGATCAAACCACGTTGAACATGTGTGCTGCTATCACTGAAGATTCGCTACAGACCTTATGTCGCAACCTCCTGGTGCTTGACTCACAGGGTTTGTGGAGAATCTCGCATCTGTCAGTAGCAGAATACTTTGAGTCACGTCACGGCTGGACTCCCCCCGTAACGAGCTTGATGGCAAGTAAGGTCTGCCTACTCTTGCTGCTCGACGCCCCTAACCTGCTCACAATCGAGGAGAGCGGTCTCACCATAGACGACGAAGCGAATACAACTCCAACTAAACCCTCAACCTATGACCCAGACAACTTTTTTCAGGAGTATCTCCCCTGCTACTGGCCGACCCATATTCAAATCGCAGAACAAATTTCCCTGACAGCTCTCGCACCTGTCACAGCACTTCTGGAACGATTCTTGGGTACCCCATACGAAAGCAGCTCACAATACCGCGTCTGGTGTGACGAGGTTCAGCGATTTCACCGAGTGCTCGGTAAATTGTTTTACCCTGGCACAAGAATGCCCTGGGAGGACTCCATCCTGACCGCCTGTGAGTTTGGGTTTAATCTGTCGTTGAAGCGCTGGTGGGAGGCTGCAGCCGTGGACCACACCAGAACCAATGTGTTTGGACAAACTCCCTTGACAATCGCCGTATCTAACGGCCATGTCGCCCTCTGCCGGACTCTGCTACAAAAGGGGGCAGATCCGCATGCTCCTCAGGGTAACGCGAACCTTCCAAAGCTCACACCACTCGTTAGCGCCGTGACAAACGGAAGCCTCGAGGGGGTTCGCTTCTTGGTGCGGGAAGCTCACGTGGATGTCGACACACAGTTGGCAAATCCAGATTTACCCTGTGCACTCGATGCAGCGATATGCCAGAAAAACTCGGAGATCATGCACTTCCTCGTCACTGAAGCCAGAGCCAACGTGGACATGGAACTTACCCATGGAAAATATGGAAGTTGTCTGGCCCACGCCGCAGCGGAGCTGCCATTGGAAACAGTCAAATACCTAGTGGAGGAGGGCAGGGCGAACGTGAACCTGGTTCTCCGTCACGGAATCTACGGCAGTGCCCTTGTTGCCGCTGTCGCGCTCGATCCCCTGGCCATATTCAAGGCGAGGACTCCAGAACAAAAGCACTTAACCATGAAATATCTCGTGGAGAAGGGCAAAGCAAACGTGAACCTGGCGCTTCAAACGGGAACGTACGGAAGTGCGTTGGCAGCAGCAGCTATGAATGAAGACGATAAATTTGTCAACTACCTTGTCGATGTTGGTAATGCCGAAGTCAACATGCCGCTCCCTAGCTCTCCGCATGGTAGCGCGTTGTCAGCAGCTGCATATTATGGGAACAAGGCCGTCGTGGAAGTCCTGATAGCTGCAGGAGCCTCAATCATGCTTGCTCTCGATGACGGGAGAACAGCTAATGCGGTAGCGGCTGCTCGAACTTCCCTCTCGGAGGAGGATCACAAACAGCGTTTCCTGATTATTTTCGGTCACATTTCAGAGTTTATGGCGAGTGGCAAGGCTGAGATAGCGGGGATTTTGAAGCACGAGGAACGAATGGCTGGGTGCAATGGGAGTACATAAAGGCTCTGTGCATTGCTGCTCACCGTGTGAATTCAAAATTCCGCATGGCGCGGTCAAATAGTAGGGCATGAATGGGGTATCATTGTGTGTTGCTGTTCTTGGGAGTACAAGTATAGTTCGGGCAGCATAGCCCTTGGTAGTCTAGACTCAGTAGTCCTGTATGCAATACTGTAACTAACTTTCAGCCAATATCTGTATCATTAGTACCCAGCACCAGCTCAGAATGCTCAACGTGTCCTTCGCCCTCAGCCAAGTACACCCAGTCCGAATATTGGTCAATTGACGATGTTTACATCCCCAGGAATAAAAACCCCAAATTGGTCCGTCATCATTGGATTAATTGCAAGAGACCAACGACTGAAGACAAGAATAATCACACTACTATGTTCATCGCATCATACTCATCATACTATCTACAATCAACCCTCCCCTCATATCATCGTCATCATCAAAGGACATCTATATACTCTAAACAGGACTATATATTCCGAAACCCGCACAAACAAAGAAAGCACAAAATGATATCTTCATAGACTCCGTATATACTCTTCCATATCAAGCATCCGCAGCTCTCGACTCTCGTCGTTGCCCCTCCTTCTGCATACCAAGCTGATACTCAACCTTCTCCACCACTTCACTATCTGTCGAGGAATCATACTTTTTGTCTATATCCTCCAACTCCATTCGCCGGGTCTCGGGAATAAAGAAGTATCCGAAGATTACCGATACAGCGGATAACGAGCCGTACAGGAAGCCGAGTTTACCGCCGATGTCGACGTGACCGGGGTCGTCGGCGGTTTCGAGGTATGGGTAGGAGAATGTGACGGCGAATCTGAATTTCAATCAGTATCGGTTTGAATGTAATCTATACATGGTGGTGAGGTTAAGGGAGGATAACATACTCAGTCACTAGTTTCATGGTATACGCGATTTGGAGGGTCATTTCTCGCAACGGCGCGGATGGCAGTTCCGCTCCCAGCACGTACACTAGCGGTGCCCAGGCAAGCGACCAACCAAAGCTGTACAGCAGGAGCATAGCCACGATACCCTCTTTGGCAGGTTTATTCTTGGAATCTGCAGTTCCCAGTCCACCCATGGTCATCAACGCGACCGTTTCGAGAATTCCGCTCGTATGGAATAGCATCCTGCGATGACAACCATTAACCAACACCGATCGCGTAGCGATAGAATGGGGGAAATCGCACCTGCGCCCAACCTGATCACTTAACCCGGTCGAAATAATCAACGCGCCAATATCCACGGCATTAGTCCCCAACGTAACACTAAACGCATTAACCGATTTGAGCTGTTTGACAAACAACGTCCCATACTGCGACGCAAACGCCTGTCCCGACGCCTGTTGAAAGAAATTCGCAGCCACCACCACAAACGTGCGTTCACGATTCTTCACCGTAAACAGATCCTTGAACCGCTTCTTCTGCATTTGGGCGGCGACCTTCTGCGCCATTTCCTCGAAATCCTCGTGGATTTCACTCTCGGGGGTACGTTGCGATCGGTATCGTTTCAGCGCGTGGAAGGCTTCTTCTTGGCGGTCGCGGAGGAGGAGCCAGCGTGGGGATTCGGGCATGATCCATACGAGGAAGATGCAGATGAATGGGATCACGAGGATTAGGCCGAACGGGATGCGCCAGGCGGTGTTGGTGGTGATGCTGGAGGTTCCGCGCGCGATGCCGGTGACTACTAATCCGCCGATTTTGATGCTCAGCCAGTAGAGCACGCCCATGGCGCCGCGGACGTTTCGGGGGGCCAGTTCAGCGAGGGTGGTGGGGATCACGGCCATTTGCATTCCTAGGTAGATGTCTGGAGTTGTTAGTTTGTGTTGTTCGAATTGGGGGTTTGATGAGTGTTGGGTTGGGTCGGGTCAGACTGACAATGTAACGCCCGACCCGCCAGAATCTGCCCATCCGTGGTAGAGCTCACCACGACCGCTGCACTCCCCAGCGCATAAAGATTCATACTAAATATGCAGATTTTCCGTCCATATGTGTTGCTGATATACCCACCGATAAAAACACCTATCTGACACATTAGCCATCTCCCCAAAGCAAAAGAAAAACCCACACCAACCAAGAATCTGCGTCGCCGCCTTCAAACTATTATAAAGCGACGTAAACATCGGCTTCACCTTATATTTCCCCGTACTCGGGTGATAAACCCCAAACTGGCGCTCAAACGAGTCCATGGCCTGGCACGACGCAAACGCCTGATCGCTGAATCCATAATTAAACGCCGAAACTGCCAACAAGCAGGTGGTGAAAACCAGCATTCGACTCCATTGGTTTCGAGATGCCATTTGGCCTGCGAGCGATCAAGCACCGTTTGGGGCCTGATCAGATAATCAGAGCCCGAGATAATCAGATAATGGAGGTAGTAATCAGATCATCAGATAGTGGCTGGCGACTGGTTGGGGTTTATAACAAACAGGTTTGGGCGTCCCGTGTGTGGGCATTGGACACTGCACAGGCGCGGAGGATCAGTCTGGTCCGATCGACCGACCGACCGGTCAGTGGGACTAGTTGTTGGAAAGTTACATCGGTAATCTTCGCTTTTTTAGCGTGTGTGAGTGTCGTGTCTGTATCCGTATGTGCGGGTTACTTGGTATCCCTGGTGATGGTCAGCCCATTGTCAATCTAAGATGAGTGTTTGGCTTCTTGGACCAATCTATATTCTTCCAAGTAAGACTTCAGCCGGCACAAGTTCCTCAAATTGATCAATTTCTCAATCTCAGTCTCCTCTCCCCTGCCGCTGCCGGGATCCCTAATCCGATCCCTTATCTCTACTCCGTGTCTTCCGGTACTGTATTGTACTGCGTCCTGCATGTCTGCCTTCTCATGCAGCAGTTAGCTCGCCTTTGATCTGGATCACGGTACCATCAAGGGAACATACTGCACTTCCGTACAAACCCATTTGATATCCTACCTTCGATATCAGAAGTCAGTATGGAATCCACATTTACGTGTTGCCAAGCCCGCCAAGCCTTGCAGAGGGCGTAGGGCTGGCGATAGGGCTGAAGCCGCCCATTGACCCTTCAACCAGCATCAGGTAGTTACAAATACGGGAATACTCAATACCGTCCGCTCTCGTTCTACCCGGACTAGTCCGTGCTCGAAAATTTCTCACCCCCGGAGATTCTTCTTCCGGGTACGGAGTAAGCAGACCACTTTTTTCGAAGGAGGGGTAAATGCATGCGTGCATGACTTCCTCTCATGGTTTTTGTTTTGGGTTCGGAGTATTGGTTGCTTGTCCGTTGGTTAATATATGAACCACTTTCCTGTGGTCTGGACTTATAGTCCATCATGCACGTTGATTGCGCAATGTCCTAGGGGATATTAACTTATCCATTGGGTTCGGAAATAGAATGCGAGCACGGGAGGTCGGATTCATATTTGAATCAATGGTGGTTCGATGGACGTTGAATCCTCCGTATTCTGAGCCTTGTGGGGGCCGCGCGACAGCAAGCTAGAACCATACCGTTCGGGCATACCATAATATTACCTGCCGTTCCAGTCTCAACCCCTCCCCGCGCGCTTGCTTGGGTTATTTCACGTTGGAGGACAATGCGTGAGACTAATGGTTCCTTCAGTGGGGGTGTCGCAAAGTGCTCCTGTTTATGGCCTAGTAGCGCATTGCGTGCATGGCTTGGCGTCTATCGCGGATACTCCGAGCGATACCGTGGGATATGCGTAGTGATATGAAGATGGGAGGTTCTGCTGGCCATCCATACATCTGACAGTTCCTTGGATAAAAGTTGAGGGCGTTCCTGTTGTGAGGGTGAGAGAGTCTGGCGGTGGTGTGTTGTAGTAACCACCCATTTATGAGTATTCCTGGCTTTCAGTGCAATGTCAATCGAAGAAAAAGGAAATGGAAACGAGGGAAATATGAAAGGTAGAAGAAGGAGGGACGAAGACATAACGAATTTCGAAAGACGATATGCTAATCTTTACAGAGCCCACGTAGGAATCCTAGAAGTGAACTGACATGCCGTGACATACTTGAAATCCCGTTTGTCCCATATGGCATGAGATAGACGACTGTTGATATCAGGCATGGTTCCTACCCAAGTTAGTTGGTTCCACGTCCTACTGAGTTAGATGCAGTCTCTGTGTGATGTCAATCGGTTTCATGTTGTCAAGGTTACGCATTGTCCGTATTAAGTCCGAACGGGCCGTTCGAAACCCCGAGGAGATGATAGGTTATTCCGATCGACTGGCAGTTGGTTTGGATGGATTCATACCAATTTGCGAATAATTTGATGCTAAATACCGCAAAATGTCGATATAAGCCGGTAGACCTTGACCATTTCTGCAGAAAGGTGACACACAACGTTGACCAGGGAGCATGCACCTAGAATATGTAGGTAGTACCTGCATTCGAGACGCTCTTGCCGCATAGAGTGCATCCTCGTGTGCTACTTCAGTGTCATCTTGTACATCCTCCCTATTACACCGAGTGAGAATCGCAATTTCAAGGAAATGAAACATACCTGCGTATGTAGTCTCAAATCCCTTACCCATCCGCGCCAGCATCTTGCTCGACATTCCATCATCGTCCCATATTGACCAAGATGCGCTTCTCACTTATGATCCTCACTGTTCTCCCTACCCTCCTAATTTCACCTCCGACATTCGCCCTTCCGAACCCTCCAACCCCCAACCAACTCCTCCCCCGCACTACGGATACAATCACCGTCATCACTTCTCTCGTTGGCGTCGGCTTGAAAGGTATCAACCTAGATAAAGCCGTCCGGTCCTTTACCCCAGACGGTGTAAACGAGATCCGAGCCCGCTCACTGGATTTGGAGCATAGCCTTGACCAGGCGCAATCAACCGCTAAATCGGTCGAGAAACTTGACGCTCTCAGCAGTAACATAATTGCTGGGATCTGTACACCACTGAAGCCTCTTTTTTCAGATCTGCTTAAAGCCATCAGTGACAAGGTACACCCCCTTCCCCCTAGATGGATCGCCAGTGGTGGGGATAGTATTGACGCCGTGCAGAGAAGCGAGTTCTTTGCGGCCAAATATGGTGATGATATGCTGAAGACTCTGATCAGTCTGAGGATCCGGAGTCGGGCGCTGGCATTGACGGTAAAGTTTATCACGATGGAGCTTGATGGGGCGTATATTCTTTTCCTGGAGGATCTGGTGGATAAGCAGTATGAGTTGGTGATTGAGGAGTATAAGAAGAACAAGGGTGACGACGGTGACGATGATAAAGAAGGCGAGTCGGTTTGATTGATAAGTGTGTGTTATGGTGGTATTCGCTGGTGCGTGAACTGGATTATGTATGGGGACTTTAGAACAGCCATCAGCTGGGAGCTTGAGTGTAGATGATGGCTTGGAATTCGGATCGTCAATCCCTGTGCTGTCCTTATAGTTACCTGTGAGATGCCAGAATGAAGCCTTTGGCAGCCTTTCACTCTGGGCTCCCTAGAACACAAAAGATAAAAGGGTAGAAGTGATAAAAGGAAAGTCAAGGCGTGCTGGCATCACTTGCCGGGCGGGAAGAACAACCGCAGGATAGTTAAGTCAAGATTTATGCCCGCTGACTAAGCTATACCCACAATCAAAGTTCTGCACATCAACTGCGAAAGGTCCTTCATTTGCGATCGGAAACCCCGGGTTTGAGTCAGTGTCGCCTTGTCTATGCAAATCCCACAAGATTGGGTAGAATTCTATTCCACAGTTCCAGCTCAATCCAACTGATCGCCAGTTGAGGAAACCATCGTATGACGTCGTTCGGACTCTGTTTATCGCCTCACCGCCTTGCGAATAGCGGAAAATTGCTGCCTACGTAGCGAAGCGGGTGCTCGAGCGCTGAGCTAGAAAAGATTTCGCACACAAGTCAATAATTCATTATTGCGGCGGGATATATACAATCGTAGAGTAGACATTATTATTCGCAAAGCTCAGATACCCAATTGATACGCCGAATGCGCCCGTACCCGATCTAAATCCTTCGCGACCGGCACATCAGGACAGGGGCATTGTTTATTTATTGGCGAGAATGTAGCTGAGACATCGTTAGTGTTGGGGTGACCGCGAGTTGGATGAGCAGTACATACTAGGCGTGGATGACACCTGGCACCCAACCCAGGATACACAGACAGATGTTGATGAGGAGATCGCAGCTGCACCCGGTGCGCATGAAGACGCCCACGAAGGGGAGGAAGAAGGCGATGATGATTTCGCAGCAGCCGCTAATGCGAGGTTTGGATTAGTCTCTTCCTTTGCAAGGGCGGCAGTCTGACAGAGCTGAGAACGTACACTTTTCCGGGCATGGTGGCGGTTTCTGTGTTTCTTGTAGAGGGGTTGTTTGGTTGAATGTACTGAGTTTGACCCAAGAGAGGGGGAGGAGTGGTCGAGCTTCAATTCTGAAAAATGGAGAAACAGATTTGGTCGGAGTCAGGGGATTTTAAAAGGTCGAGGACTGAGAAACTGGTGACGTCATGCTTGATGCTGTGTAGGGCTGAAAGTGGAGCGGGTTTGCATGCCGTGGGAATGCCCATCATGATGCGCCACTGCCCTGGTCTGATGTAGCCAGAGTTTGCGAGACACGCGTCGATCCTCTTCGTCATCAGGTACTGCTCTTGTTGGCTTGTGATCGTCCTCAGGTTCAATGTTTTGCAGTCTACCAGTTGTCATCCGTGACTGCAGCTAACCACGTAGCTCTGCCAGGCGAAACGATGTGTTTCAACCAACGGGTACATGGATTGTGTCTATCCTGTAATTGTTCTTAGTTCCTGCTACGACACAGCCCAGTAACTTGGTACCGAACAGATGTTTTGAAACTCATGGCTCGCTCCAAAGGGAACCTGGGCTTTATTTTGCCACCCATCTCCGTCTTCGCTAGCTCCGGCCTGAGGCATCAAAACGTGTTTACGTTTATCCCCTATGGTCAGTACGGATAGTGTCAGCATGCCGGGAAGGTTGATCTTGACACCTAGCCATAATGAAGCTCCAGCCAAGACTTAATTGAACATACCTGTCCCGGCATTACATTGTTCACGCCTTCATCTAGGCCTCACTCCATCCTGTCGGTTTAGCCTTAAGAGGACGATCTGGAATCGATGCAAGTCGAATAAGTGGCCTGGAACATGAGAATAGTCTAAAAATTTGGTGCTAACTGTGAACCAACCTTTCTTAGAAGCAAGCCTGGGTGATTGGCCATTCAGACAACCTACGGTCTGTCCGATCCGCTAGACCCCGCGACCCCACCATTCCACGTCAACACAGGAAGCAGAGCCATAAAAAAAAAATGCCCACTCCACTGATACCTGAACCCGATTCTCCGTACAAGCCACTGAATTGCATCCCAGACTCTTGGGTCTTGCTACAATGTCGTTGTCTTATGCCAAGCTAGATCCTGATAACAACGAGATTCGGCTCCTAACCATCTTGCCCGACGAGAACGAGTCTAATCCAGTCGAAGGGTCGCTTCAGATCATATCACTCAAAGACTCGCATGAGTTCGAAGCACTTTCCTATGTCTGGGGTGATATCACTGTCACAACGGACGTTATGAACATCTTAGAAGGTATCCTTGACATATTATGTGCACCCTATTGGCAGCGACTGTGGACCTTTCAGGAGTGGCACCTACCAAGAACGAGGCCGATCTGTATGACTGGGAAAGCTCACTTTCACGTTGGGGAACATGTTTAGTAGGCTGGGATTGCTATACAACTCCATTGAGGAGAAGGTGCTTAGATTTCGCAAAACGGTCAACCAAGTACCAGACGGCGAAGCAAAGGAGTTCTCTGAGTATCTGCTAAAACGGCTTGATCTTATACACCAAAAATCCTTTCAAACCTTTGTCCCTCTCCTACCAGGAGACCTTCTGGTGCAAAAGGACCTGCACCCTGACCCAGGTTCGCCACCTAGTTGCCCTCTTGGCGTACTGCTATCGATCACGACTCACCGAAAACGCAGCAACCCACTTGACAGGGTGTATGCATTATATGCAATGGCTCCTTTGGTTCAGGAGAAGTATCCTCCAAGCTATCAGAAAACAGTGAATCAATTGAACCATGAAACAACAGCATACATTTTACAATATGAGGGAAACATGAAAATTATTGAGAACTTTAATTTCTTTAATGACGAGTCACTTCCATCATGGGTATTAGATTTTGTCACAACAACCCAACAGCACTTTGGTACGAGTTGGGCAGCCTGCAGTAAACAGGCAGTCCCTGAAGCATCCCTGTGGCAAAAGCCAGAGGGCTATTCGCCTACAATATCCGATGACCTGCGGATCTTGCAGCTTTGTGGCCGAGTAATAGGTGCCGTCCAGGAGTCACTCACATTAAGTACAGAGAGTCACGCGCCTCTCAGAGAGATCCTAACCCATATTGAACGCATCAGGAGTGATGAGAGTGTGTGGCTTTGCGGTTCCGGAATGACAGAAAAGCTCATCGGCGCGTGTTACAACTTTACTGAGCCATACGGTAGCCTGTCCTTCGCTTTCTTCAGTGAAACCTTAAGCAACCTCGGGCGGGATGGCCAGCTTCTAGATATGGAGGGGCGGTAGATACGAATATCTCTTGAATGCTTCTCTCAGCTAAAGGGGAAGTCTTCGTTCTCATTATCAGCTACCGAGGATCCAACGCCGATGAGCTTCGGGTTCAAGACTGTGATGTCAAGGGGGGGTGATATTCTTTTTATCGCCCGTGGTGTTTCTCAAGTGCTCGTGCTTCGTCCACTAGAGGGGTGTATGGATTGGAGCGAGGAGGAAGTACCCTGCTGCAAAATCGTTGGACGCGCCTTTGTGGAGGGCATCGCAGAGCGACAAAAACATCAACCCAATGCATTTGCTCAGAAGGTAAAAGATACCCCAGTGGTACAAGTTGATATCAAATAGCAGTACCTCCAGTACTTTTGGCACTGAAAGAACTCCGGAGATAACATGGCACCGAATATAGTGTGACTTGGGAGAGGCAGGCCATAGAGAAGACCTCCCGCATTACTTGGGTAAACGGGGATAAGGCATCCTCTTCCTGTATCTCGGTGCGATTTAGGCGCTGACGTTTCAATTGATTCTCTCCACATCAATTGATTTTTCCAAGAATGCAGCCAGCACATACAACCGCAATGGACGAGCCCCTTAGTAAGCATTTAAGGGCGATATTGCTTGGGATGACCCGGGGGGGGGTTCGGCGGAGGTTTGCTGGGGCGGGTGGTGTGGTATGTTTTCTGGGCCGAGTATAGAGTCGTGAGAAGATTGTTGGCTTTGTGAGGTGGTGGTTCTACTGGGGTAATTATATTTGTTTGTTATTAAAGTTCCCTCTAGCCCCTTTGCCTTTTTTGTTTGATTGTGTTATCATTTATGTGATATATCCAGACCCGACGGATGTTTGGCAGCGAAATCCTGCCTCCTCTCCTTGCGATGCCCGCTGGGATAGGGATGCTTTAGACGGCGAGCGATGGAGGCACACGCTAGGGGATCCAGGTTGGCTATTAACACGTGCGAAATGCTATATCTTTGTTATCCTATTTATACCCGTTTATGTCATTGTTGGTGTCCTTAAGAATAATGGTGTATTCGCAATTATGATGAGGCCAATTGTGGCATCCTCGGAACTGCACAACGAGAAGTTGCTACAAAGAAGTAGTAGTCGTATTCATCAACATCTGGCGGAAGGCTAGAGCCTCCCAGAGCCCTGTGCAGTTGCTATAAACAAACTCAGTTCGCATTATATACTCCATGCAATCATGCATCATGAATCATTCAATCCGAAAACCCTTTCGCGGCCAGTGCTTCCGTCCTGGACTGGCTATTCGGGTCCAGATAAGGCCTCTCCCCGATTCCAACTGCGCGGTGTCCGAATCGTTCTCCAAGACCCTCGTAATCGAATGTCGCGCTGTGGTACACTGACCGGTTATCCCAAATAGCTATCACGCTGTTAGCTACCCATACCTCCTATTCACCTCCCAAAACACACATAAAAACGAAAGAGAGGGGGGGGGGGCAGCCTCACCAATATCATGCTCATTCCTCCACTTAAACCTCACCTGGAGATCATGATTCTCCGTAATCACCGATTTAAACTTTCTCAACAACTCCTCCGACTCACTCGCAGTCAACCCATTAATATATTTCGGAAACGGTCCCAACGCAAAAATACTCTTCCACCCGGTCACCGGATTCGTACGCACAACCGGATGCACGGCTGATAACTCCGCCCCGACATTCAACGGACTTCCTCGCGGGTCCGTGTACAGTTTGATTTCCGTGGGGTTCCTCTCCGCGGCTCTGATGAAGCCATCGCCCACGAACGTCGCCGTCAATCCTTCGAAGAATTCTTGGTATTTGCGGGAAAAGCGGTCATAGATCTCGTATCCGGACGCCCAGAGCGTGTCGCCGCCGCTGCTGGGGAGCTGGGTCAGTCGGAGGGAGGTGTAGTCGGCGGGCGCGGGCTCGAATTGGATGTCGGAGTGCCATTGGGCGGAGTCGTAGCGGCGTTGGTCGGGTTGGCGTTCGTGGATGAACATCTTCTTGCGGGCGAGGGAGCTGATGGTGCTGATTTGGGCGTCTGCGACGCCGAATTCGCTCGTGTTGTTGAGGACTGGGTGGATGTGCAGGGTCGAGCTGGCGGGTTTGCCGGTGAGTTCGCCGAGTCGTTGGACGAGGGTCTTTTGGAGGTCGTCGGTGAGGTTGGTTTGGGCGCGGAAGAAGACGACGCCGCGTTGGGAGACTATGTGAGAGTAGTTAGTGAGGGGGTTGGGTGGTGGTGGGGGTGGTGAGAGGTACTTGTGATGGCTAGGTCGCGCACCAGTTCATCGGAATTGGGCGCATTCAGCAGGTCGTCGACGATGTTGACGGTGGGATACTCGCGGCCAATGACGGGGGTGGTTTCTTCAAAGGCGAACTTGTCCAGAGCGCCGCTGGGCTTCAACGGCGTGGGATATCGTGGCTGGTCGATCTTCGCATCCCCAGACGATGGGTGTGAGTGGATGGGAAGGTCTGTAGAGAGTCCGGGAGCCATGATGGTGGTTACTAATCAATCGAGTAAATAGTTGAAAGAAGTTGGATACTGGGAAATGGAAGCATGGCTAATGCTGGGGACTACCAAGTATATACGGCGTTGATAAGCAACGGTTCTCGGCATCACGCAATTGCCGTCCGCGGTTATGCAATGCCTCACCAACAACAGCCGGTCTCACGTTATCGCCTATCGCCGATATGATGGGCTCCCCGCATTCCTGAGACCTCTTGCGCCATACTTGCTCGGATGATGTGTTCATTATGGCCTCTATTAAGGTTTCATTGACCATGGACCCCCTAGCCGCGCCCGTGCGGGCGATCTCGGATGCCCAGGCGGTTTTTAGGGATCCTCGGGAGAGGCGTCGTCAATCGCACTGGCGGCAGTGCCTCATATATCTAATATATCTGAGATATTATGATCATGTTCGGTAATCAAGTGTTGTCGATTGGTTGCTTGGTACATCCCTTGGGAAGATATAGAAATGCGATCGTCCTGGCTTGTTCTTGCACAGAGGCAGTAGCCCAAAGCAGCCAAACACGGCTCCGATTTTGCCGATAACTCATATTCCCTGGGTGAAACAACCCTGGGGGTATAATTTTCTGTGAAGGGTGGAAGGTGTTGACGTTCCATGTGGCTGCGATGCTCTGCAAGGACTCCGACCTGCATAAGTCTCTGCGCCCGAGATGTATATGGACTGCGTCCGGTGGTAGAAGAAGAATAGGTTGACCTTCTGAGGGCATGCCAACTGAAAACTGGCATGTTCGGTACTGAGACCTTTGCTGGATCATATTAGTGAGGCCCTGGCTCCGTATATAGTCCTGCTTTTTGTTCATGCATATGTTCCAGTGTTCTTGATCCTGATAGACGTTTACCTCTCTGGAGGTGATATAGCTGTCGAAGGTGTGTTTATATCCCGAAAGAATCGACTGAAAGAAGAGATGAGAAGACCTAAGTGCACTTCATGGCACGCTTAGCCAAGTCCTTCTGCTCTAGTAGGTTGCAGATCATAGAGAAAGGGATGCCCATTATTCTTGAAAGAAGGTATCGTTCCCAAGAGTGGAGGAAGGGTTTGTCGTATTTCAAGCCTTCGTAGATTAGTGAAAGCAAGGTTATTTGGATGAATTGGTATTCTTCTCGTGGTTTCCTGGGAGGGAGAGGTTGTCAGTCAAGATCAGATCCGTTTCATGGTCATTCTAGTCGCCGTTGATGATTCTAATTGCCATGTAGTAGTGATTATGGCTGCTGAATCGTGTGATTCTGTCACATAGACCTCTTGTAACTGATTAACCTAGATTCGCACGCGCTGTATCAAAGTCGCCTTGGCTCACGCTGGTTGGACGTGCGATCTAGTCTTCTGAGGGTAGGATTGGCTCAATGTGCCATCTGTTCACAAGGAAAGTAATGAAGTATGATAAAATTAGCTCTCATATGAAGCATTAGCATTATAGTAGGAGATTCAACGTCTCAGAGCAGCAACAGGTACAATCGCAAGTCATCAAGATCATTAGTCATGGTCGTAAGCAGCGAAAAAAGAAATAGAAGAAAGCAAATCATAGCTCGACCAGTATGGCTCGCTCGTTGGCAAACCATCTCACTGCAGTCGGCAGAAAAGAAAGTCCTGGCGCTCCGCACAAGGAAGTGAATAAAGGTCCGCTGTCGTCCGTGTTTTCCTGACACAACAAACCAGCGACCTTCCTGGTTGTTCATCCTCTCACCTTAACACACCTTACCTATCATTCAATTCCCATCCAACTACCTCAGTCCTTCTCTTCCACTGAAACACCTTCAAGCACGGGGATCTCAAAGCAGCCCACTAGGGTGTGCATGAGGTCCCCTTCGCGGAGAGCGATATAAATCGTGCTGATAAGCGATCCGATCGATTGCTTGTCATTCGGAAGCAGGTGTGGCAGGTAAGTCGGATGGTCCACAATCCCCTTGTGCATCGGAACGCCGAGAGTCTTACGCACATAGTTGTATAGCTTGATCGACGCCGTACAAAGATAGTCTGTCGTGGTTGGGTTGCGGAAAAACTCATCACGCGTCGAGTCATACTGCTCAACGAGGATATACTTGACCCCATCCTGCCAGTTCAAAACAGTCAGGGGGATATCGGACGCCTCGCCATCGCAGTGAGTGTTGAGCAAGTTGAGAAGGGTTCCCAGTGTGTTCATTACCGAGGTCTGTGCACGCTCAGTGAGATCGAGGTTTGCGTTTCGGCTCCAGTGATGAATCAGCTGTTGCCAGACCGACTCCTGGATACGTGGGACGCGGTCAGCAGAAACGACCTCGACGCAGAGTGTCGCAGTGATATCGTCCACGCGGTCCCTGACGGTGTCTTCGAACTCCAGCTGGAGCACACGGAGGTCCAGTGCTTGGCAGAGCACATAGATATGTGTCGCCATCATAAGGGACATAACCTCGACGGTATCAGCTGCGTAGCGCGCCGTGACCAGGGCCAGCGAGTTGATCGACTGATTGTGCATTTCAGCCGATTGGACAGAGTTGCTGACGGGATGAGCGAGGTATGCAAGCTCACTCATGTACGATGCCATATTGATGTCGACACCCTTGAATGCAAAAGACACGCTGGGATCGTCAGCACAGAGGCTCGGAGGAAGGCCTTTGCTGAACATCGGGTTCAGGAGCTCAGAGCATTGCGCAAAGACCATCTTCCCGATCATCTGCATGCTGCCCATGACTTTTTCCATCGCAGAAGTGATCGAAGCCGCCTGGAAGTTGCCACCATGGTGCACCTCGCCGTGGAGTGGATCCAGCAATGGATTGTCGGTGGTCGAGTTCAGCTCACACTCCACTTGGCGTGTCGCGAGAGCCAACGTTTCGACTTGAGGACCGATCCACTGCGACGTGGTGCGGATTGCGTAGCGGTCTTGAGCAAGGCCGGCTTGCTCGGGGCGTGCATTGGTGGCCAGCTTAGAGTCTGCGAGAAGTCCGTACATATTGCGTGCTGCTTCCTTTTGTCCAGGGTGAGGGCGAACATTTCCAATAAACGGATGGAAGTTCCGTCGTGTACCCATCAAGGCCTCGGTGCACATGACGGTAGTGATTTGAGCGAAAATGGCCAGCTGATTGGCTTCGAACAACACAAGACTTGCTGCCCCGGCACTGAAGGCGGTCCCGTTAAGGAGTCCGAGTGCTTCCTTTGGCAAGAAGGAGAGAGGCTTCAGTCCTAGCATGGTGAGAGCTTCGTCTGCGCGGAGAGTAGCATTGCGGTTCTTCGAGCCACAATCTACAAAGATGTCTGGGTTGCCCTCGATGGCCCCTGCAATATATGCAAGGGGGGTCAGATCACCGGAAGCTGAGATGGAGCCTCGCAGTGGAACAACAGGTGTGAAATCATTGGCAACCAGCGCTAGAATGTGACGGACAACCTCCGGACGGACAGCTGAGTGACCACGGATCAGATTGTTGCAGCGAGCCAGCATGGCAGCTTTCACCAAAGGGGCAGGCATGCAGTGTTTCTTCATGCAATCCTGGATCACAGAGCTTTCAAGGCCCTGCTCAGCAGGAAGAAGCACGGCCGCATTGTGATGCTGAATCAGGGCTTTTTGGAGTGTATCATGATCGTCCGATCGAGCGTCTGCACTTCCTCCGAACCCGGTGTTGACCCCATAGACTGTATTACCAGCACTGAGGTATTTGTTCAGGAAAGCAATGCTGGCGTTCATCTTCTGGAGAATCTCATCGTCTTCGACAATGGCCGGCATCATTCCGTATCTAAGGTAAGATGAAGGGTCAGCTGGGACGTGTGCATGTTCCGTGAGGAAGCTAACGACTTACTTAGCGACCGCCACCACACCAGCGAGGTCAAGTCGGTGCCCGTTTATTCTAACGTGGTCTTCAGCGCTGAGGATATGCTTCAACTTGGAAACCGACTCCAGAACCGACTCTGTGAAGGCCATATCGCTGTAATTCTTATCTTTACCAGCAAGGCCTTTGTCGATTGCTTGCTCGACCTTGATCAGTGTTGACAGCATGGTCTCGCGATAGTTTGTGAGCGAGTGGCCAGGGGCCAGATGATGTGAACCATCTGCCATACTGACCGACGATGTGGTCTCAGCGATTGGTTCGTTGTTACTAGCACAGTTGATAGGAGAGCAATGTAGTGGAACCAAGGCTTGATCCCAACGAAAGTGCTTGTAGGAGAAGAACCGTTGTAGAGGAGAAGAAGAGAAAGGTCAGAGGAGAGAAGTTATCAGAACAAACACAGAGTGGAGGATCACAAAGGGTATGCTAAGCGAGTCGCGTAGATGTTGATATAGTGAATGGAACACCGCCCTCGAACTGGGTAACTTTGTGCACGGGCCTACAACTACTACGGAAAAGGTAACTAAAGCTTGTCGGGCTGCTTGTTTCGTCATGTCAGTGCACTGTTCCTACCTTCTCATGGTCAGCCATTCATCCGGGTCGGGGTAAATTACACATCGTGACTTCTTTATGTGATAATTGCCACTGCTCCAACCATCAAACAATAAGCATGAGCGGGGGAGGGGACTTCCGAACCTAGTCCTTAAAGTCTATCACTATTCCACTTTGACAATGTTAAGCTGACATATATTCAGATGTCAATTTCCAGGCAAAGATGGCATGGGATACTGTCACATTCAGGCTACAGAATAATTATCACATGGTAGCAACGTGCTAATATGGTTCTGTCAAGCTCTCGGATGTCTGCCCGAGACTTGATTTCAGGGAATATGGCGTCTAAAGAGAGTGCTGGAAATCGGGCCCGCCAATTGTTCTGACACTGCTGGCAGATGACTTTCCGACCTCTGAGCACAGTCCTTGAGTCATGTCTCAGCCATTACCGCGGGCATCCTTCCCATGGTTGATGTCGTATCGGAGATCAAGGAAGGGCTTACCGCTACCCTTGGGTTCACCTGCTGCATGGCCTTCGGTGCGGATTTTCCCCCGTGGTGTGACATTTTCCCACGCCCATACTTTCTTCCCCTCTCCGGGATCCTACATCGCCACCGAAGGTTATTTCCATCAATCAAGAGGCCACTCCTGATTGCGCATACTGATATCACTATCAGACATATATTTCTCTGCAACAAGGCCTGAAGCTCACTGACTCGAGTGAACCTACGTCGTGAATCTAATTAGGCCCTTTCAACCAAAAGGTCCACCACAGCCACTGATGTTTATATCAAACCGCAGAAAGTTTATCCTTACCTGGAGTTCCCTCTCCTCGTACAACGAACAATCTGATTTGACCGTGATCCATAACCCAAGCATCGAAAGGACCTCTGATCCTCCTATTTTGTCATTGTGATTTCCATGGTGGGTATGGGCCGGCCTGAAATACTTTGGAAACTAACGCCTTGTGCATAGTCGGACACGATGAGGGGGACAAGTCAGGCGAAGCTTCAGTTGGGTCTAGCATCATTCAGCCTGCTGATATCGGTCGGATATGTAGGGTAAGACGATGTGCCTGGATTACATATTAAATCGCATCACCAAGTGATGAGACCTTTCAAGGGCAGGGCAGAACACGGAACCAACACGTCTTAGCTTGACGATCAATGAAAATATTCCTGTGTTATGACTTGCGAAATCATAGTCGCAGGGACCAGACTGTGATGGAATCATTTCGTATAAAGTGGTACCCGCGTGGAGAAGGTGCGGGATGGCGTGTACCAATGAAACATAGCGGACAGTGTCAACAAGCCATGGCAGGATAGGGTCAGGCTAGGTTACGCGCCGGCAATAGACCCTGACCTCTGTCAGGGACTAGAGGTGCATAGATTGTGCGGAATATGCATTTCCCTACCAATCAGCCTTCGTAGCATATACCAGTCGGACAATCGTATCTCCCGCCCTGCGATATCAAGGACCATTCGCGGGTATACCCCAGCCTATGACATCCTCATCTAGCGGCACAGGCACATTTGTGACGCGTATGCAGGGCTTTCGCGTGGATCATCACTCCTCTTGTCTTGCTCTGCGGGTTAAGCAGCCCATGAGATGGGGGGGGGGGTACACAGTATTCGGCAGTGTCGATCAAATGGGTTCTCAGCCTGTGTCGTAGCGACCTCCAGCTAGAATATGAGCAGCGCAAACACTGGTCTACAGTGGCAATCTAGTAGTCTGGGAGATGTTGTCCCCTGCATGCAAAACTGGCCCCATTCTCATTATGTGGACACGTACGTGGCCAAGAAGCAGGATTGGAAAATAGATGTGATCGCTTGAGGGATTATGGGATGGACTTTCCCACCTTCTTCCAAGGTGGGCCCTTCCCGTTGGCAGACGCAAGGCCTAACGGACCGACCTCGACGGAGAAGCTCGGAAAACCCGGAACATAACACAAATGGGGCGGAAAGGACGCCATAGGGCCTAGATAGAGATAGAACTTGACACCGGTATCAATATAGAATGATTTAGTTTAGTCTACACGATGCAAACCTATGATCTATCGTTGCTCCGGTCCCATCGCATCCTTCTTTGGTTTTGGCCCCTTTGTATTCGCAATCGTAGGATGGATTCCTAGCTCTCCGGATCCCTAGCCTGGGGTACCTTTTGGCAGCTCGCTAAAACCGTGGAAGCTATGCCTTCAGAACCAAGGTTTGAAGATCGAGGGAAGTTATCTGATTGTGTTAATATGCCGATCGCACCAGAATCAGAGCAGGACCACTATTGAGAAACTTCAAGGGAGCGAAAATAAAGTGAAACACCCCGATCGGAGAGATGGACCGTGCAGGCGGGTGGCCAATAGGCTTACGTAGCCCGTGGGATCTGCATAGGGCCACGCCAGCTTCCCCGACGCGCCATCGAATCACCGAGTTGAAACCAACAGAGGTTTCAATCATAGTGCCTCGCTAACAGCCTAACCAGATGGTGTGTGGTCCAGGCCCCATCTGCCGTCACCGGGAACGCTCCATCGCATCCAGTCTGCAATCCAGGGATAGCTCAGCACTTAGCAGCCCTTGCTGTGGACAGACGCGTAAAGCTCTCTCAGTCTTTGATAGGGTCTCCTCAGGGTTCCAGCTTCCATTCTTGTTCCTTCCCTTAACCCCCAAGTAGGTCCACATCGCGCAAGTCTCAGTTCGACCGAACAGCTCTATACCCGTCGGACACAGTGCCCCGAGCCAGCTTATGATCCAGTAGCAGCGTTGTGTTGTCAGATTCTGGGCCACCGGTGTCACAAGGGAGATCCACCTTTTTGCTGCCAATTATCTCAAATGTTGTGCCGTGTCTGCCGTACAATTTGCCGTTGACTGTCGGAAAAAAGAACCTGGCTGGACCGAGAAACACGGACCACAATTGTTGAACTGGGAAAGGGACCCACAAGGTAAACTGCATAGTAGTGCAGGGGGTCAGGGACGGCCATCGTTCGGCCCCGATGAGGGTGTTAGGAACTTAGGATGAGGGCCAAAGAGCTAACTAAACACCCGCTTAGTTAGCTTCCTGTTAGCAGGGCGACCTGTCGACTGTCAGTGTCGAGAATGGACCGACCCACCGACTTGGAACAGCCACAGCCGCAGGAGACTGCTTGATTGGAGACATACGCAGACATGACCTTGACCCTTGGTTGTCATGGAGCGGAAATTCGCACCTGGTAGAAGCCATCCATTCACAATACAAAATCCCTTTTGCGGGCTATCATAATCAAGCCAGTAGGGACTGGAGGGAACAGCATTGAGCCATGGAATACTGAAGAGAGAGGGAGAGAGCCTCGAGTCAGCGCCAACGGGGTGAAAGTGAAACACTCGAGGGTCGACGGGCCCGTGACTGTCTCCCCAACGAGCCGCTCACGTGGGGCCGCCGCCATCGACCATCACGTCTTCTGCCTCTCTTCCTCCTCTCCTCCCTCGTCATGACCAACAAGAATCTCCAACTACCGTCTTTATGCCGCTCTGGCCCACCACAAGCCACAGGGTACGTCCAAACCCTATTTTGCCTCAGCCCTGCCCCTGAGCCACTCTCCTCTCCCTCTTTCCCTCCCTCCACAAGCGCCAGGCATGGTCGATCCGTTCGGTACCTCCCTGTCCAGCATAACCTGATCTATTGCTGACGGTCGACGTCTCAGATGCAGGCGGCCCGAACACGGTGACATGGGGGCATGATGAAAGCTTGGGGCCCTCTTCCATTTCACATCTGATGCCAGATGATCGTCATTGTGGTCAGCGCTTAGAGGACGTCTTATAAAATGCTACCCTCCCCCAGCTCTACCATGCTTCTTCATCCAGCTCAATTCTCTTTCCTTTGATCTCAATTATCATTCCTTACGAAGCTGTGCTTCCTACCTTCCTTTAACTTTATTTTTATCCTTCCAAGTTTGTCACTCTCTATCCATTCAAGATGAGATTCGGAATCGTTTTCACCGGTATTATCGGTTACGCTGCCGCCCTGCCGGCCATGGGCGCCCAGAAAGACTCTTCACCGAACGCTGTTCAGCCCAGCGGAGCCCCCTCCTTCCAGGGTGCTGCTCCTTCTGGCTCGCCTCTTCCCCTTCCTTCTGGTGTCCCTCAGGGTCAGGGTCAGGGCTTCGGCCAACAGGGCTTTGGCCAACAGGGCTCTGGAAACAGTGAGGGTCAGGCTCCTGCTGTGAGCTTCGCTGGTGCTCCTCAGGGCACTGGTGCTCCCGCTCCTTCCGGTGCTCCCCAGGGCCACAAGAGACGTCAGCTTGAGATTCCGGCTTCTGCTGCTAGCGGCCCTGCCCCGACTGGTTCCGCTGCCGCTGGTGACTTCGGAGGTGCCCCTGCCGGCGCCGGTCCTTCTGGTGCTGCAGGTGGTAATGGCCCCGCTCCCTCTGGATCGTTCGGCGGCAACGGTGCTGCTCCTTCCGGCGTTGCGGGTGGTAGCGGCCCCTCCCCCTCTGGCTCTTTCGGCGGTAACGGCCAGTCTGGATCTTTCGGTGGTGAGGGTCAGTCCGGCTCCTTCGGTGGTAGCGGCGCTTCTCCCTCCGGCATTGCTGGCGGCAACAGCCCCTCCCCCTCTGGCTCCTTCGGTGGTGCTCAGCAGGGCTCCCACAGACACCAGACCGAGAACTCTCAGTCCCAGCGCTCCCACTCTCGGGGATCCAAGGGCTCTCCCACTAGGCAGGGCCCGGGTGCCGCTGCCTCTGGCTCCTTTGGAGGCAACGGCCCCTCCCCCTCTGGCTCTTTCGGCGGTAACGGCCAGTTTGGATCTTTCGGTGGTGAGGGTCAGTCCGGCTCCTTCGGCGGCAACGGTGCTTCTCCTTCTGGTGTTGCTGGCGGCAACGGTCCCTCTCCCTCCGGCTCCTTCGGTGGTAACGGTGCTGCTCCTTCTGGTGTCGCTGGCGGTAACGGCCCCTCTCCTTCGGGCGCTGCCGCTGGTGGTGCTCCCGCTGCCTCGGGCGCTCCCGCCGCTGCTCCCTCGGGTGCCTCTTTCTAAGCTCCTCCCGAGGCTGTCGCGAGCTCTGCTCAACAATTCTCACCATCCATCCATGACGCCGATGCTAAAACTCGAAACTAAATCCGTCAAGACTTATTGATGGAGTATGAGACCCCGTCAGTACGAACAAGATTTTCGGCACTGATTTCCAAATTCCTGTGGATGGAGATGGGAAGGATTGGACTTGTGTGTGTATATTAATTCTTATTTCAATATCCTGTCATTCGCTTGATCATATCTGGTAGACCGAATAAAGAGTTTGGCTGCGTATGCTACATTTTCTCGCTTTGTAGACACTACAGTCCCAATCCATCACGGACGTATCATTCCTCCTCTCACTGATCCACCGGTTTGTACTGCCAGATCCCTGCACTACACAGCTTTAATACGTCCTATTTAAGACCTTTTTCATCTCCGAATCGAATCATGAGTCAGCAATTTTATAGAAATAGAGGGATGCGGTGATTTCATAACGTTCCTATCAGTAAGTACTTTTTTTCAGACATGGTAGCTGTCTAGTCTCCAGGATCGATTTCCATGGCTCGGGAAAATTCCTGGCCCATCATCATGAAGCATATATTTCTGAAACGATTCTTTTAAATCGCTAGAATGCGTAAGGAGAAGTAAACTCTTCTTTTGCTGTGAGAATTGACCCGAGGGCCAGATTATTGATCCAGGCCTCGCATTTTAATCTCTTATCAGCTATCAACAAATGATACATGGACTTCTTTCTTCCATAGTACATGTCTTGCAAATTTCATGGCTGCAATTCCTGCATATCCCCGAAGACGACCTCAAATCAGTCAAGGATTTGCACGAACAGCAACTCCAGTTCATCTGGGAAAGGTCTATCTCATCGGAAAGAGACCAAGATTGACAACGCGCTTTGGCCCCATATTTCGAAAGAAGGGACGTTATTTCGTCCCACTCCAAGTGTGTTGCCCAGTCAAGGCTTGTCATCTCGGTTTCATCTTCCACGTTTGGGTCCGCCCCTGCTTCCAGTAGCCTTCTTACGACTGAGAGTTGCCCTCTATAGGCTGCGACTGTAAGGGCTGTAGCGCCATTTCGTCCGCCGGTAGCGTCCACGCCGGCCCCAGTTTCGATAAGCCTGTCTACAACGGACAGCATGCCGAAGGACGAAGCGTAGTAAAGTGGTTGCGTGTCCCGAACTGGCTTGCCCGTTGCCTCGCGCAGTAGAATCTGGATCCAGGATCTAAAGTTACTCCCAGACATAAAGACAATAATCTCGTCTAGCTCGGAGCTGGAGAGTTTGAAACCGGTAGGTGCTTCGGTGCCACAAAGTAGCCCCCAGGCCTCCGCAGCACTTGCATAAAGCGGGAACTGGTCGATGCGTTCTTCCAATTGCCGTTGACTTCCACATGGCACTTGGAAAGCATCAAACATCAAATACGTCAAGCATTTATGAAAGATGTGTCTCGTGGCCTCAATCTCCTTCAAGGCGAAGAATGCCGCTGGTCCGTGTTGAATGGCATCGGAGGTTAGAAACGCCTTAACGGAAGAATGTGCTAGAGTCACAATTGAGTTGGCGTCGTCGAAAACCACCAGACCCTGGCATATTTCCAGGATGACATCGGGGTTGATAAGTCTGCAGTCGTCATCGAGATACTTATCACCCTTTTCCAAGACTAGGGCCTCGTTCAACGCCGGCAACGTCAGCGCTTGCCGGCTATATGTAAGCCAGGTGAGCGCTTCTCTGGCAAGGTCTCTGTCATGGGATGAGATTCTGCCCAATATAACTTCATAGGTGCCATTCAAGTCTTCTGGCATTACCACGAGCGCTCTGAGGACACCTCGACCGGTTTTCTGGGCGCCAAGCAGGTCTATTTGACATCGGACATACCGAAACCTAGATACGGAGAACAACATGCGTGAGCCGATCTGCAATAAAGTATCAGAATGGTATCCTTACATCCCGTCTGACTTAGAGGTCAACAATTCGCTTATGTGGGCCTTTGTCTGCGATGGCAGGCGGCGAAGAGCGGGCTGCAGCTCCAACTGCAGGTTCACAAATGCTCTAATGTCATCTCTGTTTGACGACGGCTTCATTGTCTCCTTCACAAGTTGGATCTTGCCTGGGGTGCTCGGAGGACTCGTGCTAGTAGCCATAACGTACACATTATGTGCACGTTCCATGATGGCCATCAGTGATTTCAGAATGTTGTCGGTCTCGTCGGTCTCATTAATAGCGTCGACGAAGATGTACAGCTTTAGCACCCGAGAGCCGTATTTGAGAAGTAATTGAATAAGGTTATCGGGAGTAGGAGGGGATTTTCTCTGGAAATAAGTGTTCAGCTCCCCCGAAATTTCGGGGAATGAGTGAGAAAGTTGCGCCAACATGGCCCCCAGCAGATTTGCTAGGCTTTGGGAAGCACTATGCTGGAATGAACAATAGAAGTACACAACATGAGCTCCAGGTTGCTGCATGTTTTTGGCAACCATCTGCGCTTCTTCAATAGCTGTCGCACTGCATCTTGTCAATCCCACGGCCACGCGACAGCATTTGGAATCATCGCGACTCACCAAAGAACGGTTTTTCCCGATCCAGCTGGATATTTTGCGCCTCAGCACAGGGCCTTGCATCATACCTAGGTTCAGAACTCACATCTACCTTGGAGATAGAGCAATCTTGACCCATCTTCCCCGGAGAACCATTGTCGGAAGGGCCCGTTGATAAACCAAAGCCCGGTGCCAGATTGGTGCAGCGATAACGCTCTTCGATGGGTCGATTCCACGTCAACAGGACAGATCCAGTCGTTCACTTTCTGTTGTAGTTCACCTGAAGTTGCAGAAACACTAAAGTCAGCCGAAGTTGTGAGATAATCGGCCTCCACACATACGCTGATTGTTCAATTTGATCTCTTTCCCCATGTCCGTCAACAAATCAATCGACGACGTGATTTTCCTATCCACCAGCCTATACCAGCAGTCAGCTCGATGTCTCCCACCAAGACATCCCAACCCACGATTTATCATTCATCATAACCAAGATGAAATACGTCTTCAACCTCTCCAACCTCGCAATATTCTCCTTCAGCTGTGCCTTCCTCTCAGGCCACCCGAGATGTCGCCAGACAGAAGTCCCCTTTGCCTGCCTGCTCTCCAGATCATCCAGGATCTCTTTCAAAACGGTCGAGGCCTCCCTCATCGCATCCTGAAACGGCTTTGACGACATCGATTGCGGGGCATGGGGATCATATCCGAGCGCACCTTGTTGGTTCTTCTCTATCTGCTCGAGGATTGCTTTCAGGGCGAAGAGCTCTCCGAATAGCTCTCGGATCTCGTTGTGCGCGTCCTTGACTTCTTTCCCGTATCGGTATACCTCTGTTGCCACGTCGATTGCTTGGACGACGAATGCAATGATTGAAAGCGGGTCGGCCATTGGGCCGTGGGATAAGCATGTGCTGGGTATTTGAAGTTGGCTTTCGCTTGGGCTCAGCTGGAGGCTGATGACGGTTATAGCGGGAAGCTGGAAAGGCGCGGGGCTGAGCGAGCGACAGGGGTGTGGACCCCGTGATTGCTCTTGCCTGATGCGGGGTAGCTCGATTGGACTACATCGTACTGTTCTGGGGCATTATGGTTATAGCGAGAATCAATCACTTTTCTATCATCGCTGATGACACAAACATCCTTCCTGAACGATCTATATCTACCGCGCTTTTCTAGGCCTCTAGAGCTTCGGCACATGCTGCTCCTCTTCCACTGGTCCTTCTTCTCTGGAGGATCTTAGGTCGCTTTCACTACTTCCCTCTCCTTCTCCTTGGAGCAACTTCGCCCTGGGTATCAAAGTTAGCTAAGAGCCCGCACCATGGCTGGTCGGGGCAACTTACCTCCTCCCATCTTCCCAATGCTGCATGTGTCTTGTCGCCATCGTCGAGATGATCAAAATCACAGACATGATTGTCACGGTAATGAATCCCTTCCGGTACTGAGGTCCATCGACCTGCTGCCAGACGATTAGCGGCAGCCAGGCCTGGAAGACGTAGGCCATTTCGTTCATGCTGCCCACCACGAGAGCGCGTTCTTCGTTGTCGTCGGTGCAGATCTCATGGGCCCATCTATTTGGATTAGTTTGGTTCTTCTTTGGATTTGTGGTGAGAACATACGCCATGCAAAGCCCACTTAGGCCGAATCCGGCGCCAGAGAGGATATAGCAGGTCCATTTCCATCCTGTTGGGATGTCCCATATAGCGAGAGAGACGTAGCATATAATGTTTACGCACTTTCGTTTGTCAGTATCTCCTAGTACTTCCTGTGAGTGGTGTGCTTACGGCGCCAATGATTATGCAAGGCCAGCGTCTTCCTTTTAGAATCGTGTCGGAGGTCCCTGTTTCGTGTGAGAAGTTTCCACTTGATGTTAGAGGGCGAGGTACGTACATGCGTAAATGAGCGTCGTGACTACCTGGACTGCATTCGTGGTCGTTGGGTAAGCATTGATCTGGTCAACGGTGTATTTCGGATTTGTCGAGTCTTTCAGGTACCTGCAAAGCTTTAGACATTATTGCGGAGAACTCAAGGACGACATACTTACTGCTGGAAGACAGGCTGACTGCCAGCCGCGCCATTGTTGAATGCACTAAAAAGCGATCAGCTTCGATCGCGATTGTCTCTGAGACAGTGGACACTCACATGTACACGATCGTAAGCAAGTAAATGCGCCACGATGAGAAGATTTTCTTCAGTTTGGCTTTGGTATATGGCTCTCTGTTTTTGCGCCCTTCGAATTCCATCCGTTTCTGCGCCAGTTTCACTTCCTATGCCGATGGTTAGCACCCACCCCCCATGTCCTTTTGTGTTGACATACCTGCTCAGTCAGATAGAATGGATTCGAGATTTCAGGCACATCGGGTAGAATGAAGAACCCGCTGATTGCCACGGGGATCGAAATGATTCCATCGATCATGAAGAGCCTAGACTGTTAGATAAGAAGCAGTTTAAGGAGCAGGTGCAGCATACCATTGCCAACCTTTCAGCCCGCCACGTCCTCCAAGATTATACACTGCAGCCATCAGATATCCAGAGAACATGCTTGCAATTCCACTGCTTGTGTGAAAGATACATGAGCGCTTGGCAAGCTCATCTTTCCGGTACCACGACCCAATGATGTATTGCATTCCGGGGTAGAAACTACTCTCGGCCAGGCCTGGCGGAATTAGCATTTATGCATTTGTATGGAACAGCGCGACATACCAATGAAAAAGCGCAGAACATAGAAGTGGGTGGCATTTGTTGATCGCGACAAGATGAAAGTGAGCACCGTCCATAGTAACTGAAAAGATCAGTAACACCCTTCTCATACCAATGGTCGTAGCATACCTCCATGGCCGGAATCCAGTATCTGGGTCGTATGCGCGTCAAAAGCATGTTACTGGGGATTTCGCCAATGACGTAGCCGACTGTCCAGCACGCTTGCATGTAGTTCAGCTGGTTGCCATAAAGGCCCAGGTCTTCTTTCCTGCGTGATTGTCAGCGGGGACTCGAGTTACGACTGCGCGATACGAACATTCCGGAAACGAAAGCATTGTTAATGTTGACTTGGTCGAGGTACTTGATGAAGTAACCTTTCTGGTGGTCAGCATGTTTAGCAGTGGCGGGGTCATTAGTGAGCCACCTACCAAGCGAGGCAAATGTCAGAATGGCCGAATCCAGCTTGAAGAGCAGTCTGCGCTCCTCGGGCGATTTGTCAAACGTATCCCAGAGGTAGCTGACCCATTTGCGCTTTGGAGCTTTTTGAATAATACCACTGGAGTCGTCGACTACTCTTTCATCAGCGGTGGCCGATGATGGGGCCATGACAGCGGTTTCGACCTGGGTCCTCGAAAGTACCGGCAGAAAAAGGGGGTAGCAGAGTTGTACGGAGAGGGAAATACCGTTAACGGCTTGCCATCTCACTGCATGATTTCACATGATGGTGGGACATATTTATCCCTGGCTTGGACTTGGTGAAAGTCTCTGTTGGAGCTAGCTTCGACATGACATCTGATGCACGGTGGTGCGCCCAGACCAAGGCATCATCATCCACTGCGTTCACGCAATATTTGCGGGGATATCAATCCTGTTAGATTGATGGGCGCAAGATAACGATCAGTCGACCGGTGTGCGGGGGTGGACAGCATGGCGGATGCGCGAAGGATGAGTGGTGGCTCATCCACACCCCAAAGCTCGTCATCCAGATCTTGGATGATGTGCCCTGGGCATGCGATGCCGGCGAGCTAGGGTAATGCCGATCCCGCCTGATAAGCTTGAGTTAAGTCCCGAGGGGCATGCGCGATATCTGCGGTCTCCGATTGTATCATCTACACTAAAATGCGAACTGATCTATGGCCTGCTTAGTTGCATAATACCTCCAAGGCTGGCAGTTCCCCGATGCCACTATCGCGTCTTCGGCCAGGGCCAAGAAGCAGCTGGACTCTCTCCCTCTGCGCCGCTTTACCCGCATGCCAGCTATCCGAATGGCCTTCGATCGCAGGGAGTCCGTGTTTCTCCCTGTCGGCATTGATCCACTCCAAGAGATCAAGCACATAAAATTCTTCAACATCTTTCAATGAATGAAACCGCTTTCCACTGCCCTTCTCCTTGATCTTCCTAGTGTACTCATCTCTCATTTCGCTTCTGAAGGGTAGATCCGCGATCCCAGCGAACACGTTTGCTACAACTATAGCTTGAAATTCGAAGAGTGTGAACGTGGCCGTGTAGTATGGGACTCCCACGAATGCCAGGGTCGGGTCCGGAATATAGAAGATGTCTTTGTGCAAGTTGTGCACCTGCGTCCCATCAGTCACGAGGATCGTCTCGTTGGCCTTTTCCGCCGGTGTCGCATCGTCATGGTACTCCGACAGAAAAGGCAGTGTGATATGATATCCAGTACAGATGATGACCGCATCAATGCCGCATAGCTTCTGTCCTGATTTCAGGTGGACTGCCATGGGCAGAGACTCGTTATCATGAGCCGTCGGTGACTCGACCTCAAATCGTTCTATTTCGCTAACTCTGACTCCATTATCGGGAAGGACACTGGAGGAGATGTCGAATTCGCCGTTCCGCGTGCTTTGGTAAACAGTCTTGGCCAGAGGTCCAATTTCTCTAGCAAGATCTGTTGACGAGACTCCGCCCCCGATGAGCAGGACATTCTAAGAACTCATGAGATTCATGGTTCCCTGATAAGGGGTATTCGAGAGGGAAAGTGCATACCTTGTCTGCGTACGAGTCCGGTTTTCTGTAAGCCTTGGAATGTAGAATACGCGACGGCCATTGTGATTTCGCTTTCGCCAGGCCAGGTACGTCTGGGACACGGGGCGCATGATAGTGGCCGGATGCAACTATTACCGCATCGAAAACCTAGTCATGTTAGTAATGCACTCATGCTAAAAGACACCAACATACAGCAGTCTCCTCCTGCTCCGCAAGACTTCCAGATTGGTCGTTTTCCTTCAAGGTCGACCAGGTAACATGCCATTGCTGCTCGTTCTTGCGAAGCCTGTTCACTCGAGCTCCGTATACTGTCACACCATCTGCCCCCGCTTTCTTCGAAGTATCCTGTATGTACTCCTTCATTACCCTATGGCTGACAAACTCTGGGGTTCCTTCTGGCCAGGCATTAAGCTTGACCCGCATGAGCGATGTGGCCACATTGTTTTTGAGTCCATCATAGCATGGCCTAAAATTGTAAGCTGTGTTCTGGATATGACATTGAAAATACGCACCCTGGTGGAGCATGCTCCAGAGACAACAAGTCAACCTTTTCTGTGTCATCGTCTCGGTGCTTCTCCGACACGGACGGCTTCATAGACGGGTAATTCGGTTCAAGTGGCGTTCTCTCGTCGTGGAGCCTGAGTCAGTCGTTAGATCTCACACGCTTGGCGACACTGCTGCACGATCAGGATTACCAAACGCCGCCTGCTGCATGATTCCGCTCGAAAACAGTCACATCAATTCCCTGCACCAGAAGGTGGGCTGCAGACACAACGCCACTAATCCCAGCACCGATCACGGCCACTCGCTGGATTCGACGGGTCATAGTGTTCGTTGATTCTGCCCGTGACAATCACAACGATATCGGCGTAACGTAAGGGAAGGCATTGAATTCTGTGAGAGCGAGCCGTCTGATATGCTACCCAAAGATGGAGATAGCATGGGGCCATAAGGTAACGTTATGTTAGTCAAGTGTGGTGTAATAGCGACGCTATCAAGCGAGGAGCGAGTCGCAGCCTGTCATGCCAGAGGATAGCTCGAGACGAGCCACTAGCGACACCTCGGTCCTCAGTTGCATCGCCTAGATAAGAGGGCCTTCTGAGGGATGTAATATGTTCTGTGATTACCAATGAGACAATGAGACCATCGAATCCCTGGATGATGCCCTCTGGCTTGCCCGTTAATGGACAGCTAGGTTTGCATGGCTGGAGTAATCGGAGATAAGGAGTCGTCAAAGGAGGGGAACGAAACAAAAGAGGGGTCAACACGAGAGAATGCCGCGACATCCGTTTAACATCTTACTCTTGAGGGTGGGATGCAGAAGGCGCCATGATGGGTGGTGATGATGTGATCGGAACCCGTACCACGATAACGATGAGGGGAATTGAACCCCGGAAACGCAAAACTGGACATAAAAATATCGCACTGGGTCCGGCAAAGCCTAATCAAAACCATTATCGCTCTGGTCCAAGCTTTTTACTTCATCTCGAGCACCATGGCTCCAGCTCCTATTGACCCCAGTATAGTTGATGTCGCCGAACCGCTGAAGCAAACCCTCCCGCTTCCACCAGCGTCTCGAGAGCGCCTGGAGAAGGCCGGAATAGACCTGTCTGGGGGTTATCCCTACCGCCCATCCCGTCCGTTGTACAGAGACGACGTCTACAAGATCCGCGACTATGACCGGCCACATGTGGACCCAGGCACCCGTGCAGATCCAGAAAAGAAGGCGCTCTTGTCTGCAGCCAAAGAGGTCATCCATCTGACCAGGCACATTGGCACAGAAATCGTGGGATTGCAGTTGAAAGACCTGACCGACCAGCAGAAGGACGAGTTGGGTTTGTTGATTGCTGAACGCAGTGTTGTCTTTTTCAGGGACCAAGATATCTCGCCCCAGCAGCAAAAGGCGCTGGGTGAATGGTTTGGTGAGATTGAGGTTCATGTAAGCCCATCATGCCTCTTCCTACCAGCCGAAGAAAGCTCGTGTGCTAAGGTCTTGTCCTTGTCCAGCCACAAGTTCCTCAAGTACCTGGCGTGCCTGGTGTGACAGTCATCTGGCCGGCTCTGCAGGCAAAGGAACGCCCTGCCAACTTCCGCCAACCTGGAGGAGCCTCCCGTTGGCATACTGACCTGGTTCACGAACGCCAGCCTGCAGGTGTGACACACCTGCATAACGATACCATTCCCAGCATCGGGGGGGATACGCTCTGGGCCAGTGGCTATGCGGCTTATGAGAAGCTGTCCCCCGCGTTCCGTAAAATCATCGACGGTAAGACTGCCATCTACCGATCTGCCCATCCTTATCTCGATCGCAATCACCCCGAGGAAGGTCCAAAGTACATTGAGCGTGAACATCCCCTTGTCCGCGTCCATCCCGCTACGGGATGGAAAGCACTGTGGGTGAACCGGGCAATGACCGACCGCATTGTCGGTCTCGACAAGGCGGAAAGTGATGTCATCTTGGGCTACCTGTGCGATGTTTATGAGAAGAACATTGACATCCAGGTTCGCTTCAAATGGAGCCCTAAAACAAGTGCCCTGTGGGATAACCGGTCAGTAACTCTTCCCCATGCTAATACACGCAATATCACTGACTGCAACAGGATTACCATTCACAACGCCAGCTGGGACTACGAAGGCTCCGAGCCTAGACATGGCACCAGAGTCACCTCGCTTGCGGAGAAGCCCTTCTTCGATCCGAATGCGCCGACTCGAAGGGAGAGTCTGGGATTGCTGGATGATGCTGAAAAGGACGAATTGGCCCGGGCTAACAACTGAGCCTGATACATAGCAACTTTTCTGATACAATGCGAGGCCATGGCTTCGTGAGAGGCGGCTCTTAGCACTGGTGGCGAGCTTCGAGGACGCGACAGGTCTTGATTTGCGATCTATGTCTTCTTCAGAATGAGCTTAACCTTTGATTGCACCAAAAGATTATCGCCTCTCGTAGCATATGCTCGCCGTTAACTTGGTCCCGTTACTAGCTTCAAAGCTCCCTTGGATGCTGCTACAAGAGCTCACAATATGCTGGTTGTAAGCGAATTGAGTCTGCGATCATTATCGATCCATCGCGCGCGAAGTTTCTCGCGGCCCACACGAAAAAACTACTGTGATCGGGCACTCACTGTTCCTGGATTGCTCTACGACGACACAAAGCTTCCACGTTTCGAGCGCCGGGGTCTTACGAAAGTTTCATGGGCTATGATTTATCGGGTTCCTTACTGCTGGGAGGAAGGGAGTGCAGCACAATAGGCGCCTTGAGCCCAGACGACTTACTAAGTATGCTGCCACTCCCTTCGTCGTACGACTTTCAATTTGGTTGCCGATTGGCGCTATTTGCGATAACCCTGTAATCCTATTCCAATCCCAATCAATGCCGCTGTTTTGTGCGTCCGGTAACCTGGGCTATTCCTAGTCGGATATCGCGATACTGCAGATATTGCAGGAGTGGGTCTCATTTGCGCTGGAGTATATACATCCAGTGAAAAACTTCGGGCGTGTAAGCGAACGACGAAGTCTCCCCCTGCGGCGCTTTGAAAGGTGCCCGGGAGACAACAGTCCAGTATTGTGACATATGGTGCAGATTATCGAAGCGCATGGTCGAGTAGGAAAGAGTGACCCAGATGGCTCCTTTCTGCGTCAAGGGAACAAGATGTAACGCCAATAACTCTACTGGCGATAACTCTATCCCTCCATTTTTATCCACGATCTGCTGCACCGTCGGGCATGTGCTCGGTCCGTCGGGTGATGGACGGAACGTAACGGGCGCGGATGTCGCGATCGCGTCGCTTGTACTTTTATCGAGAATCACGTCAAAGGGGGAGAGGAGAGCTAATCTAGAGACATCAGCCCAAGACCGCAAGTCAATTTGCAGCCAGTGCATCGCATGTAAGTCATCCTTTCCATCCTCAATTTCTTGCCCGATGCGGACGGCTTCGGCGGAGAAGTCAACATTCTGTCAAGGAGAATATGGTTAGAACTTGCTCTAATGCTCGAACCCACTAAGTACGCACCACGATACCACTCCCCACCCAATTGCGCTTGATAAATTCATCGCAAAGTTTGGTTCCTAGCTTCGAGATACCTGGTCCCAGATGCAGGACTCTTGGGTTTGTGTTTGTTGCCGGGCGACTCTCCAGATGGGTCATGACCGCGTCGATGAGCGTTTCACCGGAATTCAGCCACTCCCCGACATCCCGACCAGTGGCAAATTTGGTATCCCAAAAGGTCGGGTCATCATAATCGGGGGTACCTGTAAGTTTAGTATGGGTTCTCACATTTGGCGGGGCAGCCATGGTTTGTAGACAGCAGGACAGGAAAGTTGACCAAAACTTTCTTCCGACACGCGGATAAGATTGCAGTCACGTGTGGATCTCTTATCGGCCCACACGATCATCCGTCTACCCACATTCCACTTTCGTGCATCTCAAAGGCATTATCTTTATTCAGTCTGTCGTCCAGGGCTTGAGAGAGCTCTGGTACTTCAATGGCGTTGATTCTGTGTCATTATGACAGACCAGTCTTGGCTGATGCTCACGGCTTCAATGATCGTGTTATGCGGGGAACCCCTCATCTCAAGCCAGGGGTGACAGCTGAAAGCATCAAAAAAATAAAGCGGAAGGTTGAATCTGATTCCGATCTAAGCTGATCTAGATCATCTTCTGACTATTCTGCGGCCGCGTATGTAACTCTGATGTCAAGCTGCAGGAATCCCCTCTTCCAAATTCATTGTTCTTTGACAGTGCCGTGGCTGGAAACACAAGTCCGATGCGGTATTGCGTGGTGCCTTGAGATATCTGCTCGCGACCTGCTGGCGATTTAGATAAACAGTGTAGGTGAGGTGTAACTCCAATCCTGGACGACTTACCGCTGTATTTAGCTCTCGTTTGGCCATGGTGATGATCTAGCAGTATCACTGAGCTTGAAGAGGTATACGACGCTTGAGTCGGGTGCCGAGGCTTGTATAAACAAAGAAAAAGCGGGTCTGCACTCCATCATAATATATCGAAAAGAATGGGCTTCTAGTGGAGACAGTATACGATATTTGCGAATACTAGCTGTGCGCGATACACACCACATGCAGCTTCCCTTAAGGAATAACCCCCAGTCGCTCACTGGGAATCATCTAGTCGCACCATCTGCAAGCTGAAGAACTGAACAAGACTTGGTCGCTTATGAATTTGTTCTAGTATTGAATCATCAACTGAATTATTGCAAGAATATGGATGATTATAAAGATCGGGAACGAAATGCTTCTGTCTCATAATATATCAAAGCAGCAATATACAAGAGTTCTGTATTGGCGTTTTGAAGTGGGAATCCCAAGGGGATCCAAAAGGGGTTGGGATAAACTAAACCACTTGCCATGGTGGTTTATTGCAGGAGCGCGCCGACCCACGGGTTTTATTCCAATACTTTTGGGATGAGTCCATTCGCCATGCGCGTTGGGAAGAGGATACGATGCCAGGCTGCTTCGCCACCTGGCCCGCTGGTACCCTTCACTGTGTCAGGTAATCATGCCGGTAATCAGCTCAGCCTACTATAGCCGGACGCAAGCATTGCTGCCATGGCATGGTCAAAGTCAAGGTCTGGCCCAGGCATGGTAGCTTTGCTTCAGCCCCTCACAAAGCAGGCAAGTGAATCTACTGTGAGAGAATTTCTTGTTGGTATCATGCTTCAAACTCAATCAGACGATTAGTTTTTCCCAGTATGTAGGCAGATACTAGATGCCTTCTTGGCTTTGACGGCTGTGGGGAGCTTAAGGCGCTGCTCTTCACGGTACTTCTTGCTTGGGCTGCGAGTCCTGGTCATCGACAACGCCACTCCCACGCCATCCAATTTGAGGATATCCTATCAAAACCAAGAGCGCTGGTAGTTGGCGGTTGTACCTGGGATGTACTTGGTCGCTTAGTCGGTATTGCACTTTGGACTGGTGATAGCTCACGCCCGTTCCAGGGGTGAGAGTGCGCCAACACCAGGCAGGCCCAACAACGACCTCCAATCACCACCCTCCAGAATGTAACCTACGACACGGATCAACAAAGACAGGGATGACGAGAGGTCGAGCCAGCTGTTGCTGAGTGCCGCCCTTATCCTGTGACTACCCCGCATCCAGGTTACGAGAGGCATATAAACCTTGTGTCACCCAGCATTCAAAGGAGAGCAGCACCCTCAACTCATCTGTGGTTCTCATCAGTGTCAAGATCTCGCTACTCTACCTATTCTCTCGCAAGGTTCACAATAAACTCCTTCAAGATGTCGACCCCTGCTATTCAAGGCCTCTCGTCCATGGGCTCGTCCGTCGGGGCCTACTCCAGACAGCAGCTTGCTACGTTGAGAAACAGATTCTTGACCACAGGTAGGCTACATCGGACTCCGGGTAAGGGCCATCTAACAGCCCGTCAGAGAAGCGCAGAAGAAGGGCACAGATTCTACAGACCTCCTTTGCCGTCCACAGGCCGGTCTGGATTGCCGCAGGGGGCGCTGCTTACACGACGATGGGCGCGGTTTATTTAACACTACGGTACATGCGTCACTTGAAGTGATGCCGGCTGAGGGAGCGAGTCCGGTTACCGCTATTGGAGCTTGAGGGTCCATCAAATAGAGGGGGACTGTCCGTGACAGCGATCTTCACTACCATTCCTTTCGCATAATTTCTTATGTTACCTTCTAGGGTCAGGTACTTTGGACGGACGGGATCTTCAGCAGGATGACATGACGGAGTTTACGTGTTTCGGCTGGCATGGGCCAATATGATCATGTATTTAGCACAATAAATGACCGTGGATGCATTATTACTACTAGTGAGGGGCAGTGCCTGCTACCTTGCCTAGCCAGGGGTGGCACTCGTGATCTCATCTGCATTGGAGCAGCTGCCGTGTATTTATTTGGTATCTGGCCGACATCCATACGCTGCAGTACACGCGACAGGGATTCGCCGTACATAGCCAGCTCAGTCAATCTACATCAAACCCATTGGATCACACCACGCTGCGTCAGCGGCTGTCCTGCCATCGTCACTGTCGACATGGGCTGATCCCATCCCTCCCTTTACCTGGCCAGATCTATTTGCATCGTCGTCCCCCTCAGGCCGCCACCGGTTTTCTGCACTGTGTAGATCTAGATGGCATTCTAGACGAGAGCTTAGTCGAGCTGTCATGATCCTGTGGTAGCAAGTGGGCCATACCCCAGATTTACCAACGCTTTAAGTTCTTTCAGCGCTCCTCCGACCCATCCGGTGCTAGGGATGACTTCCGTGAGGACGGCAGTGTCATGGAGGGGGTCTAATGATTGTGCGCAATGGCGATTGGGTCGTACAGCTACGGTGTCCGGCTGGCCTCGCAGTAAACTTCGACTACCCCGCCCGGCGTGACCAGTCAGATGGCTGCGAAGGGGTCATTGCATGATCACCCCGGATCCTTGGCGACCCCGCAACCGCTTCGTAGGAATGCTGCTGAGGTGAGCTGTTGCCTTGTGTGCCTGTGCTATACGGTACTTCAACGGTACTTGAAGGTGGAGTCCCAAGAGAGGGGCCGAGTTTACCTAAATTGCTTTGCCACTTGGTATTTTGTTACAGATGGCATGGAGTGCTACTTTAGTACGTGGGCCAGACCCGGAATATATATCTGCTTCATGTAGATCTTACTGCTAACCTAACTGAAACTCTTAGAGGACTAATTACAGCCATCAGAAGCTGGTGTTCAGAAAAGATACCTACAATCAATTTATTAGACTAACAGTGTATTTTGCCGATTAGACATCCGTGGGTTGGGCATCATCAGCCGATCCAACATGATTGATTCGAGGCGATACACGACGGCGATGATTCTATCAAGTGTTTAGGCTTATAATGTCAATAATTGCTGGGCTTTCCAACAACCAGGCCGGCTGGCCCAATGGTAAGGCGCTTGACTACGGATCAAGAGATTGCAGGTTCGAGTCCTGCGTCGGTCATTCTTTTTGTTTTTGTCCCGCCTTTCAAATCTCCGCTCCCCGCTCTTCCTCCATACAACCCACCCACCAGCAACCTTAAAAACAATGATAGAGACATGGTCATTTACCATATCATCAGAATTGTTTTTTGCTATTCCTATATTAATCTCTCCTCCTTCACACATCTTGATCAGGATTAAGCCAAGGCTGACAGCAACTTCACATAGGACCCTCTTCCTGACCCCAATCCTGCGACCGGATATCTACTCCGATCAGTGACGGACTTTCATGGATATAACTCGTCAATGATACAGAATTTATAGCGGGTATTAGATGGGCCTCCTACGAAGACATGTAACCAACACTTTCAAGGCAGCCATGTCCGAGCTCCTTGTCCGAACTCCGATGTGAACATTCCTGCTATCTCGACGGCTCTTGCAAGGAACGGACGCATTCGCACCATATAAACAAAATGAAGGCTTATTAAGATGGTTCGGACATCTCCGACCGATCACAGGGATCCAGCTACTATGAAATGGTTGACTGTGGCCATTTTCGAAGATAAGAATACCAACGAATTGGGTCAAATATTTTTTTGCCTCTGTTCTGGAGTCTTCATTACTCTTCATTGATTGCTGCATTCAATTACGAATGGCAAACCTACCAGACCCTGCATGCGGTGAAACACCGGCTAAGGGCCCGGATGTCAAGGGCAGAGATGTCGAGTCCACCGGGGCGATTCCCTCCAGATCAGACAACGCTGAGGATCAATTGCTGGTAAGCACTAATTGAGTAAGCACCAAATGTCTCATTTGACAATTTGCATATAGGTGACCCGGAACGGACCGGATGATCCAGAGTGCCCTTTCAACTGGTCTCTTACTGTCCAATGGGGTCTCACAATTCTGACATCTATGGGAGGCTTAGTGACCTTGATGAGTGTATCAATGCTAGCACCAGCCTTGCCTAGCATCGGCAAAGACTTGAAAATCAGTGGCAGTGAAGCGAATATGGCAGTTTCGATCTTTGTCCTGGCGTTCGCCTTTGGACCCATGGTGCTAGCCCCACTGGCAGAGGTGTTTGGCCGGAGGAATGTATTCCTGGTTTGCTCGGCCTGGTATGTTGTCTGGAATACTGTATGCGGATTCGCCAAAACTAAAGGCGTCCTTCTTGCTGCACGGATAATGAGTGGATTGGGAGCGAGTGCTGAGTTTGCTGTGAGTGAAACGAATCAGTTATTGATTCAACTAACGAAGTACAGGTAACTAATCCCGTGCTTAGAGATTGTTGGCGACCAGAACAGCGTGGAAACTCGTTTTCCATTGCAACATTTGTCCCGTTGCTCGGTCCAGCTATAGGCCCAATCCTTGGGGCATTATCAGTGATACCATCGGATGGCCTTGGTTATTTTGGGTTCTATCAATCTTCGACCTTGTGTTGATCGTCTATGTCTTCTTCTTCCCCGAAACTTACCATCAACTGATCCTGCTCCGGAAGGCCGTGAAACTTCAAGAGCCGAAAAGCCATATCACACTGAATTTGACATCCACAGCCAGAGTTTCGGTAGAAAGGTGACAATCAGCTTGATTCGGCCATGTTGGATGCTTGCGATGCAGCCCACTATCCAGCTCATGTTAATCTTCTTGGCCTACAATTTTGGTGTCCTCTACTTTGTTCTAACCAGCTTCGCCTCCCTCTGGACAGACCGATACGACCAGTTCGTCCTCATCAGCGGCCTCCACTACATTGCCATAGTCATTGGATACACCGTGGCTTCCCAAGGGGGCGCCCGACTCAAGGATCGTCTCTGACAGTACCTGAAGACTGAAGCCGGGGGACAAATTACACCAGAGTATCGGATACCCCTTTTAATTCCCGGCACAATTCTGCTTCCCGCGGGGTTGTTTTGGTACGGCTGGTCTGCTCAAGCGATGGCCCCATGGATTGTGGTGGATATTGGAGCTGCGGTTTTTGGATGTGACATCATTCTCAGCACGCAGGCCATGCAGCAGTACGTCATGGAGTCATACCGGGACTACGTTGCTTCCGCTAGTGCCGCGAGTCAGTTCCTACGGAGTATCTTTGCGTTTTGCTTCCCGCTGTTTGCACCTGCGCTGTATAACCATCTGGGGTGTGGGTGGGGCAATAGCGTTCTGGGATTCATTGCACTGCGGTTCGAGGTGCCGGAACCGTTTCTCATTTGGTTCTATGGTGCGCGGTTGAGGGAGGTGGGCAGAAAGAGGATGGGAGAGAATTTAGCATGACTAAGTCTGATCAAGATAAGATCATAGACCATGGATAGCGGCCCCAAACGCACCTCGGGGTGAGTCGAGGATAACTCGCAGGAAACTGGCCGATCAGTTGCATATCATTGAGACCCCGGTTGTTGCGCATTTGCTGCATCGTTGATTTCTTCCTTTACGCGAGGCTTCTTTGTTTCCCCATGAGATCTAGGATTCATGAGATTAAAAGGCATATTGGCTTCCTATTCCTGCTTCGACAAGAAACACCTACAGAGAAAGTATTACACCTACCTCCGATACGCTAGTACAATATGCCTTGACTTAGCCTGATTTAAGATAGGAGTTACTCCGATCCCCCCAGACCAACACACAACCCGAGGGCCTTCAATCAATGCCGACGACGATCCATGCTCAGGAAACAAGTCCGAATCGGAGAATTATCCGCATGCAACTATTCACGCAGGATGAAATGCGGGGAACCACTGCATATACAGTCTTATAGCCTCACCTACTGCTGCCACCTCAATAGTATCCCGTCCCACATCACCACCATACCTCAACCACAATACCATCACACACCACAAACCTCTCAGAAACCAACAATCAACATGCCCAAACCCATCATCCTTCACCTCGGCGACCCCATCGCCTACAATCACTCCCTCTACGACGGCGCTTTCTCGTCTCGCTTCACCATCATTCGCAATGAAGACCTCACTCGAGAGTCCTTTATCGAAGCTTTGAAAACCAACAAGTTCGTCCCTATTCCCCCCTCCCCTTTCTCTTCCACCACCACCCAACCTAACAACACCGGAACGAAACGATAGATACGGTCCCATAACCGCCCTCTTCCGCCCGCACTTCGCCTCAGGCAACGAAATGATCCCCTGGGACGCCTCCCTCATCTCCCTCCTCCCGCCCAGCGTGAAAATCTTCGCCTCCGCCGGCGCAGGCTACGACACCGTCTCGATCCCGGCCCTCACCGCGAGGGGCATATACTACACCAACGGGGCCGGCGCATCCGACGAAGCCGTCGCCGACACAACCCTGTACATGATCCTGTCTGTATTCCGCAACTTCACGGCGTCGCAACTCGCCGCGCGGTCCGGGGATAAGGGGCGGTTTTTGGACTGTCATCGGGATTTGGCTGGAATTTCGCAGAATCCGACGGGGAAGGTATTGGGGTTGGTTGGGATGGGGAGGATAGGGGGGTTAGTTGCGAGGAAGGCGAGGTTGGGGTTGGGGATGGAGGTGGTTTATTTTGATAAGAAAAGGGTGGAGGGCGGGAAGGAGAGAGAGAGGGAGATGGGGGTGAGGTGGGTGGGGGGGTTGAGGGAGGTTCTTGGGAGGGCGGATGTGGTGTCGTTGCATTGTGATTTGAATGCCGGGACGAGGGGGTTGATTGATACGGAGAGGATTGGGTGGATGAAGGATGGGGTGAGGGTTGTGAATGTAGCGAGGGGGGGTGTGCTTGTGGAGGGGGATTTGGCGGAGGCGTTGCGGAGTGGGAAGGTTAGTGCTGCCGCGTTGGATGTGCATGAGTTTGAGCCAAGGGTTGATGAGCGGTTGGTGGCGATGGAGAATGTCACGTTGACGACGCATGTTGGGGGTGGGGTCGTGGAGACGAGGGTTGGGTTTGAGAGGTTGGCGATGGAGAATATTCTGGCGGTTGTGGGGGAGGATGGGGAGGTGGTGGGGGAGCCGTTGACGGCGGTTAATGGGAGGGAGGTGAGGGAGGTGTTGGAGGGGGGACAAAGGAGTGAGTAATTGATTGTAGATTAGAGATATGGCATATAGCAACCGGACTAATATCAGTGACAGCATCAGTTCAGATACTTCCCTCCCGTCTCCTCGTGGATCACATCAAACATTGGCTTCGCGCTGAAATATCCTGCCATCGGTGACCCAATGGATTTGTACGTAAACGCTGCATCGGCCTCATCCACCTTGACCGTCTGCCCGCCCCGTCCGGCTGCCGCGGCATCGGCCATCAACTGCACGTAGCAGCATCTCTCTAGACTGACAAACCAGAACACCGTCTCTTCGATGGTCCTTCCCACCGTCAGGAGTCCATGGTTCTGTAGCAGCGCGGCCTTCTTGTTCCCTAGAGCCTGTGCAATGTTCTTTCCTTCTTCCTCGGCAAGCACGATCCCGTTGAATTGTTTGTAGACGACATGGTCCTTTTCTTGTTAGTTTTTGAAGAGTTTGTGGTATTCGGGGTGGAGTACATTGTAGAACATGCACGCATCCTGCGTGATGATATCCAGCGGTCGTCCCAGCGTACAGAATGCCCGTCCATGCATACTGTGGCTATGTGCTGCGCAGAGGACATCTGGTCGAGCAGCATGGATAGCAGAGTGAATCATAAAGGCCGCTGCATTAAGCAGCCGAACCGGCCCCCCGTCAATGATCTCTCCGCTGTGGCTCACTTGGATCAGGTCCGATGCTTTAATCTGCGAGAATGCCACGCCGAAAGGGTTCACCCAGAAGGTGGTAGGGTCGACCGGGTCGCGAAGAGTGATGTGTCCTGCCACGCCTGCAATGTGTTAGTGTATGCGCCTATGATGTATCTGAAGTAGATGGACGTGGAATCTAGGCAGAGGCAATACCTTCATCGTAACCATTCTTCCCAAAAATGCGAAACGCTGCAGCCAGGCGACCCTTGAGGTATTCCCGCTCTTTGTATTTATCTTCGAAGACAGGAGGTCGGGGGAACTGGCCCGGGGCGTTCTTCACTTTGGCGGTTTCGGCGGTCGTCTCTTGTGTGGATTGACGGGTCAGAAGGGTGAGAGGTGAGGAGGTGGCGGTTTCGGTTTCGGTGGGAGGGGCCATGGTGTGATGAGGGAGTATTGGATGACTAGTGATGATGGAGAATTGCAATGATCGAGGATGCAGTGATGAGCAGGATTAGGGGATAAGCTGGTCCTTATCTGATCGACATAGCGGGGTCGGACCAACCAAAGACAGGATGTTGTAACCGACGGGCTGGAACCGAGGCTGCTGACGCCCGCTTCCTTGGTTGCGATGCCACGGGCTATCGCGGCTTATCGCGGCTTTCTGGCCGAGAAGCCACTCCAACACGTTGCAAATAACATTCCTCAATCCCATTCAGCTTATAGCGCATTGAAGATGGTTTCTGAGTAGATTTCAAGTGTAGACAGCCTGCCCAGCTGTTGAGTCATCCCTATGCTGCGAATACAATCAATATCTACAGTGGCAACCGCGCTATCGGCATTCGTTGCGCTTCCTCCATCAGAGCGTCATACAGTCTCTGGTCTCCTGCACTTCGTTCTTGGGCCGTTGGAGATGCACCCAACAACGGCTTGATGTCTGCCTTGCAGACTGTGCCAGGCGGCGGCAACTCGCCCGTCTGAAAATACTTGCGGATCAATTTATGTACACACACCGAGGGCGCGGCAAGGGTCGAGTGCTAGCCAGTTAGACGAGCCGAATACTATCCGAGGTGTCACAAGCCACTTACACCTTCAGAGTCTTGCTGCAGGAGCACAGATCCAGGGAAGCTTCGGGACATTTTGCGGGCACTGCGCAATTTAGCAAGGGCCACAAAGTGAGGGAGGGGAAGTACCTCCGCAGAGGAGTCACCGGATCGAGCGTATTGCTTACGAAGAGCAGTGGATGAGAGGTGTTGGCCGTAAAGGGTCCTAAAAGCTCAGTAACAAGAAAGAAAACCCCAGAATCAAACATACCGGTGAGCTTCCACTTCGGCTTCAGATTCCACCCCACGCAGCTCATCAGAAGCCCAGCCCAGTAGTCACCGATCATGGAGCTATCCTCTCGCAAGGTCTCCCAATTATGCCTGAACTCCTCTTCCCCGGTACTTTGCAAATACTCTGCATCTGCACAGAGAATGGCTGTGCTCGAATATGCTTCATTGTGCCCCGGAACCTGACACTCAGCGGACCACGGTCCGGCTTGAAGACACTGGCTCGAGGGGCATGACGGGGAGCGGCCTCCATGCTTCAAGTCGGCTAGGGCGGAGCCATTCCCCTTGGCCAGCTCGCTCGCAAACTTTGCTAGCAGAGAGAACCCTTGCATCGGCTGATACACGGCAATCCGCAGAATGATCTTCAAATCACTCCATGTCACGACCTCCGGGCCCCGTGTGGCCGATGAGCGAACTGGCAGGGATCGATTGTGGAGAGTGTCTTCCAGGGCTAGGTAGGCTTCCCTGATGGCGGTCGGTCCTCCTGGGACATAGAAGGGACAGTTATCCGCCCCGACCGCACTGCAGTAATGCGTAAATTGATCGAAAATGGCATCAGCATCCTCGACAGGGTTGGGCCCGTGGCCCAGATAGTACTTGTCGGCATCGACCACAGCATCCAGAACAGCCCGATGAATGCGATCGGGGAACATAGTTGCAAATGTGGACCCTAGGATGGTCCCGTACGACCGACCCCAATACAGGAGCTTTTCCTGTCCTTGATTCCATCTCGTCCGGGCTACTAAAGTCTGCCTCGGATCGTAACCATGTACACGATCGTGTTGACGCTGTCCTGCTAAACCTTGTTTCTCACGCCATTCGCCGTGTCGCTCCGCAATTTCGAGCATATCTCTAGCGACCGGGGGTGTATTGAGATGCTCGCCCAAGGCTTCCTCTCCATCCTTTGACGGCATGGTCAAACTGGCGGAGCATCCTGTATTAAGAGCGATCGCGCGATCCCAGGTACGCCAGAACGCATCGTCTGAGCTCCCCAACATGCCTTCCGCTGCCACCTGCAGCTCCCAGTTGCGCTGGGAAAAGAGGTTCGGGAAACAGCTGAATCCTGGAGTCGTGTTATTGACCCCACGGGGATCGAACCCGATGATGTCGAAGTACTTGTCCTGCGAAATCCTCTCTGGATCCTCGACATTTGGGTCTGCTTCCGCGTCCACAGTGGTTTGTAAAGATCTGCCACCACGCAGAACCTGGGCGACACCCGAGCCCCCCGGGCCACCTGACAAGACCCTCCGTTAGTCGACAGCCAGGGCACAGAAAGAGGCGAAGATACCTGGGTTGACTAAGATTGCACCGCCGTACCGTGAATCTGTCACCGGAACCTTAGCTGGAAGGCGAGTGATGGCGATCGCAAAGCGCCGTCCTTGTCCGTCAGATCGGTTGTAGTCCATCGGAACTTCGAGACGGGCGCATTGGAACCCGTGGAAGCAATCATGATATGTAAGTGATTGAGAAGAGGTGATCTGTGCAGTGTTAGATATTTTTCATGACGGCTACAAAGCAACGCACCTGATCCCAACCAAACTCCTCTTTCGAGCGAACACTACTCTCACTGGTCGCGCCATAGAAAGGTAATGTCCACCATGCGAGTCCTGCTAGAGTTATCAAGGCGACTGCCATGCCATGGGTCACCTCCCGCCATGGCCGTCTTTTTGCCGTTGGTACATGGCGGTTTGGGTGTGTGGTGAAGCCAGAGGATTTGAAGGGTTCCATGTGTTCTTTGTTCTAGAACAACGCACCCACCTCATCCCATAGCACGCAAGCTGGAGGCTGTCAAAGAGGACCCCGCGAGTTAAATGCAGGCTGGATCATGCCCCGCCCAGAATATTGGGCAGGCTGACATGTAACCCACCTGGAGGTGATCGTCGAGGTCAGCATCTGCAAAGCGATGGCAGACGACGAATTACGAAGGGGGGATTTGCAATGATCACGAAGTGGGGGATGGATTCAGCTGGCCAGGATCAGCCGCGTATGGCGAGAGGAAGAGTGGAAAAGAAGGCCAGATGGCGGATCCGCGCTGGTGGCCCGTGATTCCTTGCATGGCTGGCCTGCCCTTGGCCTTCCGTTAATCGCCTAGCAGCAAACTCTTCGGAAACTAGTCGGCACCAAACCAGAAGTCATTGGTGCTTGTCCTTATCTCCCCATTGCTCCATGAGATTGGCTAGATATTACTTACAAGGCAGGGTGGCGGAGAAGCCATGGGCCTGCAGACTGTACACTATTTACATGTTTGACTCTCCATTTGCCTCTTTTCGAACCCAAGTCGCCCGGGGTAGGCCTGACCGGACAAGATTGCCTCACGACGTTTAGAAACCCCATTTCGTTGCTCGCCGTTCATCGGTGGAACGTGATATGGGGCGCCTTTTTGAGCACATGCTCAAGTGGTGATTCCTGTGTTTTTATGTTGTCCACGAGGGCATTTTGGAGGATTCAGGCGTTTCTGATTCATACTCACGTTCCAAGCAAAAGCGCCGACATAACTCGCAGCAATTTGCGTGCTCCGTAGGCAAGATAATCGAATAGCGTTGAACTGGGTTGCCTTGTTGATTCAATCATACACGCCGTTTCTTTATCTGCCTCTCTAGCTTGCTGCCGACCTTCTCATAACGGCAAGGTATCTCAACCTCAAATTCCGTCAAGTATGCGATCCATTTGCTATACGTCCCCATGAACGATCGAGGATGGGGTACAGCTTCCCGCAGCTCCGGAAGTATGGTATCCTAGAGTTTCTGTATGCGTGTTTTATCGTCCAAGACAGCCCCCATCCTGCGCTCCATTTGAGTCAAAACGCTGGCGTAGTCCTGCACAGACTGGTGCGGCCTCTGCATCGCGGCATTATATTTCCGTAGACGACCGCTTTAGCGGTTATCTTCAGATTTTAAGTTGCAGAATAAAGCTGCGAAACCCCTCCCATGTACACGCCTCTGGGTCTGATACGACGTGCTCATCCCACAAGGAAAGAAGTAGGTGTGACAGATAACGACGCGCTTCCTCTATCTTCCGCTCATCTGTATAGTAGTTGTAGGAAGCATAGCGCGCAAAATGATCCTCCAGGTGCGAGATGGCGTTTCGCAGGTGTTTATGGTTAGACGCGATATACATCATGAAGGTTGGCAGTTCTGGGGGCCGGAGCTCTGGCCAGCCAACGGACTCCTCCGAGCATGATCTTCCGAGTCCTCGTGCCCATCCATCGTCGGAAGTTTAGTTTTGTAAAGAAGGGATTGTGGTGAAGTTGGTCGTCGGCAGCTGGTTGGGTAGGCGAGCCACTTCGTCGAGGCGCTGTTGTTCTTGGGCTAGCAGCTTTTGCTCATGGACAAGTTCAGCTCGGAGCCGTAGGAGGGCGCGTTGTCTTTTAACGTTCTTCAGTTCATTTCTCAGAAGATCGAACTCGCTATCATTCGCGTCATCTGGTTTGTATTCCGCCATGACGTGAAAGGTACCAGTAAAGAGCAAGAATGATAGCAGCGTGCTGTCAAGATTTCCAACCAAGATCTTTAAGTCAATATGAGCTGTGGAGTCACGCTTGGATGAAAGGCGTCGCGTGGGTCACGTGCTGCGACAAGTCAATTGCCCCTTAAGATTCCTAATGGGGGAAAGTGCCTGTCTCCCCACTCTCCGCAGCCATCTTTCCAGTTCCTCGTTCTCTCCTCTTCGCCTCGGCCTGATCGGTGTAATCACCAGGTGTCCAAATCAGACAGTGTCACATTATGTTTAATGAATAGGGGTGACTCGGTTGAAATCTGCTTCTTTGCCGATTTGCGGAGGTGATGAGTGTGTGTGACTGTCAGGGCCATCATCCGGGTTGGGAGGTACCGTGCCATCCCCCGCAGGATCATGTCGACTAGTGCGGCTTCTTATCAGAAGGGGCCACCAGGTATTGTCACATTCTTCAATCACTTCAGCGCTGCACCCGAGAATGTTTGCCCACTTTCGCAACCTGGTCCGTCCTATATTGGTCGATCTTCAGACGATCGGCAGTCTCAGTGGCTGCTCCTCGCCCTTGCTGGCCACGGCGTCGAGCCGCTCTCGGGCGCATGGATTGGCATTACCCCCACCGGGCGATAGTCACGTTAGCTGATGCCTTCGTCATGTCGATCTTTTCGGCTGTCCACCATCGTTGCTTCGCTCATTTATTCATCCGTTCTCCCATTATCGGTCCATGATCAGATTCAGGTGCGTCAATGGTCGTGTATTGCGGTTGCTGACGCCATTTGGTCGCAACGCTGTGGTGAGTACAGTCTGCTAACCTCCGCATTCAAGACCAGGGATGGAGATAAGTGAGTCGAGTCGTTCGCACTAGTGAGCTTGGTCACTCGACACCTGTTTGATCCCGGCTATCTTGATCCGTCGCTTGCGCAACAAAAAACACACATACCTGATGCGGTCCGCCCAGCAGACCCTCGCCCTCTAGTATTCGCCTTTACACAATGGCTGGCTGGAGCAGATTTTTTCGCCCAGCAGAAAGACAGGACGACATTCCCCCGTCTTTGACGACTGATAATGAAAAGAACAACACTATTGATGTCACCGTCCAGGAATCGAGCGCCACGGTACCAGATGGGACCGGGGCGGCTAAAATTCAGGCCGCCGAAGCCGTGAGCGGGCGTAAAGGCAGGTATTTGCTGTATGCGGGGTACGTATAATCTATCATGATTTAGGTATATGTGCTCATATCTTCAGACTAGCGATGATGATGGTCATATAGTAGGGTGCTTTGCTCCTCGATAACTGTGGCGGAATTTAACCGCGGGTATAATAGTGAGCTAGACAACTCGACCGTGGGAACTTACCGCAACTTTGCGACTTCTGAATTCGATGCACTTGCTGAGCTAGCCACTTTGAACACCGCAGCAAGCATTATATCCGCCATCACCAAGCCTCCGATCGCTAAAGTTTCCGATGTCCTCGGGCGCGGTGAAGCCTATATATTCGCCGTGACCTGTTACGTGGTTTCTTACATCCTCTGTGCCTCTGCCAAGACTTTCAACACCTACGCAGGTGGTTATGTCCTCTACTCTATAGGACAAGCCGGTACATCCTTTCTCAATGCTACCATCGTTTCGGATTTATCATCGATGCGTTGGAGGGGGTTCGCCTACAATGTCCTCTATGTCCCGTTTCTCATCATACCTTGGGTCTCCGCCTTTATTGTCCAGAGCGTCGTTGATGGTATCGGCTGGCGTTGGGGTATCGGCATGTTTGCCATTTTGATGCCTTTCGGTGCCAGCTTCATTATCACAACCCTTCTTGTATTCCAGCAACGGGCGAAGCGGTCAGGTCTCGTACTAAACGAACAGCTCAATATATATGATTTCTGCTCCCGCATCGATCTGGGTGGTCTTCTCATCCTGAGCGGCGGTTTTGCTCTAATCCTCCTTCCCATCACGCTAGCTGCGACCTCTACTAGCCGATGGAAGACTCCTTGGGTCGATGCTCTAATTGCGGTAGGTGTGGTGATTTTGGCCTGCCTTTACCCATATGAAAAATACGTTGCCCGGCATCCCGTGGTTCCTGTGCGCTACTTTCGCAGTCTTTCAGTTATGATCCCGGTGGTTCTGGTATGCATCGACAACATCAGCTTTGGCGCCACACATACGTATTTGTATGTCTGGTCTGAGGTGTCTCACAACTTCTCGGCGCGCAACGCCCAGTTTCTCTACTATACAAATGGCATCATGCAAGCACTGGTAGGCATGGGCACTGGTTTGCTGATGTACCGTCTACGAACCTATAAGTGGATCGGGGTCTTCGGGGCAATTGTTCGGATGGTTGGATACGGGGTGATGGTTCGCCTCCGCACCAACAAGAGCTCTGTGGCCGAGCTTTTTATTGTGCAGCTAGTCCAAGGGGTTGGAAGCGGTATAATCGAGACGGTCGGCATTGTGGCAGCCCAGATCTCAGTGTCGCATGCTGAGCTGGCCCAGGTCACGTCGTTGGTCATGCTGGCCGCGTACCTGGGCAACGGAATCGGTTCTGCGATTGCAGGGGGTATCTATTCCGGGCAGTTACGTCAACAGCTGCGGTCGCATCTGGGGTCTGGTGTCAGCAAGGCCACGGTGGATAGGCTGTACAATTCGATTACCGGCACGCTGCCAGCCTGGGGTTCAGCGGAGCGAACAGCGATTGACAGAGCCGTGAGTGTCAGCCTCATTCTACATGTTACTTGCTAACCTGGTATCATAGTATTCGGATGTTATGGGGTGCGTTTGTCACTCACAATGCTTAGGAACGATGAGCTGACAAGTTTAGGTCTATTACCATTGCCGCCCTGGCATTTTCGGCACCGGTAGTGATTCTGTCGCTGTTTCTGCCAAACAAAAAACTTGGGTATGACCTCTAGCTTTCCGAAGCATTGTCCTCTGCTGATCAAAACGCTAGGGACGGGCATAATCGGGTTCAAGGCCAACAACCTCCTGTTCGCTCTGAATCAACGCTGGTGGATGAGAGAAATGGACGTGGAGGGTCCGAGGCCCTTCCAATCGAGACTTGAAGGAAGGTGTATCGACATGATTATACATTAAGACTTCTATATACCATCGCCCACTTGGGTATCAAATCAACTTTTCTATACAATATGCAGACGGGCACCATATTGTCCCTTTCTATTTCCCGGGAGATCCCAGCAAGCAGATGAACTCCCGCTTCGGGGTGGAGTCCAAGGCATTCTTAACCAGATTCCAGACGTTCAGATCGTAGGCCTCGCCGATATGGCCGACAGGGTCCAGGGGACAGGTGCTCTGCACCCATTCATTGGTCACACCGTCCTCGTGGACAAATGAGGTCGTCGTTGGTGTCACTAATTCGTCGAAGCGCGACGCAATGACCGTCAGGTTATTCCCAGACTGCACAATGGGCTCGCCATCGTTCAAGCGGTCAACCGCCGCTCCATCGGGGCCCAGGTCGTCACAGGCAGCGCACCCCACGGTGTCCAGAATGTCGCCAACTGCCGCGCGCGACACGTTGCCAAAAGCATATGCGAGGTCATAGATGCCCGCAAAGTTGGTGCCTCGTGTGGGGGGCGCAATGGCCACCAGCTTATCGAGCATCTCCGAAATGCCATCCTCGAACTTCGGGACGTACAGGGTCTGGAAGGCACCTTCAGAGTGACCGACCAGATCAATCTTCTCGGCTCCTGTCTCCTCTTTCACCTCACGGATAAAGGTAGCGATTTCCTGGGCGGAGTCGGCGATAGACTTGAGCCCACCTAGGAAGGGAAATCCATCGTATGCACCATAGGTCTTGGCGTAGGTGCAGTAGCCTTGGGCCTGAAGCCAGTATTGTAGATAATTCAGATCTTCGTAGAATGTGGCACCTAGGCCATGTAGGAGCACCACGGGGTTAGGGTGCTCAGTGCTGGTACAGGAGAAGTCATTAATGTCGTAGCCAAAAGCGGGTAGAATGGCCGCAGATGCCAGCAGAAGAGAAGAAAAATGCATACTGGCTGAAGTGAAGAATTGAACGGTGGTCAGGATGGTCAGAAGGCAGTTTGACAGGATAGAACGGTATTCCAACATTCCAACGGGCTGTCATCGGAAATTTATCGTGAATGCGGAAGTGGGCCTGCCATCATGGCCAGGGGATGCAAATCTGATCTATTCAAGATCCGGCAACAGGAATGGGGAACATGCTGATCCCATAGATTAAAGTGGACGGGATATTCATCCTCAGTGGTGCCAAGCTGTGACTATTGGCAGGCAGGAGGGCCGCTGACTCGTTAGCGTCGCCCGGCCGATCCACTGGGGCTTCATTTCACGCTCAGCTGAACTTTTCATCGCAGTCACGACCACCCCGTCACTGTGGCCCGTCACTCCATCACGTTAATGCGTATAACTTCACGTCCTGAGTTGTTGGTGGTGAGGAATGGAGTTCCAGGATATTATAAATATCTCCTGATTCCTCTCATCCTTTCTTCCTCTTTCCCCTCATATCTCACTCTATATTCATCCCTGCACCAAATCTTAGCTGGGCGATGGTTGGCCTTTGTTTACTATCTATGAGCATTTTTCTAACACCGATGTCGATAGTAGTCTGTCTGTTGCATAAATTAAAGTACGAGTCCATCTCAAAGCATGAACAGCCTGCTTCATCACATTCCGGAACATCGGATTGGAGACATTCAAAGCTCGCATTTCGACCTCTGGTGCCAACCACTAGCAGCGACGGTCAAGTCTCATTGGCCTCTGCTCAGCACTCGGTTTTCAAGCACTTCGATATCTGGCCACTATAAACTGGACAAAGCGACCATCGGCGCAGCAACGCGACATCTTAGTCCATGATTCAGGCCATAGTTCCCGGCCACATACGGTCCTAGGCACAATTCTGTCAACTACCACATCTGACAAATCGCCGTAACGCAGATGATCTATACTCACCCTTCAACAGATTACTGCGTGTGGTGTCTTGTTCTACCTAACTACTTATAATATCTCCATGATACCACCGACATAAAGACGCGGCCAAGGGCGACAGTTGGGACAAACACATTGGATACCGACATGAGGACCGACCAAGAGGTGCGACACATGGCAAATGCGACTCAGCCTCAGATGATGTGGACATTACTTTCATAGACGAAACACTGTTTCTGGGTGAGGTATATGCAGTACCTCTATCCTTCAGTCACGATGTTTCCACGCGGCATATCCGACACAATATACTTCGGCGCTACAGAGTAGGATCATGTCAAAGCTCCCGCAGAGTGTCTTCATATATTTTATGATCCGATCACATGAAGAATATAAGTGCGCAGGAGATGCGGCACTATTCGTTCCTCAGGCTCTTCTGAACTTCATGTGTTCCAGATCGTGAATATAATCGAGAGAAGACAAAGAGCGAGTCACGCGTTCTGGAAAAGTTCATTACCTATACACAGCGAAGTGTAATCCACGGCATGATGTGGTCAGTACGACTACATTTCCCTCATGAAATGCTGCCGAAATACTCCGCCCTGCAGGATGTGCTCTTCTGGTATCGAGTCGGGAAGTCGCCCAGCGCCGCCCAAACAAATGGATGCGACTAGGACCTTCAACATATCTCGCACAGCTACTTACTACAACAAAGACGTTGAATCTTGCTTGCTGGGATACGCCTAATATGGACTGCCTTGATGACGCTGCCACGCACCAGAAGCATGGAGGAGTACCCATACATGCAATGGCCTCATCAAGATGGAGAAGGTCCTTTTGAAATTTGGTCAACATGTTCGCTCTGAAGGTGAAGTCTAGGGTCATCCTTCTCACTTCTGGGAACTATCCCATGAGATAGGATTCTGGATTTGGGAAATACATTGAACTTGTGGGACGGAGTCATATATGACGCGCTCCTACACGAGTCATCTTTTCAGTTCTCTCCCTCGTTTCTTATGTCGAGAATGTGAATCTCATCTCCAACTTTGTGTCCGCCAAGATCACGGAGATCCTATTGATCGACGTACAGACAAAAGAGTCATTCACGCTTGGGGAAAACCTGGGACACATAAAGGATAAGACACGGGAAAAGCTTTAACGAGACATTCTAGGACTTTGGTGTCATCACGTTGCTCTACCACTGGAATATATACCGCCAACAGCATGCCAAAGTCACGGACTCGCCTCACCAGACGGCCCATCTCACCATGCCATGGTATCACATCGTCGCAACATCCATTACGACATGCCATATGAGGATTCTTCACAACTCCTTTGATACCTCAGAAAACACTGAACATCTGAAGTGTACCACGCGAAGGTGGACGTGGCATTAAAAATGTCTAAGACACTGTCTACGAGTCTGGACCCATGGCATTCCCGAGGGTACCGACGACATCTAGGCGGGCGAGGATGCGGGTAACTCGACAAAACCCTGCCCATAGAGATGAAGAGCGGGTATTGAACGTTCCATACGGACAGGACGGGGACAATGCTTGAGCCATTATGCTCTATACTGCCTCGTTGGATCTGCTTCAAGACCTTCGGGTCTGATAGCTCACTGGCAACAGGGATGTCATCAGGATGATCCTTCGATTCGTTTGCTAAAGAGCACAAGTCAATTACGCAACTGTGCATACAGAAGACGTCTAGATGCATATGGATCCAAGTTATCGTCCTCGGATAAGAACTACGATGCAAATGGCGGCATTCTCATGCTGTGCTCCTGGGAACTGCATTCTGCAGGACAAAGTTTGACCATGATTCTCTACAGAAAGCATTTGAAGTCTATGGAATAGGCAGTACCATGACAACGCAATTTTCATTGTGATTCCACTGCATCTAGTGGACCATGACGGCAGAGATACGGGATGTTGAACCAGCGGAGATGGGTCCAGCATAATTGGCTGGACATGAAACCTATGAAGCGAATCATTTAGCTTGCGTTCGGAAGCGAATAACAGCACTGGTACACCGTTACTAGGACGAGAATCGTCGGGTTCTAGTACCGATAAGATGACTCGGACCAGACCTGCTTGTTACGGAATATGAATAGAGGGTCGGGCCTCGAATCTCATGGGATTCAACAGACTTTGCGTGTGCTCTTTGCTGTAGCAACAGAAATCAGAACTTCTGCGCTAGGATGCATTTGCTATGTCTTCATTGCGAGATATGCGACTTTGGTATCTGCAAATCGCCCCCACGCCTTCTTGCAACAGGCATCTACTGCATTAACTTGATTAATGCGCTACGGGGTTTCCGGAAAACAAGCTTCTTGAAGTCCTCCAGACGCATCTTCAAAAGACTGAGTAGTTGACATGACAGATAAAAGCTTCTTGTCGATACCAGTTGAAGCAGAGATGGCAACATATTCCGGATGTCTTCAGGTTCTTCGTGGGCCATCGAAGTTATCAAAGTGCTAGCAATCATCCGTGACCGGGTTTCTTTGAGAAGGCATTCGCTCAAAGCTTCTTTCCTGACGAACTGTACAACCATGCGGCACTCACTGGAGCTCTGATTTCGAAATGCTACCCGCCCGAATGTCCAGTGGATTGCGACAGATGAGAAAATGCGAGATATCAAATCAGCCGAAGGGATTAGGCATTCTACACGAATCCCAGTGTCAAGCGGGAATAACTCTTAGATATGCTTTATTTCCATATTGCCTTTTGCGAAATCAGTTCTCTTTCCATCGCATTCAATACATCGGCACATTCCACGGTGTACCCTGTCCCTCAGATAGAAGATATCCACCAAAAAAACACTCAATCCAACCAGTGTGCTATCATCTACCCACAAATCAAGCTGCCTCACCTCTCACCACATCATCACAATCCACCTCCATCCCCCAATTCCCCCATTCCTTCAACACCCCCTGGTGCTTCTCCAACACAGCCCCAATCGCCTCCACCGCATTCCTCCCCACCGGCAACCGTTCCGGCAACTTCCCCCGTCCTTCCCACCTCCCCATCCCCATCAACATCTTATAAATCGCCTCCGCCCCCTTCCTCGCATCCCCCGGCTGATGTCCACTCAGCTCACTCATCCAGTCCCCTGCGTCTTCCACCTCCTTCACCCTCTTCTCCGCCCTCACAATCCGTCGATCCGATAACACATCCGTTCGATAATGCCCCAGCTCCAAGCTCACCACCTCGATCTCACACCCCGCCAGCTCCGCCCGCAAAGCTTCCATACTCAACGCCAACGCCGCCTTGCTGGCGCAATATATACCTCCTCCCGGTTGTCCGGCCCATCCCCCGATGGAGCCCATGACCGCGATGATGCCGTGGTTTTGGGCCCGCATGCTGGGCATTAAGGCTCGGGTGAGGGTGAGAGCGGAGGTGAAGTTTATGCGCAGCGAGAGGTTGATTTCTTCCGTACTATGCCATCATCGCCGTTAGCATTAGCATCGTCATTAGAACCATTATTCTTCTTATTTGTCGGATTCATCCCCACCCCATCCCTAAAACAAACGATAATGAATGAGAGAGAAAAATACCTGCACTCCTCAACCGCACCCCCCAAAATATACCCCGCATTATTCACCAACACATCCACCCTCCCCACACTCGATAGAACCTCCTTCACGAAAGCCTCAATCTCACTATCTGGGCCAGCGAGATCAAGTTTCCTCGGTATGAGTTTCCCTTTTCCGTGCTGGCTTTCAGTGCTGGAATCGCCGTTAGCGTCGGAGAAGATACTCTCCAGCTTTGAAGGGTCGCGGGACGTCGCGATCACGGTGTCGTTGTGTGCGAGGGCGTATTTCGTCAGGTGGTGTCCGAAGCCGCTCCCGCAACCGGTTATGAGCCATGTTTTGGGGGACATTTTTGTTCTTTTTTTTTTGGGATGGGTTGGGGGAGGGGGGGGGATTAGATGGTGGATGAGTGATGGTTGAGTTGGTGTGGGGTTGGAGAAAAAAAAAAGTAGAATGTCTGTTGGGGAAGATGAGTAGAGCAAGGGTGGGTTTGTGTTGTTGAGCAGGATGCAAGAGAGAGGGACGGGGAGGGATACGATAGCTAAGATATGAGTGGTGATGGTATATGTATAGATCTGAGCCGATGAATCATGGATGAGATATACATGAGGTATAGTCCCTCGGATACCCTACGGTACAGATTCAATTGAGTTCTGGAAGGATCTCCCGATCCAAGGATACACGTCCAATCCAAGATTATGTTAACTCTAACCCGGTATAAACAAGAAAGTGCTGGGTCGTACATTGCGCTGCAATGGTCCAACCAAAAGTCAATAAGAAAAAATATCCTCTCTATGCAAAGCTGGCTCAAATGCAAATCACACAATATACCCGAAAGTCATCGCATCCAAGGCAACATAACAAAACATAGAACGCATAAACGCTGGTGTATATATCTAGAAGCTGAACAGACCACTGCGGCGCTTGCCGTAGGGGTAGACAATCAATGCGGAAATGAAGAGACCCACGGTAATGCCGATCGCGACTTGGATCATACCGTAACCCAGACTGGCGATCGACGAGTCCGAGGTACTGTCGGTCGATGTGGTGTTGCCCGATTTGAGGTTGTTGCGCACCTCCTCGGCGTACTGGATACCGGCGAGGAGGGATCCACTGGAGGCCAGTCCGGAGGGCACGAGCACAAAGATACCCGGGAGAATGGCGGTGGCGGCGTGACCGTGCCATAGTCGGCTGTACAGGTTACCCAACAGACCGATGGTAAACGCGCCGACCGTGTTTGCGACCTCCGAGTTGGATCCCAGTTTCAATGTGCTGAAGTAGTTGGTTACGTAGCCACAGACCGCGATGACGATCATCACCGGCACCTGTTTCCACTTGCCTTGGTTGATGATCGCCAAGAAGACCACATAGATCGGGACGAAGATGAAATGCTGAATGTACTTGCTGTACCACACATCCTCGTTTGAACAGGTTGTCGAGGTGGCAGCGTTGGCGTCAATCAGCCCATAGATGGTGGTCCCGACCGTGATGCCATACCCGAGGAACATGGAGTAGATGATGGAGTAGACCATACGGATTGAACCGGCAATCATTTGATGCGACTGCAGTTCCAGACTGCTGCACAGCACCATGAAACCAGGCAGGATCAGGGCGATCGAGGACTGAGCCAACGCAGAAAAGCAGAACAGGCGTTGCCGTTCCCCGTCGATGGTGGCATAGATGGACCCAAACGCGCGGGCGAGGAATGACGTCAAGATCGCGGCCGTGACCTCGAAAACGTTGGAGTAAAGCACCGACCGAGGGGCCAGCACATGTTGCATGAAACCAACCAGGCACCCGAGGAAGAAGATGATCGGCATATCGATGGGTCGGGCATCGAAGGCGAAGGGACCGACGGCAACACTGGCCAAACCGTAAGTGACAACAAGGATCCACTTGTTGAACCGCGGGGGACGTTTCATGATGAAATCGAGCTCCTGAATGGCTTCCTCCACGCCGATCATGTCGTGGACGACGTTCTTGTAGACGTTGTGCGTTTCCGCCAAGCGACCCAGATCCACTCCCTGCACCACGCGGACCAGCTTCACCTCCGCTGTGCGCGTGGTGGAATCGTCAAAGGACATGATCATGCACCCCGGCAGATACAGGAACTGCCCCTCAACCTCCAACACGCGCGCCGTCATCTGCATGTACTCCTCCAGACGGTGAGTGGGGGCGCCGTACCGCATGAGGGCACGGCAAAGCTGCATGATATACCGTTGGCGGGCAAGGATCTCAGCGATATGCACTGTGACGCGGATTTCGTCCTCGAGGCGGGTCTTGCGCTTCTTCTTTCCCTTCTTAGGCGCAATGTTCACCAGAGTGTCCGCCGAGGCCGGCAAACTTGCCCGGCTCAGGTTCATCGACGCCTCCACCAGGGAAGCGGTGGACTGATGGCTGGATTTCTTGTACCATTTCACCTTCTCTTTCTTGGGCGTAGCGGTGCCCGACGAAAACGTGCCCGCGGAGAAGTCGCGCCTCGGAGTCGCCGTGCCCGAGGAGACCACGGACTCGTTATCCGAAGAGTCGGTGGTAACGGACATGTTGTCGCGGTTGGCCTGAGTGGCATGCAACTTGAGCAGCTGGGAGAGAATGCCCCCACCGCCGCGGTTCCCAGGGGTTCCGGCACCGTACCACGAGTCCGGACGACCTAGCCCGTCGGGGGTCTCCTGTCCAGACTTGGCATATGCAGACTTGGGCTTGCGGCGTTGGTGCATGTTATGCTGGGTCATGCTGCGAACGAGTCGATGGGCTTCGGCGCTAGGGGGGGGAGGCGGTTCATCCCCATCGCGGGCATGCGGATCGAAGGCATCTTTCTCGTCGGTCCTGCGGCGTGGTGGATAGCCTCCCTCGAGATCATCCGGTAACATGGCTGCTCCCAAGTCACCAACGTCATCGAGGGGTCGGCCCAGACGCTCGCCTAGGAGCACCGTTTTCTGGCGGATCAATTTACTGGCGTTCTTCCAGCGGTCCCTGGCTGAGATGGGTTCCTGCGGCGCATCTTTCTCGAGCGAAGAGTCCCGGGATTCTTCGACTGCGGGTGAGGAGCGTTTGTTGGTGTTCTCCTCTTCTCTACCGTCCGAGGCCGTATCCTCGGGATCTCGCTCGAAGTAATCAGCAAGATCGGCAGATTGGTCCGTTGGTACAACGGAATGGAAGGAACGGAGAGAGTAGTCGGAATCTGCACGCGGCATCATCGAGGGGCGTTGCGGCACCCCTTCGTTGTGGTTGCTGACCGAGCGAAATCTGACCCGGGCAGGTCTAATTGCTTCGTTGGGGGCGTCCTCAGCAGCAGCAGAAGCTTGAGTCTGAGCTTGAGCTTCTGAGGGCTCATCGTGGTGGCCCTCGGGGTGGGAGTGCGCTGATGGCTCGCCATTCTCGCGCGGGACTAAGGTGTCGTCATTCCCATCCCAGCTGTTCTGGCGCCCCAGGAGCTCGTAGGATGGATCGTCGCGGGGTGACTCCGACATTGGAAAGGTCCGGGCAGCCAGCTGCGCGGACAATCAGGATCTGTCAAACCAGGAGGTGGGTGAAGGAAAGGAAAATGGGGTGCGATTGGAAAAACGCAGGAGAATGGAATCACTACCGAGCAATCCGGAGGCGTCCGGCAATATAAGAGACAGCAACGAATGAGAAGGGAAGTACGAGCAAACTATGAATAATGGGGTGTCAAAGACGGATAATAATATGGGGGAGCGAGGCGGGAGAAAAAAAAAGAGGAAAAAATGGTGGTTGATTCGGTTGAAACCACGGCTCGGTGGAGGCGTGGAATAACCAACGGCGCGTCCACGGGGGCCGAACCAAAAATAAGTCGAGTCTAGACCAGCACCCGTCGAGCTGCGACAGATTGACGGATGACAGAGTTACAGAAGGGAGAAAGGCGTCGCGGAAGGGAGAGAGGAGGTGACCAGCACCGTCGGGGCAGTTCTTTAAGGCCAAAGCCGGGCAGAGACGGTCCATGACTTCATGGGTTGGTGGGAGGAGAGGATGATTGGCAGCGATCGCAGCTGGGAGCAGCCGGTGGAGCAGGACGGATGAATCAATAAGACCACACCCCCCCTTCCTTTTCCCTTCCCAGTTCCCAGATACCGGAGAAATTAATGAGGGATCAGCGCTGCACGATGAAACCAACTGACAGCTCAGCAGCCACACCTGCTGATTGCTGAAGAACGAATGCTTCTTCCTCGCGTTCTTTTTCTTCCACCCCTCTCTGCCGCGCTGGAAATCATGCTTGAACCCTTTTCTGACGGGGCTAATGCACCGGCTTATCGGAGGGAGCGGCGTGTACCTGAGAGAGAGAGCGGCGGTGGCCCAATGTGCTTGAATGAGACAAGGAAAGTTTTCACGATTTGCAAACCATTCCCTCTGAACGGCTGCCCATTGGGTTGGGCCCTCTCGACGGTCGGCCATTCAGCGACTTTCCACCGCGCAACGATGTGGGGCCATGGCGTCGCGGTGGTGGCAACTCGCCAATCACGGGCTCTCCTGGCTGCCGGTGTTTCCAGACCGTCGGTGGAGTCGGGTCAGGGGGGCGTCCCGACCGGCCCTCTCGCTTTTCCCTTTCTCGTCCTCCGTACGGAGTAGATAGTAGATATACGAGACCACGGGTGGTGGTCTACGTACCATGTACGGCTCGGTCTTGATCGCCCGACTCAGTAGTATCCCAACCTGGAGAATAATAATAGTTATAGATCGGATCCAATGTATCTCGTATCCACCGCATCGCTTGCACGGCCACTTCCATGCACAGTTCGATCGGGACATTGTCCCCTCCCTGCCCCTGCTCAAATGATCCGTGGTGACACCAAGGGTCAAGGGCGCTGGAGAGAATCTCCCGCACATGTCGGGCCATCGTCAAAGCTTCAGAGGGCTCTCTTTGATAAAGTTTTCTCAACCACCTGGGGTTTTGATCTGTCTCGGCATGGCTTCACACTGCTGCCAACGTGATCCTCGTTCCTCTTTCGCTCGAGCAACATGCCGCTGAAACTGCTCTGCCTCCACGGCTGGGGCACCAATGTCAAGGTGAGGCTTCTTTTGCCGTTTGGCATTGACTTGTCTGACTCACGTTGATGCTGGTAGATCCTCCAATCTCAGCTGGGTATGTGGCACCCTGGTTGCTTTCACCCATTGACTGACCGACTCTCTAGGTGGACTGATGGCGGACTTGCGTCGCGATAACACGGCGACGTTCCACTTCGTCGAAGGCGATGTGGATTCGGCTCCGGGGCCCGGCATCGCGGGCTACTATGACGGCCCTTATTATAGCTATTATCGATTTCCTCTGCCCCTCTCCGGTCCGGAATCCGGGGATACGTCATTGATGGAAGCATATGACTGGCTGTACGATGTCATCAATGAGGACGGCCCCTTTGACGGCATCCTGGGCTTCTCCCATGGGGGCACCCTGGCTGCCGGATTCCTCATCCACCATGCCAAAACATATCCGCGCGAAGCGCCATTGTTCCGTTGTGCCATCTTCATCAACTCCCTGCCGCCGTTCCGCATGGATCCCGGTGGGGATCCGGTGATCGATTCGGACCTGGAAGGGTATATCAACATCCCGACAGTGACGGTTGCGGGGGTGCAGGATCCGTTGCTGGAGTACTCGATCGCGTTGTATCAGCTGTGCGATCCGAACCAGTCCATGTGGGTGGTGCATAGTAAAGGCCATGATGTCCCGGGAGACAAGAAGAACGTGTCCTCTATAGCCACGGCCATCAGAAAATTAGCAATCCAAGCGTTGGCAATTTGGTGATCTTACCTTGCTCTCCGAGCCGATGTTGGTTGGGTGGGCCCAGAAATGAAGCTCCGATGGAAGTACCCTTTAAGTTAATGCAGCACATCCAAACATCCCCCGTAACAACTCGGGGATTTTCCACGTAGTACACGGCATGCAACCGCGACGGGTGTCGGTTCTTATTGCAATGGGGTGTATAGATAGTTGACGGCGGGCAGCCCTGGCAGGCCGTCCCGTGGAGTCCCGTGGTCTCTCCCCTCCAATCGGCCCGCCATGACTGCCCCCGCCGCCGATCGTCCCCTCCTCTCCGACCGGCCGCCATCTCCTTCTCCCCCTCTCCGGCACCCTTTCCAGAGCCAACCGGACCTATCAAACATTGAACAAGATGCCTCAATGCCAATTGCTATCATTGGGATGGGCTTTCGCGGCCCTGGGGATGCAGTCACCGTGGGGAGACTCTGGACGATGATGGTTGAGGGACGGGAAGCCTGGAGTCCCATCCCGGCGTCCAGATGGAATCCCTCCGCCTTCTTCCACCCCGACCATGCCAGGCACGGCACAGTATGTAGGTCATCACCACCCCGTCCGGCATGTTGTCCTGACAGTGCATCCAGATCAATGTCCAAGGGGGTCACTTCCTTACCGAGGATGTATCGTTGTTTGACGCGCCGTTCTTCAACCTGACAGGGGACGAGGTAGCGGTGGGTACATCTGGAACCATAGCCGTCGATCATATAGATCTGCTCAGTGCTCACACTCCACGTTTAGGCCATGGACCCGCAACAGCGATTACTCCTTGAGGTTACATATGAAGGACTGGAGAATGGTATGAGACTCTATGGGGCAATATACTGGACGCTCACAATCAACAGCTGGCATTCCCCTGTCCAAAATCATGGGCAGCCAAGCAGCCTGCTTCGTCGGTTCCTTCAACGCAGACTATATGGACCTTCTCCTTCGAGACCCCGACTTCATCCCAATGTACCAATGCACCAATGCTGGTCAGTCCCGGGCTATGACGGCCAACCGGATATCATACTTCTTCGATCTGAAAGGTCCCAGTGTAACCATTGACACGGCTTGCTCCGGGAGCCTGGTGGCTCTCCATCTGGCATGTCAGACCCTTCGCACTGGAGATGCCTCTGTAGCTATCGCGGCGGGAGTCAATGTGATACTGAGCCACGAATTCATGTCAACCATGACGATGATGAAGTATGTCTCTATCTAAGCATCTTTTGCCCCCGGCTTACCCGGCTCCAGATTCCTCTCCCCGAATGGACGCTGTCATACGTTTGATGAAAGAGCCGATGGGTACGCACGGGGTGAAGCTATTGGCTGCTTAATACTCAAGCCATTAAAGGATGCCATTCGAGATCGGGATCATATTCATGCTATCATCCGAGGCTCCGGGTCCAACCAAGACGGAAGAACCCCCGGAATCACACTTCCTAGCGGTGCGGCGCAGGAAGCTCTGATACGTCGCGTATATGAAACGGCTGGTCTCAACCCGGTGGATACCGACTTCGTTGAAGCACATGGCACTGGAACTCAAGCCGGTGATCCAATAGAGACAGAGGCTTTGGCCCGTGTTTTCGGTCCAGGAAGGACCGCAAAGCGACCGCTGCGTATTGGCTCCATTAAGACAAATGTCGGTCACTTGGAAGGCACCAGTGGGGTGGCTGGTGTCATCAAAGCAGTCTTGATGTTGGAGAACCGCATGTTTCTTCCGAATCGGAACTTCAACACCTTAAATCCCCGGATCCTGCTCGACGAGTGGAAGCTGAAGGTGCGTAATCCATGACAACTATCTGTAACTCTTTCTCAACCACCGAAAGGTTCAACTCGAATGCGAGCCTTGGAGTACATTAGGTCCCCATCGTGTCTCTGTTAACAGTTTTGGGTACGGCGGCAGCAACGCTCATGTGGTTCTGGAAGACGCCTGGGGATATATGTCGGAACATGGCTTGACAAAATTGGCCCGGCCATTAGTATCGTGCAATGTAGGGAATCATGTCCACTCCTCTGAAGCTCGTCGGACTCGTGTTTTCTTACTGTCCGCCTTCGATGAGGACTCGATTACGGCACAAATTCGTCACCTACGTGCATATCTCTTGAGTAATGGGTCAGGGGCAGATGACGAGTTCATGAATAATCTTGCACATACGTTGAATGAGCGTCGTACTGCACACTTGTACAGAGTTGGGGTTCTGGGTAGCTCTGCCGCTGACGTGGCAGAAGCGCTGGTGGGAGTGGCGAGAGTGTACAAAGCTCCTCGCAGACCAAACGTCAGCTTTGTATTCACTGGCCAGGGAGCGCAATGGTGCGGTATGGGCAAAGGCCTTATGGCTGCATACCCAGTCTTTTGCCAGTCTATCCGCAGAATCGACGCCTATATGGCGGGGATTCACGCCCCCTTTCGAACTGCTGGTGGGTATGCTACCTCAGATGTCATGGTTGCTATCGCTAATGATTTCCAAAACATCAGATATACTCGAGGCTGAGGATTACGCTCAGCTAAGTCACCCTGCATTCAGCCAGCCGATATGTTCCGCCTTACAGATTGCCCTGGTGGATCTCCTTGCTTCGTGGGGAATCCATCCTGACTCCGTAACCGGGCATTCAAGTGGCGAGGTCGCCGCGGCTTATACTGCGGGCGCTCTGAACATGGAAGATGCCATGGCCGTGGCCTATTATCGCGGTGTTGTAGCTGGAAATCTGTCTGCATATCACAGCCAAGGCAAAGGTGCCATGCTTGCCATCGGAATATCTGCTGATGATGCTCAGACTTATATAGACCAGTTGCAATCAGGCAAAGCCTCTGTGGCTTGCATAAATAGCCCGCATAGTGTCACGATCTCTGGCGATGAATCGGCCATCCAGGAGCTCGAGGAGCGAGTCCGCGACAAAGAAGTCTTCAGCCGTCGCCTAGCTGTTGAGGTTGCCTATCATTCCCACCACATGGAACTAGTGAGGGACGAGTACTTGAAATACATCTCGCATATTAAACCACGGAGTGAAGATGAAATAGCTCATTGCCTGTCCAATCGATCAGTGGCATTTTATTCCTCGGTCAGCGGCACGGAAATCCAGCCCACGGAGCTAGGTCCGCAATATTGGGTCCAAAATCTCCTCGGTCAGGTGAAATTCTCCCAATCTCTGCGGACTCTTTGTTTTGAAACGCGTGGTAACAGGAACAACCCTAATTATCTGGGTAAGAAAAGACCCAGGCGAGCTGGTACTGCGCGCAAGATCAATGTTGACTTTCTGTTGGAGATCGGCCCGCATGCAGCCTTATCAGGTCCGATAAAGCAGACTCTGAAAGGGGATAGCAGATTAGATACAGCAGATATCATGTATATCAGTGCTTTAATGCGCAAGCATCAGGCGGTCGCGACTATTCTGACCATGGTTGCAATACTGGCATGCTCTGGGCTTCCTGTCAACTTCCGCGGGATCAACGAACCTGACCCATCACATGAGCCTCATCTCATAGTGGACCTTCCCTCTTATCCCTGGAACCATTCTCGATCTTATTGGGCAGAGCCACGGTTGAGCAAGGTGTTTCGGAATCGCAAATACCCGCGTACTGACATCCTTGGTGTGCAAGATGTTATGTCTAGCCCCTTTGAGCCCCGGTGGAGGAACATTATACGTGTGTCCGAAACACCATGGCTTATGGATCATAGAATTCAATCCAATATTGTATACCCTGCTGCTGGATACATTACCATGGCGATTGAGGCAGTCTCCCAAGTTGCCTCGGTGGATGCAGGTGACTATACTACCACCGAATTCTATCTGCGCGGTATTTTGATACGGTCGGCCCTTGTTCTTGACGAAACATCTGCGGTCGAGGTCATAACCTCGTTGCGGCCGTCCGAGAACGTCTATGCTTTTCAGGGCCCTTCATATGAGTTCCACGTATACTCGGTGACTGACGACGATCGATGGACTGAACATTGTACGGGAGTTGTTGGCGTTCGAATCTTTTCCACCGGCTCTAGTACCGCGATAGGCGCGGCTCGGCTGTGTAATGAGCCCAGAATGGCCGCTCTTGATGTTCAAGCTTTCTACGAGAATTTGGCCAGTGTTGGACTCGAATATGGACCGTGCTTTGCCAACATTACCCAGGCCTCCTATGCCGGCGGGGCGTCCATAGCAGAGATCACCATCCCTGACACCGAAGCAGTGATGCCCATGAACTTTCAGTATCCTCATTTCATCCATCCATGTACATTAGACGGTATTATACATTCATGTTTTATTAACACTGATATGGCAGGAAGCCCAGCAGTCCCTGTTCACATCGAGGAGATGGAAATTCGGGCCAAGATCGAGGGTACGGCTGGAAACAGACTCGACGTACGTACCTGGATCACCAAGGAAACGAAGGGCGAGATTGTGGCTTCTTTTTCTGTTGCGGGGAAGGACCAACGGATTGCAGCTTCAATTAACGGGCTTCATTGTCGACGGATTGATCAAGGTTCAACAGATTCTGGTACTCAAATACCGAAACTCGCATACAACATTGAATGGAAAGCCGACCCAGACATGCTTCCAAAAAAGACCCTCTCGAATCTGCTGAAGGGTTCTCCCATGTTACACGACAACGATCTGGAAAAAGAGAAGTTATACGAAGATTACGCTCTATTCTACCTCCGAAAAACAATGAATGCCTTGAAAGATACTCACTTTGAAGGCATCTCACCATGTATAAAACTCTACCTCGAAAGATTGATACATGATGAGAAACGGGTAGGGACAAAACCTATCTCAGAACTTGATAGTGAGCCTGCAGTTCTACCAGGGCCTGAGGGAAAGGCACTGTGCGTGATGGGCCATAATCTCGCGGCAATATTACAAGGGCAGTTTGGTGGTCCGACCGTGTCCAACGACCAGTTTCTATGGGACGCATACTGGGAAAGCTCGCTTCATGATCCAATCTACGACAGTATTTCCAAGTATCTAGACCTAATCACTCATAGAGATCCTATGGTGTCTATTCTCGAGATAGATGCAGGCACAGGTCTATCATCATGGAGATTTCTACGGCGCCTAACACCTTCAGGCGGTAGCAGCCCTCGATGCAGTCGGTACACCGTTACCAGTCCAGACGAAACGGTATTCGAGACTGCAGCTAGAACTCTATCCATATGGAAACGCTGGGTCACCTTCAAGAAGTTGGACATCACCGAGGACTTAGAATCCCAGGGTTTTAATAATCTGGCATACGATGTTGTGATTGTTTCATATGGCCTACATAGGGTCGGGTCTATCCAAGACGCCCTTGAAAATATCCACTTGCTGCTCAAGCCAGACGGTCATTTGATTTTGGTGAACTCACTGCAAAGCCCGGTCGATGTTATTCTTTTTGCCGACCGCGAAGAGACATGGGCCGATAACAGAGCAACTTACTCTAACGGTGACTGGGATCTGTCTCTGAAAGCAGCACAATTCTCAGGCATAAAGGCACTGGTTGAGTCTGGAGGGCGACGTTCAATGATAATCTCACGGCCTAGACATGACCATGTTTCATCTCCCGTGGAAATCCTCCTGGTTACAGAAGACACTAAGGGGATATCAACTCCCCTACAGAACATGCTTGTCACTACCCCTCTGGCCGTGGAGGTTACCAGTCTCCATAATGTTAAACCCTCAGGGAAAATCTGCGTCGTGTTGTGTGATCTAAACACATCGGAACTGGCACATGTCGACAAAGAGACATTTCCTGCCATCAAGCGAATTTTCCTGGAAGCATCGGGTGTGCTGTGGGTCACGAAAGGCGGCACGCTGTTGTCTGACGATCCGGATGCCAGCTTGATCACTGGATTCGCACGGACAGCCCGTTCAGAATCTGCAGTTCGGCGTATAGTTACTTTGGACTTTGATAAACGAACTCCAGATGAGGACATTGCTGAGCTCATATATCGTGTCATTGAGCACCGATTTTCTAAAGATGATCCAAGTGCAATAGATTACGAGTATGCAGCACAGGATGGCCTATTACTTCTTCCTCGGGTTACAGAGGACACGGCATTGAACCGATCGCTTGCTATCTCAAACGACCAATATATTCTCAAAGACGAACCTTTTCAGGGCAGTAGACCTCTTCGAACAATCTACGATAGTACTTCCCATCCCTCCAAGGTCCGCTTCGTCGAAGCCCCTACTACCGAGCTTGCAGCAGATCGTGTGCGGATCAGGGTCCACGCTACCAGCTTGAAACAACGAGATGCGCAAGCTGTATTCGGTTTCCCTACAAGTCATATGCTAGGATTTGGCTGCAGTGGTTTTGTCGAAGCAGTGGGAGAAGATGTCGACGACCTCGTCCCTGGTGACAGAGTGACTGGATTTGGGAAAGATACAGTGGCCAGCATATATGAAGATCGGAAGACGGCATTTTACAAGATGCCAGCAGACATGCCGTTCGAGTCAGGTGCAGCTCTGCCGGAAACATATTGCTCGGCTTTTTATGCCGTTCACCATTTGGCTCGCGTTCGTGCTTCGGAAAAAGTCCTGATATCTTTAGCGGACAGCGCTATTGGACAGGCTGTATTGGAGTTGGGTCATCTACAAAGAGCCCACGTTTTGCTCTTTACCGAGACGGCAGCAGACAAGGTCCTCTTGTCAGCATTATACAATATTCCTGAGGATCGGATACTATTTCATGATCAGAGGTGCCAAAGAGAGGGGTTCGATGTCATCCTGAACTGCACTCACTCCGACGACCGAACGTATCACTTACTGTGGAAGTATATCAACCGATCAGGTCGATTCATACAATTCTCTAACACACAGTCCACGAAGGGCCCTGGATGGGCACTTCCCCGCTCTCAGGACGATGTGACGTTTGCAACATTTAGTCTCGACAGCGTTCGAAATAAGGGCCCGGACTTTGTGGATCAGATTTGGATGCAAGTAGGCGACCTTTTACGAGATGACAAACTGCAAGGTCCTGTGAGCCCTGTAACATACGCTATTTCTGAGATCAATGAAGCTTTGGATGCACTTGTGTCGGATCAGCCAGCGGACTTAATAGTTCTCACAGCCGGGCCAAAGGATGTTGTTCAGGTGAGTCGTAACAAATCTAGCAGAAGGTCTTGAAGCTTGCTCACTGATTAGGTCATGCATCCGAAGCACGCAGACCAGTTACTTCGGTCAGATGCCTCTTATGTGCTTGTTGGAGGACTGGGAGGCATAGGGAGAGCCACCGCGCTATGGATGGCCGATCACGGTGCCAAAACCCTGATATTTGTCAACAGGAGCGGTGTTTCCCACGCGCAGTCCCAAGCCACGGTTTGCGAGCTAGCAGAGAAGGGCGTTCGCGTTCTGGTACATGCTGTCGACATCTGCAGCAGTACTCAGGTTGAAAACATGATGTCTGAGCTAGCACATACGGCACCCCCAATTCGCGGCGTCATTCAAGCAGCGATGGTCCTCCGGGTATGATTCCTTAGCCAATACCGGAAACACTGCTAATAAATAAAACAGGACATTCACATTGAAAAAATGACACTCGAGGACTACAACGCTGTCCTCGGCCCCAAACATACCGGCACCTGGAATCTCCACCACCATCTCCCAAAAGACCTCGACTGGTTCATCATGCTTTCCTCCATCAGTGGTATCATAGGCAATGCAACACAAGCTGCTTACGCCGCCGGCTCAGCCTTCATGGACTCATTCGCCGCGTACCGTAACTCCCTCGGATTTCCGACCGTCTCCCTCGATCTCGGTGTCATCACCGACGTCGGCTACCTAGCCGAAAACACCGAGCTCGCATCGAAAATGGCCAAACAAGGATTTCAAGGCACAGACACCCCTACCCTAATGTCTCTCATCGAGGCCGCTATCACATCAGCACTGAATAATTCAAACGGACTCCAACCTCAGTCCTCCCAAATCATCACCGGCCTTGGAACCTGGAGCCCAATCCACTCACTCCCCAACTTCAACTCGCCTCTCTTTTCCCATTATCGTCGCTTATTCATCGACCCAAGCGAAGATACCACTACCACTATCTCGTCCCTCGATACCATCCGCGACACCTTACAGTCCAGTAAATCCCTCGACGAAGCCTCAAACATCATCTACTCGGCCCTCAGTGCCCGAATCGCTTCCCATCTCTCCATCCCCGTCGACAGAATCGACCCTAACAGCCCCATAACCGAATACGGCATTGACTCGCACGTCGCCGTCGATTTGCGCACCTGGATTCTAAAGAACATCGAGAGTGCGGTCTCCATCCTGGAGATCTTATCCAGTGGCTCATTGATGGATTTGGCGGGGCGGATTGCAGAGAAGTCGGAATTGGTGAAGGTGAAGGAGTGAAGAGAAATCTAGTTTCGTGTGCGTGCGCGCTCATGTATTTTCTTTTTCTACTTGAAAGTTCTTAGAAGATTGCTTGACGTTCGTGACATATGTTTGTTCGGTTGTTGTTTGTCTTTCCTATCTGGACACCTAAGAGCGGAGGTATGGGAGATTGTCACTGATGATTGCTATTATTTACTAATCTTTCAATTCGAAATTCGAACAAATCATGCAATGATGAGATCGAGTAGTCGTTAATTCCTATCCCATCCTATCCTATTCTATCATGCTAATAGAGCCCACTACTCGCGTAGAGTCATATCCTAATGGCCTAATGGCACCCGCTATACGATACTGATGCTAGCTCAGCAGGCGCTTCACCATCAGAGCACTAAATAAGAAGCCACAATTTAGTCACTTACTACGTAGCGTGATCCCAGAGCGGCAACTATACAGAGACGGGGTCAATTATTCCTAACTATCTCTTCCTACGAGAAAAACTCTACGCAAGGGAAGTAGTCAAAGGAGGAGGTGTTTTAATTCCAGTAATCTAAAAGTAATAAGTGATATAAAAGGCCATATCCCAAACATTCCAACACGTTACACATGACCGTGACCTCAGTACAGCTCATATCTATCAAGCAATGTATATATGTATAGTAAGTAGAACCAAACTCCCAGAGTGCAAGACACAGCGCATGTGAGTCTGTCTTGATTAAGATTCAGAGTTAAATGGGGGGGGGAAGAGAAGTGAAAATAAAGGCGACTTCTGGGGATAAATGATTTTGAAATGACAATCGCCCGAGGCGACGACCTGAGTGACAGGTTCGTATCGGGGATATATCAGAAGAGAAGATAGGAATAGAAATAGGGGGAGGGCCAAAAGGTGTATCTGTCTATATGCAAAGATGGGATACAAAAACGGATGGAATTGTGTATGGGTAGTGGTTGGATGAGGAAGAAAGTAGGTGGAGATAATGCAATGGCTTACTCCGCCTGCTTGGAAGCCTTGGTACGCAACTTCATGAGAGCATAGACCAAGGCGTACGAGCTGATGGCAAAGAGAGCAACAATAGCTGCGTCCCGCCAGCCGTAGTAGTAATCCTTCAGGCTGATGGTGTAAAGGTAGTCACTTCCCCGGGAATATTCGCAAACGTGGCAGTCACTCGTCGCCTCGGGGTTGATGAGGTTCATGCGCGCGCCGGCCCCGCTCATGTAATTGGCCAGGTATTGTTGGCAGGTTGATCCGTTGGGGGGGCTGAAGATGGCGAATTCGGATTCCTTGCAGTTGACGGGGGCGTCGAAGGTGGTGAAGACTAACAGACTGCCCATCAGGTAGTTGAAGGGGTCCATGTAGTAGATCCAGTAGCGCCAGAATTCCTGGATTTGGGCGTAGGGCACCAAGACACCACAGAAGGAGGCGAGAGTTCCGATGATCACGGGGTTGATGAGGGAGGCGAAGATGGCATTGGGGGCGTAGGCGGACACGAATTGGCCAATACCGGTGTAAACGAATTCGTACATCAACATGACGAAAAAAACGGCACCAGATTTGTTCGAGTCTGAAGGGAAGCCGACGGTGTAGTACCAGCAGACAAAATAGAGGACAGCGCACATGCAGAGGTAAGGGATTTCGGAGACGATGAGGCCAGTCACAAAGGCGATCCAGGAGTACATTTTGGATTTCTTTTCGCGGGCATCGTAGATGTCACGGCGTTCCAGGAAGAGGGGCTGCAGTTGGTTGATGACACCAGGGGCGACGAAGATGAAGTTGAAGATGGTGAAAAGGCGGAGCTGGAGCGCACCGACATGGTCACCAATCATCCAGAAGGAGAATCCGTTGAAGAGAGCCGAGCCGACGTGGAGGGCCAGCTTGTTGTTAACGTAGTCGGTGTTGCGGTAGACGGCGACGCAGGAACGTTTGGTCACGATGTAAATCTGCTTCCAGAGCGGCATGGCGAATTCGTTGCCATCATCGACAGTACCGGGCGGCTTGGAGGCTGCGTCACTGACGATGGCATCCAGGTCCTTGACGGCATTGGTGTGCTCAGGGGAATTCTTCCAAACATCATTCCAATCACGACCCTGAGAGAGAGTTCCCGACACGACATCGATCATATGCTCAGCGGGGTTGGTGCCCGGGGGACAAGGAGCTCCGTAGCGAGCGAAGTAATCCTTCACGGTTTGACCGTTGTCGCCGATATCACCAAAGTAGACCATCTTTCCTCCCTTGGCAAGGAGTAGAAGCGTATCGAATTCGGCAAACAGTTGAGCGGAAGGCTGGTGGATGGTCACCAACACAGCCTGACCCACATCGGCGAGCTTGCGCAGGAAACGGACCGTATTATATGCGGATTGACCATCAAGACCTGACGTGGGTTCATCAAGGAAGATGAGAATGCTAGGCTTCGAGACCAATTCGACACCGATCGTGACACGCTTGCGTTGTTCCACACTCAATCCGCTTCCAACCCGGCCAATGAGAGTATCAGCGATGTCGTGCAGTTCCAGAAGCTCGATAATGGTGTCCACATATTTCAACTTCTCCTCGGGGGGCACATGACGCGGCTGGCGGAGCAAGGCAGAGAATTCCAATGCCTCACGCACAGTGGCGAATGCCTCGTGGACATCAAGTTGTTCACAGTAACCGGCAGAGCGCTGGAACGAGACCGGCAGAGGGCGTCCGTCAACAAGAACGGAGCCCTGAATAGTTCCTTCAGTCTTACGCTGGGCCAACACGTCAAGGAGGGTGGTTTTTCCGGCACCAGAGGAGCCCATCAGGGCACCCAACATGCCAGGCTTCACCCATCCATACACGTTATCGAGCAGCACACGGTCACCCGAGGGCGTCTTGACCGTGTAGGTGAGATCCTTCCAAGTGAAAACGGACGTGTTCCGGACGAGCTGCTTGTCAAGATCGCTCTCATCCTGCATGCTCTCATCGTGGGGCTTCTTGTTGGCTTTTTCGTTGACCTGGGATTCCTCGTCGGGGCGGGTGACCTGGCGATGCGCGTCCACCCTCTCACGGGGAATAAGAAGAGAAGAACCGGTCTCACCAGGAGACTTCCACCGGGATGTGGCAATGATAGTGGCGGTAGCAAAGAGGAACCACCAAGCCCAGAGGATACCGAAATTGCGCCACACATGGCTATGGCTGTAGGAGAGAGAGGACAGGTATTGGTCTCCAGTGACATAAGTGTTTCCGGGGATGGCGCCACCAACACCAGCGCACGACTGATGTCCGTCTCCATTATAACCCTCTCCACTGGGAATGAGATTCGTTCCCACGCAGGGAATGATCTTGCCGTGGAATTCGTTAGATAGGAGTGCATCAAAACCATACGCCAGAGGGTTGATCCAGTAGATCCAGCCGAACCATGGGTGCATCTGAGGCTTCTTGATCATATAACCCGTGTACATGATCAAAGCGGAAATGAGGAAACCGGAGACCTTGGACGCGCCGTCGAAGGTGCTGAAAAGGGCACCGACCGCGCGGAAGAGCGCTGTCATAACCTAAGGAACAAACCAGTCAGTATTTCTCATGCCGATAGGAAAGCAGGTGGCGACTCACCATGGTTGCAGTGAAGACTATGATCCAATACGTGAAGAATGCCGAGGCCGACATGGTGAGGCCCACCATGAAATACACCACGAGAGAGAACACGCTAACTTGGAACAAAAGGACCGGGATATCGGCAGTAATCTGGGCGATACAGAAGGCAGCGGGGTGGAAGTATGCGAAGCTCTTGTGTTTGATCAACACCGGTCGACCGCTAAAGGAGTCGGTAACTTCCGACATGGCCAGCAGACTGTTGTAGAGCAGTGAGAAGAACAAAGCACCAGACTTGACGAACAGACCACCAGAGTTGTTAGGAGCGTTGTAGAAGAGCGAGCCAGCAATCAGCGCCTGGACTAAGGTGGCCATCTGCTTGATGAAGAAAGTGGCTTTATCACCCCAGATGATCTGATATTGCCGGGTGACGCAGGTCTTGACCTGGGTGACAAAGTCCACCGTCAAGGGACTAGACTTGGGGAGTTTCGTATTCTTCTCTTGGGCGACAGATTCTTTGAACTCGGAGGTGCGCTCGCGTGCGAGATCCGTGTCAGGGTAGTCGTATTCCGAAATCATCTGCGTATAAATGGGCGACTTGACGTATTCGGCTAGAATCATTTCCGCATTGCGAGGAAAGCGGTTCTCATATCCCGGCTTGATCTTACGTTCGGTGGGGACAGTGACACCGGTGAGATAGTCTGCCACGTTCGAGCCCTCCCGGCAGACGAAGCCAAGGTCCTCCATGAACGGCCGCGCCTCGGCCATGGGACCGTAGTAGATCTCTTTGCCTTCGTCCAGCACGAGCACCTTGTCGAATAGGTCGTAGATACCATTTCCGGCTTGGTAAAGAGTGACGATTGACGACAGGCCCAGGACGTCAGTCATGGCTCGAATGGCCTTGGTCCATTCAAGGGCCGTGCTGGCGTCCAACCCACGGGTGCTGTTGTCCCAGCAGAAAACGGAGCCACGGGTGGCCAGACATTCGATGATCGAAACACGCTTCCGCTCACCACCCGAGACACCACGAACGTACTCATTGCCAACCTTGGTGTCATTTGTATGCGAGATACCCATGGATTCCAGGAGGAAGTTCTTTGCTTCCTGTCGATAGGCTTCGGGAGACTCGACGCCATTCGGGAGGTTGAAAGGGACCTTCAAGCGCGTTGCAAAATCCATCGTTTGACCGACTGTGAGAGTGGGAAAGAAGACTTCTTCCTCGGTGTTCATGACGATCTGGCCACGGTACTGGGCAGCCTCATCCGACGTTAATGATCCATACCGGACCTCCCCTTCAATCGACTTGTAACCCAAACGCCGATTGGACAGCATTTTCAACAAGGTGGTACAACCGGAGCCGGGGCGACCCAGAACCAGCAGCATCTCACCCGGTTTAACGCAGCCATGGCTGTTCTGAAGGATGGATCGAAGCGGCGGCTTGTTTCGGGACTCTTTGACGTGCTGAGGGATGTTGAATTGGGAGAGGAAATTCTCGTTGACGGCGGCCTCGGCGCTGACGACTTCGACGGATAGGTTCTTCCAGGTGACTCCGAGTTCCTTGCGTTTGAAGCCCGATTGCATGTCCCGCTCGTTCTGCATCTTGACCTGAGGCATCAACGCCCATCCATCGGCCAGACTGACGCCGGGATTGCGGGGGGTGACGGTGGGATCTTCCCCCATGACGGTTGCGGTGCTGTCGGAATCATCCTTGCCTTCAGGGACTCCCAAGGAGTACGAGACTTTCTCCTTGTCCTCCTCCATGATGGTTGAATTGGTGACTCGACGATGCTGCGAGCGTCAAGGTCACCCTGTCGATCGGGAAATAGGATGGCAGTCAGATCGGGCCCATGGGGGCGGCGAGTGGCTCATATACTTACCTACGCCTGGGGACGCATCAGCATGTAAGATGGGGCGGTGGGGGCCTGAAACTTCTTTAGAAATCGGGATCAGGGCCATCTCCGAGCCAAAGGATCCACCGGACAATTCGGCTTCAAGAAAGGTCCGCTGAGTCAGGCGAATTTTGGGGAACATTCCATCCGGAGTGCTAAGAGACTCACGGGCTAACTCAGGGACATGACGAGGGAAAGGTGTCTCACCCAGGCAAAACTCAGGCAAACAGCGGTTTCCACCCACGGCCAGCCTTCGCCATTGCTTCCTCTTTCGTGCAGACTCGGTGGGGCTCCGGCCCAAATCTCAGCCGTGAGTGGACCAATGCCATTGTCTGGTCCCTGTCACCTTGCAAACTCCACCAATGAAACTTCATGAATGATCGGTTCTTGGTACCGCCGAATCCCCGTCCGGAGCCAACATTATTCCGGCTCCTCTGAGTCAGCGGAAAACAGCCTCCAAAACAAGATCCGATTCGCAGACGAATGACCAAGGCCCACATTTCTCAGATGAGGCGACTGACTCAGCGGAGGCTCCGGGGCTTCTAAGGACGATAGCTGCGCCTTGCTGCTGAGTTTTCACCCAAGCAGGGAGCTATGTTGTTGAGATCGATAGGTGTTCCAGAATTTGGCTATTTCAACTTGACGTGTCTTGCGACTTGCGAGCCCGAGCTTGGGCCCTTCTGGGTCAAGGATCTGATGAGCTTCGTGTGGGACAACGTCTGCATCATCCCAAGGCCGTGGGTCCGGCTACACGTCTAGATTGACTGACTACGTATCTCTATCCTCTTGACGGTCAATCCAAACCAAGCTAATCGTGAGCCCTTCTCTTTATCTACCTAGGAATACTTAGCAATACCGATCGCAATGTGGACGGACCTGAAGTTCCCAATTCAGACTCCGACATCAGGCGGACAACGGTAGCCAACGTCAACCTGGTTCATTACAAGAACTAGCCAATAGCTTGCACTGCGCCTTACTACTAAAGTCTCACGGCTGACGCTGACTAGATAGATAGATAGTCCTTGCTCGCTGGCTGTCTTTTCTAAAATTGGGGGAATGCTGTCGATCGGCTGTCGATCGGGGAATGGCAGGCCTGGCTTCAACTCGCCGTTCCGAGGAAACACGAGGGTGTTTCCACTCACAGTGCGGAGTAGAACCTACACCATCTTCGACAACACAGACTTTGACTCATCTTCGCAACAAAGAAACTCTAACTAGCTCTTTGGCATTATTAATCCTGTCGCTCATGGCGATCTCCGAAAGGCCGATTCCGTTATTTCCGGTGCGTTGCGACCGGCCCGCTTCGGGGTTCTGAGCAGCCTTACGGCCCTGGCTCGGTCGGAAACTCTAGGCGATGGTTACCTTCGACTAGAGGCTCTAGTGGGTTACTGTTCCATTCCATGAGACGTGTTTCGGGTGACTGCCTGCCTGATTTCCCGTCGGCTGCCAGCTCAGCGTGGGTCGCCCCGTTTGAAAGGGGCCAACTCGACACTAGTAACTGTCAACATTCGACAGGCTGACGGAGAACTTTGGCCCCTGATCACCCTAACTAAGCACACCAATTAGCGGTTGCTGGAAAACATCTGCTATCTAAGTTGACGTGATAGCCACCCTTGAGGATCAAGCCGACCGACGAGCCGTCCTACATTCCACTAGGAGTAATGGCATTTCCCGGCGACGGGATATGTGGCTGCTGTGGAATGGCGAAAGACAAGATTTTCTGAATTGACTAACATGAAATTCTTGGACATAGTTAGTAGTTCCTCGCTTCCCCTAAGTGAGATTCTCCTAGTTTCTTTCTTCCCCCCGTCCCTCCACAAATTATGTGTTTTATTCTTTCCTGTCGAAACCCCCAAAACAATAGTAATACACTGGACATGTTTTTCATTCACACCATGGCTCTTGGTACTCAACCGTATTGTATGTACAAACCCTCCATGGCGAACCCCTTACTGTCATCATAGGTCCTGCTCGACAATCCGGCGGGGGTTCGTATGGCGGCCAGTGATGGTTTACTTGGGAACTCATCTTGACCCTTTGTGTTACGGACCCTCAAGGTCCAGCAAATATAGACGATCAGACATCGAAGAAAGCGGAAATCAGAGGCAGTCAATCGCTACACCAGTCGACCTAGTATCTCACCTTGGCCTGTTCTCTCGCAAGGTCTTGGCTGGGATCAGTCAGCGCGTGATCTTTGCCATGCCTGATCCCAGCAAGAACTTACATATGCCGCTCCAGCTCATCGAGGTGGCGGCGTTGTTCGAGCATCTTCTGCCGCACCAGACGGAATTTCTCCGCCTCCGAGGACTTGACAAAGTAGGATTCATTGGCTGCGTCGCGGGGAACGAATGGGTTCTTCCTGTCCGATGGATGTGACGGTCAGTTGCTGCTTGCAGTCGAGACGGGCGACCCATGACGTCACTGGGACAGGTCCCGGAACTGTTCTCCACGGCCACCGAAAGGGGACGGCGAGGGGAAGGCCACTTACTCCGCCAGATACCCACGGGGCTTGGGGTTGACTATCTCGCCCTCGCGCCGAGCGGGGATTGCGATGGAGAAGGCCCGCACGCGGTTGGAAGCGCTGCTGGCGCGGATGAGAGGGCGGGACGCTCGGTGCAGAGGCGACATGTTGTAGTGTGGTATAGCAGCGACTCCAGGCACCGAGGCTGCTTGATATATCGAGTAGACGTGGTAATTAATATACTTCGGTCAACAATGGCGTTATCCCAACAGAGGGAGGCCAATGGATGGGATACTGTGGGATTATATACGACGAGTTGATCGTCCGGTTGACCATCATGTGACCTGGCCCCTCGCCCAATCCGGCGATGCTGAAACCATTCTGATTGATGCAGCAGCGCCCATTATTTGGCGAACCAGATTGTTTGCCCTGAGGGGTCCTTCCTGGACGCTCGCTGGCCCAGATCAAACGGACCAGAGTCCTCCGCTGCCGCCACGATCGACGAATCCCCGGATCGACATCGTTTTCACCCCCGGCCTGACGTCTCCGCACCAGAAAAAGTGAAGGCCACGGGCTGTGCATCGGTGGTCAGAGACAGGATTGGGAACGCAAGGGATGCTGGGGTCGTTTGTCGACCATGTGGTATGATATCATCGGCGGAGGTGGAATGAAGGACCTATGGCTGAGCTGCGTCGAGGTGCGTCAATAACGCGTACGACTCGACTCCATCCAGTGAACCCCGCATTGCCACTGCAGATGACGGTCGCTGGCATCTTCCTCGGTCGCAGTACTATGGTTAGTTGGTATGACTGATTCGCGACTGCGAGCTATACCCGCCTGAAGCTCAGATGGATCCCTGCATGCATTGCCATGCCGCGATTGTCTCCAAAATACCTCACCCGTTGTATGAGGACAGGTACTGATTACAGGTCATGTTGTTTGCCGGCAACTATGGCCACCTGCTATCTATATACTCCGTAGGTTCAACTGAGAGGGATTGCGAATAACTGAGCGATTTTCTCGCGTCACCTACATCGAAAGGTTCCACAACTAGGGATACGACAGACTTATCTAAAGAGGTGTATCTTGGCTGTGCTCTACCCTCTAGCGTATAGTCTATCGAATTGTCTATTTCGATTCTTCAAAGTAATGACGGGGTTGCTGCTCCTCGCGACTTGTCTTCTAGGAACTTCTATTGCTTGTCTGATGAGTGGCAGTTGCCAACGAGTCAAGTTCAAAGCACAATGCTTGAAGAAGGCTCACTCCAACAAGTGAAAAGCAGTGCGATTGGTGTCAAGTCCTTCCGATCGTGACAACCCACCAGAGTGGACAGATCAAGCATGAAGTGGACGGAACAGCTTTGATACTTATGACAATCAAAGTGATCGGGATTCACGAAACAACGCTGACCATGCGATCAAGAAAACCAAGCGGCATACGTTGATATTTTAGGCCTTACTACGAGATCTTTGCAGGCTCAACAGTTGTTCTATATTGTCTTTCTCCGCTATGTAGAGTATTGAAAATGATTTCATTGAGGCATCATTTACATTAATCCTTTGAAAGGTGTGAGAATTCTTCATGTAATCAACCTAATAGTCATACCCTGCTCTATGGCACTTTCATCAATCCTTTACCCTATCCTCATGTCCGCGTCTCATACTTCACTACCTTCCTATTTAGGAAATCATTCTAGCCTCAGATTTTAGGAACAAGATATTGGTGAGAATTCAGTACAGGCCACCTAATTGTACCATCTAGCTCTTATCTAGCCCGCTAACATACACAAAGCACCTATCCTTCTAGAGTACTACTCGCGCTCTATATTTCTAGCCCTTGCAATGCCTAGACCGTGACGTAGGAGTTATCACAACAAGAGCATAATGGGTAACAACTAGGTCATACCTGTAGCCTGAGTCACCAACTATAGAAGCAAAATCTTGAGCTAGTGAACACCAACTCAGGTCTTTCTTTATTTCCCACGTCCTCCGTTCACTGTGTTCTCTATCAATATCTCAACATATTGTATTCGGCATAACTGTGCTTACTTTGATCTCATAATTATAAGCCCCTATTTCTTAGTGAAAGATCTCTCTCTCTCTCCCCCCCTGTCTCTCTTGAAAGAAAGGGAAAGACACCGAGCACGGTTGAACCAAGAAAAAATGGGCCCGTATGTACTTCCAGATAAGATTCATCCACTCACCACCCATCCAACAACTCCACGGGAACAGAAAGAAGAGAAGGAGCAAATCTAACAGCCACCCAGCCCAGAAACCAAAGCCTCCAATGTGGAAAATAATCCCAAGGCGCAAGATACCACGAAAGAAAAGAGATCTTCCAATCCCGTTCGTCGAGCCATACCTCACCCTCACCCCTCCCCCCCAACCCCTTTCTCTCACTTCAACATGGATATATATATCGGAGACAGAAGAAATTGAAGTAGGCTCATTTCTAACGAACTATAGAATCCCTCACAGGAGAATACTACTTCCCAGACTTCTCCCCAACGCCCGGCCTGGGATGATATACCCCGTATGTATATTCTCTATAAAATTGATAGAAAAATAACCCCGGAACAGCGTTAACAGATTATACTACTAGCCAACCATCCCCGCGCCTTCAAATGCGCTTTATGTCGAAGATGGCATATAAAGAGATGCCCGTGGTTGAGGAATGATTAGTTGATTTATACTCTCTTCTCTTCTCTCTTACCTTGCTAGGATTGCGAATTGTGGGGTGTTTACTATGATGGATAGATAAGTAGTACGGAGTACGGTATACTTGGGGTGGGTAGCTGAGATTATGGTAGCAAGTATTTGGGGTTTAGTTTTGGAACATAGTAGTTTAATTTGAGTCATTTTTCAAGCAACGCCCGGGTGGTCTAGTGGTATGATTCTCGCTTAGGGATTTAACCCAAGCATATCTGCGAGAGGTCCCGCGTTCGATCCGCGGCTCGGGCCGGTCTTTTCTTTTTCTTTTTTCAATCTTTTTGATTGATTGCCCTTGTAATCTTCTTTCTTGTTCATTGTTTATCTGGCCTTGGTTTCCTAAGTTCACTTGTTCTTTTTGGCTTCTTGAATTCTGGAAGGGCCGAGTGTTGGAGCTTACATGGGGTAGGAATATGTCAAAGTGGTAGGTAGGTAGGTAGGTAGGTTGGTCAATCATCAGGTTATCCAAATTCATTTCCTGTCCTCTGGAGAAGGAAGAACCTTTGAGATATTTCTGTGATACGCAGACGATGCGTCTCTCATCATTATCTCTCTCGTCTTTGCTTCCCTCACTACGCCGTCCAACTACAGGTCCTGGCCTTTCTCTCGTCCCCATGGGTTCCCCTCTGGACCTCCCCTCGAAGGCGAGAGTGCAGCGCTTTGACAAGTAACTTCATCATTCACAAGACTTCCTTGTTTCGATCCGTTGCTGACTGATTGGGGAACATCATCTCATCAACATGCGGATGTTGATGGCGTTCCGCTGAGAGCACAGGTTCGGAAGGATCATGCTCTTCGTCCTTGATAACAAGCAATGGCACGACTCGAACCCATTCACGATGCAAATCCGCTTCCCCGATATCGCTTCGGAGGATAGACACGAGGTTCTCGATCTCTTCGCACAGGAGAAGGTTATGCCGTGCGGATTCAATCCGCCTGACTGGTCCCAATTGCGAGTCTGACAGATCCGCATGTTGAATCGCTCGCTCACTCGCAGCCGGATAATCCACCTCTGGATACTTTCCCTGACTTTGAACATCAATGCCCCCTAAGCCCCACGACACCCTCACCGGGACATCCAGCCTCCTCTCCCTCAAAACCCCCCGTACCCACCGCCCACAGCGACCCCAAGGCCACATCTCCCCCATCCCACTTACAAAATAAACCACCGCCCGAAATCCCACCTGGCCCATAACCCCCACCATCGCCGTCATAACCGGAACAGCGAGGAGAGCCCAGAAGACGAAAAACGACTTCCCGAAATTGCTCGACGGGTAGAGATCACCGTACCCGATTGTCGTTAGCGAGACGAATGTGAAATATAAAGAGTCGAAGTATGTCCAGCCTTGGGTTCGCTCAGAACTTTTGAAGATACGTGCGCTCACGAGCCAGAGGAGGAACCAGGCTCCTAGGGAGAAGAGGAAGACGAGCCAGCGACGGCGGCGGTGGTAGTTGGTTTTGATTTGGCGGGCTTTGGAGAGGTTTACTTTTCGGGAGGGGGTTGTGATAATTCGTATTGCTCGGGTTGGGTTGTCGAGGTGTGTTCATCGCGAAGGTGAATCCCTTCCTGTTCGAGCTCGAACCGGAGATGTAGTTCGCCCATTCTACCCGAAAACGACGCGATCGAACTGACGAACAGACCCAGCGATGTGATACCAGCCGTAGCATATGGAAAAAGTAGGCTTCGTCCGAGATGAGTCTTGGGGACGATATTCCCAATCCCCACCGTTAAAATCGTATACACGGCCCAATAAAGAGCATCCGGGAGAGACCATCCCTCAATGGGGACGTAGATGGCTGCTCCACCAAGTAGAAAAATCACTAGCGTCAGTGCCCGGAGAACGATACTGGTGTCTTCGACGGACGTTCGGTCTTTGGGGCTGAGATGGACGTTGTGAACGCTGCCTGCGTAGAGTGTTAATAGGCCTGCGATGAGGATGTGGAGACCGGCGGCGAAGATCCCGTAGTAGTAGTTCTGCGTGTAGCGCCATGTTTGGGGTGGTGTGGTCGGGGGAGGTTGTTGGGCGATTACTCCCACGAGGGTGAAGAGGATGATCGAGGATGAAGTCCAGAGGCATGTCGATATGATGAATCCCTTGATTGTGTTCCATTTGAGTTTCATGGTCAGTAAGAGAGTGAGTTCTGCGGTGGCAGAGACGGCCAGCGATATGGCTTTGAGAGTCACGGCCCCGGAAGAGTTGGATTTTAGATTCAATGAAGGGGATTGAGGACGCACCAAGCAGGCTGAGCTATGATTGTGGTGCTAGAGTCTGACTGCACAATTTCATGCCACCCTTGGCAGACAGTGCAGATATTAAACATGGTCGCCATGGCGCCTATTGTTCCCTAATTCTCTTAGCGTGGATAGGTCCCTAGTGCGGAGAGGTGGAATACCGCCAACACGGGGAAGCTAGTTGATGCCAGCCACCATCAATGACGCATTGTGGATGGGTTAGGATTGTCTGTGGGTTACTGTTCATGATTTCTTGAAGTTGGTAGTGCTTTCGGCAGATACGAGGAATCGCGGAGGTGGCGGCCCGTCGATACACATCGCTACTGGCTACCGCTATTATTCATCAAGGGCAGTATATGAGAGATGATAATATCCAGCCCGTGCGTGGATTGACGGTCTCCGCGCATATGTTAGACTAATAAAGCCAGGGAGAACTATAGGGATGGTAGGTGACGAGCTGGTGAGAAGCGCGGCCATCGCACGGCTACCAGCGAACCGATTGGTCGGTTGAATGCTTTGCATTATTGGCCTAACTTTAACCACACGTACGTTGATATCGAAAAAGTGATTCGTTATACACCTTATACAGTTCAGGTCACATAACGGAACCCTCTCTGGAGCTGACGCGCCGCCGCAATATCAATTCCTTCCACTTCCGCCGTCTTCTGCAGCCGCCGGATTTCCTTGTCCGTCAAAATCACGTCCTCATCCTCCAGCCGAGCCAGGCGCTTGTTCTGAGAGCTCAGATGGAAGTATAAGAGGGCCGCCATGATGGCGCTAAGAACCTGCATCCCGATACATACCCCCATGGCAGTGTAGTAATACGGTGCTTCCTGCTCTAGGTAAGTGTACGGCGTCCAGATACTGGCCGAGTTGGCTACCGAGTTGATAAACGCGTAAGCGGCAGCTCGTTTCGCTGGAGGCCGGGGAATCGCGTTCGCGATCCAGGAGTATATCGTGCCGTTCTGCGCAAAGACGAAGATCATCAGAAAAAAGGAGAAATACCGAGGTCCGAAGGAGTCGGTCGTCATGAAGATAATGAATCCCACGATCGTTATGGGAATCGGGCTGACAAAGAACCAGAATCGATAGCCGAAACGATCAGACAGGTATGAATGGGCAAGGCTATACACCACCATAAATATGTACGGTGGCGCTACCAAGAGCAGGGTGATGATTCGGTTATAACCCAGCGTCTCTGTCAAGGTCGGAAAGAAGTTCTGGAACCCGCTAGCGGCTGTGAGGCACATGTACGCAATAGCAAGGAGATATGTCTTAGCATCAGCGAATGCCAGCTTCATGCCCTTCATTTGACTCATGCCGCCTCCCTCGTCAATATCCGCTTCGGCCGCCTCGATGGCCAATCGACGAGTGGCAACTTGTTTCATCTCCGGCGACAAGGCTTTCCAAGTTTCGGGAAAGTTGGGGAGCACGACGCAGATGGCCAGGCCGATCGCGACCGTGATGGCACCCTCGATGATGTACAGCCATTGCCAAGCCGACATACCTCTCTTACCTGCCAGTCCATCAAGGATACCCGCAGCAATCAGGTTGCCGAAGGCACCGCTGAGCAAGGAGCCGGAGTAGAAGATACTCATGCGCAGGGCTAACTCCTTCTTCGTGTACCATTTGGACAGGTAAAAAAGCACACCCGCGAAGAAAGGCGCCTCAACCAATCCAAGAATGAACCTACAGGCCACGATGCCCCCATAGTTTGTGACCTGACTGGTCAAGGCCGAAACCAGACCCCACGCTGTGGTGAAGAAGCCGAGATAGAGCGAAGGGCGGCCCATGTAATTGAGAAGCAGATTGGAGGGGACCTGCATGAGGATGTAGCCGACGAAGAGGATGGAAAGCCCCGTTTCATACTTTTGTTGGTTGAGGGAAAGGTCCTGTTCTAGGCCTTGAAGCTTGGCAGCGGCGTAATTATTCCTACTGAGGTCAGCTGGAGCACTGATAGAACAGCATCACAACCTGATGAATGAGGAACGCACCGGTCAATGTAGTTCATTAGGTAGACGAGGATAACCAATGGCATAATACGGGTGTCAATCTGTCGCCGCAGTTGCCTCTCTAGTACCTTTTCTTCCTCCGTCAGCTGGGCTAATTGAGCGAGCTCCTCGTGGGCGACCTCGGCTTTTTCGCCCATGGCGTCGTGGTCGGTGATGACCTTCTCCGCCATGATGAGTTAAGTGTAGAAAAATTGGCGCACGGGAGAACAGAAGACACCAACAACTGTGTTGTAGAGTCCATCATGATGGGAGGAAAACCCGCCGCTATATATGCCGAAAGATAGGGGTTATTCAAGACACGGTGTGTGAGGATGAATGTCAGAGAGCCACCGGGAAGCAGAAAAGCACCTGAAATCCGGGGGAGGGCCGGACGTGGGGGGAAGCTCACTCCTGGTTGGATCCACGAGGATGCTGGGGTGCATGGAAATGCGGGGGACGATGACTAGCTGAACCACAAGCTGCTCGGCTGATCCCCCAACCCCCCACGCCATTCTTTTTCATCCATCGTGCGACAGCTATGATGTAGCTCTTCCGCCGGAGGTTGTCCGGGGAAGTGGAGAAGATCGACTCATCCGTCTGGGGTTTTTGTGATCATTCGTATCTTTGATCCCATATGCCCATGGTATTGTGTATCGGGAGAAGTTTGTTAGGACCTCCGCCTTTGTGCGACGAATAACCGTCTCCCTGGTGGCGTCCGAGTGTCGCAGATCTCCGTCCATGGCGTTCTCAGCCCGTGAGAGACTTATTCCTGGTCATTCAGGCAGCAGCGAGCTGTCACTGCCCGTGTCATTGCAATGCTTGGCTCGCAGTATCTCCGACCAGTTCTGGGGAGCGGCTGGCGAGTGGCTGGATGCGCCCATCTGCTGGCCTGTGATTTTGAAGCTCACCATGTCGTCACACAAAGCCGTTCCATCTGTCAAGATTCCAATCGACCATTTACATCCATTGGGGCCCCGTTTTGATGCAGCGATCAGCATGCCTGCTCCGCGTACATCGTTGCTGGTTGGCTTGGTACATGCTGGGGGGAATTGAATTCTGGTCATAAAAATCTCCTCAGTCGCGCGATTCTAGGGGACCTCGTGATCCAGCCATCAGGTGATCCTGGCCCGTGGAATCAGCCTCCACCGACTCCTTCCCCCCTCACTATCACCATCACCATCAACTCATCAACTCACCACATCGTCGTTCCTTCATCAGAACCTCGAGCTCTCATCAAACTAGCTCCATTATTAGATATCTCTTAGATACCCGATGCTAGCACTTGCTCGCTTCGTTGGGTAATGGTCGTGCTATGGCAATATAGATATTGACCGGCTGGCCAGAGGTATCTGCAACCGGGCGAATCTCCACCCTTGGCTACCAAGATGCACCGACGGCCTTTGGACATGTGCATGAGTCTATCATTCCTTCAAGGTAAGCTATGATCCGGCCCAGGGGTGTGTTGTTGTTGAGAAATCTCCTCTCTCCCTCTACTCCAGACTTTCTGTAACCGTTGCAGTGACGCTAATCCAGATCCGCCAACCCCCACCTACCGGCCTGATTGGTGCCTGGCCCACCTCCTGATCTCTCATTCATCCCCCGACTGGAACCCCTCCCTTACGCATCGACCTCTGCCGTGGGCGGCGTACAATGCCAACTGTTCTCCGTCCATGTCCCTGCAAGCCCTTCGGTGGCGATTCTGGAAGCTGTCAACTCGTCAGCTCTGAAGTCACCGTCATGCGCCATCCTCGAAGAAGTCCAGAGCGTCAGACGGCGAGTCCACCGAACCCACTTCCGAGGCCGCCGTCGCCTCAAGTGCGAGCGATCATTGGTCTCCCGCTGGTCGCTGGCCCCAGCGTAAGCGAAAGTGAGAATTTCGGAGTAACTCGGCCATGCCCGTCCAGATCTTGCTGGCTCAGATCCCGCTGTCCTGTTGGCCCCATTCACGCTCAAGCTCGACTTCGACCTTCCCCTATCGTTACATCGTGAACGGGTACGCTGGTACGACTGGAGCTCTCCGCTTGAACTCGCCGCACATGGCCACCCTCGATTCGCAGGCAGTGCTGGTCCCCGATCAGTTCCGGAAAAAGACCCCCCTTACTTCGACTCAGCTGGCCCGTCAATTGCGGTCCTGCAAGGTCTGCCGGTTCCGCAAGGTCAAGGTGCGTCCCGACCCGATACTATTGTACGGGCATATGTTTCCATTCCAGGCCCTCCAAAAAAGAAATCATACGGAGTACTCCGTACAGACGAATAGAAATCAGGTGGAAAAAGAAAACGGATGAAGATGGCCTGCTAGTTGGGGGCAGGGGGCCCGTGCAACCCACTTCGCTGGCTCACCTGCATGCGTTATCCTCCCTAATTGACGATCCTGAGTAACAGTGTGATCGCGTTAAACCCTGCCATGCGTGCTGTGCTCATGGCTATCCATCCAAGTGCGTCTACGATAACGATCCCGAAGATGCCCTCCAGCCCATCAGTCAATCCGACGAGATCCGTAATCTTCGCGAGGAAATCCGCGAGCTAACGGCAACCCTTAATACTCGTGGTGCGTGTTCCCACCCTGAGGCAGGATTGTCTCGGTCAGTCCCGAGGTGCCCTGCAGCTGACCTAGTCAAATTTATCCTCTAGAGCACCGGAGCCGAGCTCCACGGCGTCTAGCGCAGCTCCAGAGCCTCGTCGATGTGATCCGCTCGGCCCCCCCGGATACTGTCAACCGGCTAGTCGCCGGAATCCGAAGATCTCGCGGGAAAACAAACGAGGTGGCGATTTCGGTGGGACCGGCAAATGGATCGGAACTGGAAGGTATGGGTCCGTCGCGTCGTAGTGGGGAGGACACTGTTATAGGAGCTAAAGGCGTTGTTATTACAGTGACAGAACATCACGCTGTCGCCCTTCGCCCCTCTCACTCGGACGACAGCGACGAATCCCTGGATCCGGACGATGAGATCTTTTCTCGGTCGGGTCTCAGTAATTACAGCCGAAGTTCATCGGAAGACACGGAGGACTCGAGCTATGGATCGATATGTCACATAAGCTCGACGAAGCCTATGCTGGGTGTGTTTATCGAACGCTTCGTGGATGCATTTAGCCCCGAGGTCGATGTCAAAGCAGGCCAGGCTGGTGCCCTGCGACGGGCTGCCGAAATCCGCATGTTTTCGCCGATCCTCGAGGACGCGTTTGAGTCGGTGTCGGTCGCGTACTTTGGTCGGACCGTTCAGGATAAAAACTTAGAAGCGGCCGGATTCCGTCTGTATCCCCGAGTGCTGCGGAGTTTGCAGCAGGCTCTGCAAGACCCCGAACGCAGCAAGGCTGAGTCGACCCTGGTGACGGTCACGCTTTTGATGGCTTTTGAGGTATCCGCAGCAACCTAAAAAAAGATTGGGTGAATGATTCTAACAGCCTATAGAGTGTGGAGCGAACTACCCAGGTGTCGCTGATCGCCCACGTCCATGGTGCACTACGCCTGATTGAGCACCGGGGCCCGGAGAATCATATGCATGGTGTGGAACACTTGCTGTATACGGAGCTGCGCCCGTACTGGGTGAGTCTTAAATCCAATTTTCCGCAATGCATTCGCTAACAGGCACAGGTTGCGGCGGCCATGGTCAGCCGCACACCGTCTTTTCTCGCAAGCGAGGACTGGATCAACCTCCCGTGGTCTGCCAACACCAGCCGAAGAGACATCCTGCACTATTTACTCGACCTGGCAGTCGAGATCCCAGCTCTGCTTGCGCAGTTCGACGATATTGAAGCCACCCTTCAGTCGAACATGTTCAGTACACATGAGATCACGGTGAAGCAAGCCTCACTCTGGAGCGGTGTCGCCGACCTGACCAACCGCTTTCGCCAGTGGAAAGTCCAATGGGTTGACAACTACCCCGACGGGCCACCGCAAGAGGTGGAAGTCCTGCCTGACGACCAGTTTCCCGTATTCCAGTGTCGGGACTTCCGCACCGGGGGTATAATGACTCCCACCAAATTCGTCTATCCGGATCTCCGTCTCGCACAAACCATGTGTCTCTATTACTCCACAAGGTTGATTCTATCTTCTGTTGATACGCGACCAACGGAACGCGTCGGACCCCTGGAACAGTATGCCCTGGGATGTGGTATCTGCCGGACTTTGGAGTGGTATCTGCTCAATGCACGGGGAAACATGATCAACCGACTTGCGTTCCCAGTCAGGGTGGCCTGGGAGGTGTTCCCTGATGGAGGACCTGAACGGAAGTTCATGTATGAGGTGTTGAAGCTGGTTGAAAAGCGGCATGCTCTGGCTCTTTGGGGGAGCAATATGTCCGAGATCTCTACGCGGGCCGGGTCTCCTCGGGGACAGTCGCCGGAGGTGAGCGCAGAGGCCTGAAGGAGAAGATGAGCGTTGGCAGATCGCCGGACGAAGCTGACTGTAAAACTTCTCGAGTTATGACATCTCTCGGTATGCTGGAAAATGGTCTGTTCATGGCATATAATCTGTAATGGCCTCTTACCAGTGATCCATCTCGTTCATCGCTGCCTCTTGACGGCTCGACTGATCCTTGGGAAACCTGCTGTGGCAGCTGCTTCAAGATTTGCGAATTATGCATATCGCCCTCCCACAGGGCGCAAGAGGCAACGTTAAGTCACCCCTCTGGACGTTCCATGTTGATTGGCGGAGAATTAAGTCAATCTCCTCTGCCGGGCTTCTATCGACCACGCCGACAGCAGCGCAATGCAATCCCACAGCCCTGCCAATGCCAATCCTAGTTTGAGTACTATTAGCACCAAAGCCAAGGATACTTGGCGTGAGGTGGGTCTCGCTCGCCTCAAAGAATGAGGTTGAAGGATTGACACAATCATCTCGTCGTGTCGTTTAGATTGAGATGCGCCGAAGTGACACCTGGGCAGTGGGAATAGGGGCACAGGTGCGTCGATCATTGGATAGAGACCCCTGAAGCGTGGAGGGTCTATAAGGCTATATCATTACATCGTATGGATCCTATATTAATAGGTCTGGATTAGGGGAGGCAGGGCCGTGCTGGCTAGGCAAAGGAAAGCGAGAACGAACGATGTCCGACGCCTGGCTTCTCCTGCCCTGCGAATTTCGGCGACTGGACTCTCAGCCCTGAGCCCTGACTCGTTTTAGGTGGATTCAACAGGTTAGAAGGGGCTGCCCGACCGACGACGGGCGCGGTGAAAACTACCTTAGCGTTTCAACTTAAAACAAGGTTGAATGGCGACTCCACCCGTCGACGGGTCCACCATGCTCCTGATACAATCTTCGTGCCAAAATGCCGTCCTCTCCAAATCGCCTACGCAGGCTCAGACACCTTATATCTTGGCCGGCGGCACCTTGTCTACCAGGACTGGTTCATCATCCACACTCTCACTCACTTTATTTCCCACTCAGTCCCTCTTTTTTCGCGACTGGTTCGCCTGAATCCTACATTCTCTATCATCATGCGCTATTCCTACACCGCCGTGCCCTTGGCCCTCGCTGCCCGTGCTGCCGCCACCACCGCTGACGCCTGGGCCTTCGGAAATGGTTTCTACACTGGTCCTCCTACCAACGCACACATCACCAAGGCCACCTGGTCCCTTGTGCCCCCCGCCGTTCCTTCGGGCGTGACCGTGAAGAACACCGACGACGAGGTCTGGGTGTCGCTGTGGATCGGTCTCTCCTCCACGGCTGGTGATTACGATGCCGATCTGTACCAGCCTCTGCTGAACTGGTCCCCCGACAACGAGTCGCAGTATGTTTATGGGAGTCCTCGGACAGATCGGGCAAAGCTAACGGACGTAGGGGCTGCCCTGCCGACGACGACGAATGGTGTGTCGCTGCTAGCACCTACACTCCCAGTTAGTGTTCATTCCCCAGATTCATTTCCCCAAATGAGATACTAATATGATGTCTAGGCGGCCAGAATGGCCAGGCCTACGTGACTGTCCCTACGGACACACAGGTTGACTTTGAGGGTATGCCCCTGCTTCATACCTGGGAACCTGATGTTGTCTTAATTTGGCTCTGACAAATGGAACAGTCTACGTTGAGGACGATAAGGTCGTTCAGGTCGTCACCATGAACGGCAAGACCGTCTCCAAGGAGAGCGATGGTGCGTTGCCCACATCCGCCCGGATCCTCATCATTGTACTGACCAACGACAACTTAGCCCTCGACAACCCTCTCCTCTACCTCTACTCCGGAGACGAGTGCTACACCGGCTCCGGTGACTGCGGTACCCTCCAGTCTTACAGTACGCTTCTCTTCCCTCCCCTTCACCTCGTCCAGGCAAATGGGATACTAACATAGACTAGGCTGGAACAACATCACCATCCACCTCAGCGCTGCCGATGAGACCTTCGGTAACACCGTCTCCCTGTACAGCGGCTCCTCCACAAACGGATTCTCTACCTCCGACGGTGGCAAGACCTGGCACACCGATGCGATCAAGATCAGCAAGGACACCTTTGCCGATGTTGAGGCCTAATCAGTCAATGCATTCATCTAAAGCCGCGCGTTTGATGATGTGGGGTGGTAGCTGCTAGTCGGCTACTTTTTCTTCTTCTTTGCACTTATTGATGAGCTGCACTGGTGGTTCTCTTTTGAGTAGTGTACAGTCATACTAAATGCATAATTCACCCATACATTGCATGTATGTGTAATCAACAATGATGAATGGGTGTCAACCCTCCTCCCTCCGTAAACCCGATTTCCATGACCAGGAATGCTTCCCCACCAACGGGGACTAAATCTCCCCTGATCCAAGCTACATACTAGAAACCGAGAACATCGCGGGATGTAAATCCTGCATTGTCTGGACCATTCCAACTCGGTAGGTTTTACTGCCGATCGGCTACTTTGGAATGAGATCTTTCCGGGTTTAGTGTAACCCCGTCCGGTGGATTCAAGGGAACTTTCGTTCGTCCGTTCGTTGTTCGGGATGGGGTGGATAAGTTGCCGACGGGGGTGTTTCGGGTGGATGAATGTGGGTTTGGAACCGAAGCATTTGGAAAGGCAAGACGGTGGTTGTTTTAGATCCGCTTTGATTTGCTTTTAGAGTGATTCTACTGTCGTTGAATAGGTGGATTAAAGTCGATTAGCTGGCAAAAGGCTACAGTTATGAATTACTAGGTTCAGAACATGCTTACCTTGTAGGATGCTTAGGATATTCTGTGGGGGCGTTAGATATGGTGGACGCTTTGCGGGGAAAGAATAATAATATTGTAGGCTTGAATGATCTATCGAAGACCTGGCTTGCTGTGTACACCATCACAATGTATCCTCCTGCTTCCTGATTCTGTATCGTTATGGGTATGTATGTACATGATTGTCGTTGGTATGTGTAGAGCTACGGGGTCAGTACTCGAGGGTTTGTTTGATGGCGTCGTATATTCCTGCGAAAGTTAGTATTTACTCTAGAGAAAGGGGAAGGGTACGTACTCGCAACATCAGGAATGACGAACTTCTCATAGAGAAGTCCAGTGTGTGTACTCCATCCTGCCACCCGCTTGACAGGCGCCTCCAGGCGCAAGAACGCCCCATCCTGGATGGTAGCTGCAACCTCGGCACCCACTCCGTAATTAATCATGCTCTCGTGCACGACGATCGCCCGACCCGTCTTTTTCACGCTATCCAAAACCGTCTGTCTATCCCACGGGTAGATCGTTCGGAGATCGATCAGCTCTATACTCGCGCCCAGAGCCTTCTCGGCAGCCGCGATGGCCGCAGAGCAGAGATACATCGGCTGTCCATAGGAAATGACAGTCACATCATTCCCAGGCTTCACTACCTCGGCTGTGTTCAACGGGATCGTATAGTATTCGCTGGGAACGTGCTCCACTGCTGCCCGATACAGCACCTTCGGTTCCATGAAGATGACGGGGTTCTTGGACTCGAAGATCGCCGACAAGAGAAGCCCTTTGGCTTGCGAAGGAGATCGTGGCATGACTACCTGCACGCCGGGAACATGCGCGAACAGCGCCTCCGGAGACTGCGAATGGTACCTAGCGTAGGCCAGTTGTTAGCATTGACGATAATGCTGGATTCCAGGACTCGAAGCAACCTACAAAGCACCATGGCCCACCGCTCCGCAGGGCATTCTCACTACCATCCCACCGATATTCACCCCCGTGGCACCCTCACGAAATCGAAACTTGGCGGCTTCGTTCACGATCTGGTCGAACGCCGGAAAGACGTAATCGGCGAACTGAATCTCCGCGACGGGCTTCATCCCCTGCGCGGCGGCTCCGATCGCGAACCCGACGATGCCTTGCTCCGTCAGGGGGGTGTTGAAGACACGTTCTGACCCGAACTCCGTTTGTAGGTCCATCGAGCACCGGAAGACACCGCCGAATGCTACATCTTCCCCGAAGAGCATAACCTTGTTTGATGTGGATAATGCGGTTCGTAGGGCGGAGTTAATGGCTTGGTAGAGATTGAGAGATTTCGAGGTCGTGGAGCTGGGCAGGTCCAAGGTGTCTGATAAGGTGGAGGACGTGTGATGAAGAAGCGGTGTCGATTTGTAGTCGATGGGCAGGTTGAGGCGCGAGGAAGGAGAGGCGGCGGTAGAGTAACCCCGACGGGTTCGGGGTATTAGTCTGGGTAGACGGAGGGAGGCCATCGTGATGAATGGAGGTACAGTGGTGGGCTCGATAGTGGGAGAAGAACCATGCTGAACAAGGGGGAGGTTTCCCCCCTGGGTTTATCAAGGAAATGGAAGCATTGCCTTTCATCATGCGGGGAATGCGCCCCGAGCCCCGTGGATAACCGGGGTTCGCAGCCTGAGTGCCTAGGTGCCTGGATGCCTGCCGCTCGGCTGACTCAGAAATTGCCGTTTCGGGCCTAGCCATTGGTTTCCCTATTGGGTCAAGCGGGACTATACTCCGTATTTGCTCTCTTTTTCCTTCATCGTGGATACTTCACTTGCTAAAGCTTCATTTGGATTGTTGGTACCCTGACAGAACTTGTGAACTCCCCAGTATCACACGTCACTTACTCCCTGCGATCCCCTCATCATCCGCTCCAGCATATACGCCCTCGCTCTCTCCACCTGCTCCTCCACATCTATATCCCACAGCCAATGCAAACGCTCTTGCAGGGCTAATTTGAACTTCATTTCATCTGCTCCAACACCATCCAGACATAGACTCAATAGGTAAGCACTCTGCTTACTGGTCTCGACCACCTTCTGACTGCGGGGTCGGCGAATCGCATCATAGGCTTGAAACGCAGCGATGGCGTCTTCCACTCGAACGACCCGAGCATCCCCCAGGAGCTCCGCAAGAACGTGAGAGTCCTCGATTGCCTGGCCTGCTCCAGCCCCCTGATGCGGCGTGCAGGAATGTGCTGCATCCCCCATAATGGCCACTCGCGACCGAACAAAGGTGGAGATAGGGGTCTGCTCGAAGATGGCCCATTGAGAAGTGTCAGGCATGTGCTTACCAGATTTAGCGAAACGTCATGCAAAATTTGGAGCTGACTAGAACAATACCTGGAGTAGACCATCAACACTTCCACCCATGACTGGTCTAAGGTCTTTGATCATATCAGACTTGCTCGCAGGACGAATCCAGGTTTCGCTATCCCACTTGTCACCGAAAGTATAGAAGGCAGCGTTGACTTTCTTAGCTCGGGCAATCGGATACGTGATGCCATAGGCACCTTGCCCCAAATACATGCTCGACACACGGGCACGGTGATCGCCAACCGCTTTGACCATTGTCTCCATGTCCAGCACTGCACGGTACCCGTACATGCCGCTATAGCGTGGCAAGCTGTGCTGGTACTCCTCGGGGACCACAAACTCTTTCACAGTCGAACGAATACCGTCGCATCCGACAACCACATCTGCAGTAGCCGAAGTACCATCCTCAAAGAGGAGATCGACGCCGGTTGGAGTTTCAGAGAGACTGACCAACCTCTTTCCAAAGTTGGCAATTTCTGGTGGTATAAGACTAACCAGCGCATCCAGAAAATCAGCCCTCCGCACCGTCGTTTGTCCAGACGGTAGAGCTTTGAGATCTAGCAGTACTTCTCCTGCCTTATCGCCTGTCGCCCAGATGACCTCAAACCAGGTCTGCTGAAATCGCTCGTATCCCGGACTGTCCGCATGGGTGGTGATAAGAGAATCATAGAGTTCGCGAATTTGCGGATCGATCAGGGGCATAGCGCGGTGGGCAGCAGGGCCGATAGTCACCCCCAACCCGATCTCCTTGAACGCCGGAGCAGATTCATAGATGCGAACTGGCACGCCGCGCCTGAGCAATCCGGCGACCAAGGTTAGGCCCCCAATCCCCCCGCCAACAATGGCGACGGTGAACTCTTTTACCGGTCGCACGGAGGGCATACCGCAGATATCGCTCGATAATGGAAGATACGACAGTTTCTGGCGCTGTGAGAGTGTGGAGTTCTCTAGTTGCCTGTCTCGTGAAGAACGTGCAGTGGAATACAAGCAACTTCAGCGCAATGGTCAGTGACAGATCAGAGCTTCATTCCAGAATCAGTAACCTCGTCGAGGCTCTTATCCTGCGGGTTCCGGTTTTTTCCTATCAGGCGTCCAGGCGGACGACGGTGAAAGTCATCGAGCTGGCTGACTGCCTTGGTTCTGCATTCGTATTGGACTGCTGCCAGTCGAGCCGCGCTACCCCTCTTCAACGGGTTGGCAATGTCGATCTTTTGCTGCAAGCATCTCAAGCAAGAACCATCGGCTCCGCCCAGAGACTCAAATTGTCGACTTCGGTTAGGTGTGTCTGGAATAAAGTCCCAGTGAACTCAGTCGTGGTTATCCGGCGTGCTCAATTTACCGCCAGTGCATCAATGCTTGTCTGCAAAGAGCTAGTAACGCATCCAAGATTGTATTGGAATGAGGGTATCATATGTACAGATTCAAGACAATATATACAAAACGAAACAGCGCCGAGTTCTGTCACATCCGACATTTATCTGCGCCAAGCAGCATAGCATTGGAATCGGTCTTGCCGCTCAAACAGGCGCTTCGCTGTCGCTAAAGGCAACCAATTGGTACTCACTGGACCGGGAACGACATCGACGGAAATACTGGCCCCAGCCACAGCACGTATACAGACCGACGAACAAACCGACTCCACTCATGACAAAAGCCATGACGATGATCCAGTATTGAGGGTTAATAACCTGCTCGAAACTGCCACCCTGCTCGCGCTGGAGTAACTCGGTGATGCCGAGTACATTTCCATCGGAGTCTAATGCCGCCAGCCGAAACAGTGGAAGCTCGAGGTTGGGTATCTCGATCTCGGTCTCGAAGCTATCTTTCGGGAATTGAGCCACGACCCGAAATGAGTTGTCGTGAACGTCGTCCGTTTCCCAGACCTCCAGTCGCCACGCCACGACTTCCGTCGCACCATTCCAGCTCACATACACACGGTCTCCTAGCACCTCGGCATCCGGGACCGTCTGCGGTCGGCCAACCCAGGTACCTTTGAAGGCACGGTAGGACACTACCCGTCCGAACCCAAAAAAGGCTGAGGCACCGAAATGGGTGTTGCATAGCAATTGTCCGTCGGCGCTGAACTCGCTAAATGCAGCACTGTGGCCCCACTCGACGAGTACGCGGCCGCTGTCATCCAGCATCTGGACGTTGCCCTGCGATACTGACAACATCTGTTGAGGGTGATGGTACGCGGCGCGCAGTGACGCCTCGCGAGCGGCAACGTTAAGCTCGATAGCCATGCCGCGACTTTCATTCTCTGGGTCATTACTCGAATGCCTTGCATTATCAAAAAGGGTCAAGGTATTGTTGGCGTGCCAGCGCGCATCATGTTGCCATGCAAAATTCGTTGCTTTCCCATCCGAAAGGTCGCGGAACTCATTGAGTTTGCCACCCAGGGTCCACAACACCTGACCATTGTTCTTGTCAATGCAGCTCACGGTATGGGTATGTCGTGCTGAAACGATATAGTTGCCATTGTCATCCTTATCGACGCTGTTGATATGGTAGAAGTCGAAGGCAAAGCTGCGCAGTCTTCCCGACTTGCCTAGTTTCTCATAAGTGATGCTGATGGGGTAGTGTTCTGATGCGCGCCATTCAAAGATGAGTTCGCCCGTGGCAATATCGATTTCCTGAAAGACACCGTCATATATCCAACCCAACTCAGGACCCCCGATGGAAGTTAGATCGGCCGGCAGCGGGTCATAAATCGTCACAAGAGCCGTTCCTTCGGGAGTGATGTTAAATTCGTGGAGATCGCCGCCATGATTTCCGACAGGAGAGATCACATATCGTTGGGTATATGTCGAATCCAGCTGAGGCCAATCAGTACCTCATACCATGCTACTTCATCGGATGTCACCTACCATATACCAGGCTCCATAGCCCCGACCTTCGGTCTCACCTCCCTCCCAGTAGGTCAGATAATCAGTGTCCTGATACCGCTGGACCTTGAAGTCTTGAGTCACATCCCAATTATACTTCATCCAGACCAGCTCCCCCTTAGAGTCGAGGATCATCGGTCCCGGTTGGGCAACCGAGTCTCCTCGGGGGGCAAAAAAGGTGTACCGCGAGTCGCAGCCCGACTCCCATTCGGAAATCTGTACCGCGGGAGACTCATATTCGAAGGAAACATAGCTCCTCGAGGGGCCAAAGCCGTACAATCCCAGATCATACCAACTCAAGTCTGTGCGAAGCTGCAGGCGATGCAGCTGGGGTACGGCGAATGTATAAAAGAGATAGCAGAGACTGATTACGGCGCCAACCGTGACGACATGGAGAAAGGAGAGCCGCGAGCGCAAGCGACTGGCGCAAGAGTGAGTCCTAGTCCACGAGGACATTTGAACATTGCGGACAGGCAGAGCAACGATAGCAGTCCAAGGGAAAATCAAGGAAGGGGATCGGATCTGGGGTCGCTCGGGATAAAAGGAACTATCTGGGAAGATAGCGTTGTGGGAACCAACGGTACGGCACCAGCTCGGCCATCATGTCATCAATTTTTCCCAGCATGCGGAGTAACAGGGAGAATAAGAACTATCGCCCCGGTTGAGTTAACCGTTCAGGAGAGAGTGGCTCCCACCCCGAAACGGAAGCCAAAGCGCCCCATCCACGCGGCGTCGAACCGATCCATAGAAGCCGATGTCCATCGCAGCGGAGGTCAACGTCGACGCGAACCGCCTATGGCCGGCCATGATTGGCTTCCGGGGCCATTCTCCAGCTGTGCCAAGACAGCCACCGTGGATCGAGGAGAGCGCGGGCCCACCCTGGCCGGTCATCCATTCTCCCTCTCGCCCCTGTGCTACTGCTCAGTCCTGAGTGCACCACTGCGACGGTCTGGCAAGTGGAAATTTATTTTCCCCCACTGCGTGGCGGTGCCAGCCCCGTCGCTGCGAGCAAGGATTCATTTCGCGTCTTACTTGGCACTGCAGCGACCATCTACTTACTTGCTTGGATGGCCATTGGCCTAGAGGCCGGGCCGGCGCGCATGAGGACGACACAACGCTTCGGCTACAATATGGAAAGCGAGGAAGTTCGACATGCCTTTATCCGGTAGTATTATCTGATCTGTGGCGGATGATATCCGGATGGCCTGCGTGAGCTGTGACGACTGATAACTCCGCCGCTGACAGCCACTCGGACCCGCCCGCGTCGTCATCCACCGCACTAATCTTGAACTTTACTCGATTCCAAGGTAATATTCGGCACCAGGCACGTCAAATTCAAAGGGGTCCAGGCGCTTCCAGAAGGCGCACTTTCGACGTGTGAAACTGCATTTTTAGTTTCTTTGCAAGTACGCGTGTACAGACTCCTAGACAGAGTAATGTGAAACAGGGGAGCCGTCTGGAAGATCACTGCCAGACTACTATGTATTATTCGGATTCATCATCGCCATGCGGGTGAAACCAGTCGACCCTCCACTAGTCAGTCCGGTTACTGATTGGCCGGAGATTGACGGTGGGGCAGCACGTGTGATGAGGTCTCGGCAAGTGGCTCTTCTCCAATCAGATAGGGGTCAGCACTCTATCCCCAATGAACGCAGAGCTGCCATATTGATTCTGTCAAAGCATGATGCCATTCACTGCGAAGGAATCCTACTGGGGGTGCAAGCGACCAATCCCGGAGGAAGCGGACAATGAAGAACGGAGCACAATATGATGGTTGTGGCTGCTCATGGATTCGGAGAAACACCCTTGAGAGTCGATTCCTGGCACAAGCGCCGTTTCCGAGTCCCTTCTTGTGTCTCAGTAGTTGTACTTCCTGTACGAACCGCAGATGATACCATCTAATTGCATGGCACCAAGAACCTGCTTGACTGATGAGGGCAGGCATACGACAGGGCAGTACCAACCGGCATCTCAGGATCCGGCCAAGCCAGCCATTGATTGCGAGCTAACAAGTCAGCACAGGATCTCGTTAGGCAGAAAGAATATTGAATCGCCGCCCCCAGCGTTCCCCATACGCGACCATGGCCACCAGCGGTGCTGCGGTGACGCCATCAGACTAAGTCCACACAGCGTGGCATCGCGCGATGTATCTTCTTTTAAGTTTAACCTCCCAGGATTCAATGTCTGGGTTCAAACTCCATGCTGTGTGATCTGTCAGTGTCCGACTCCCCAATACACCTGGCTCGAACTAGCGTCGATACGGTAATCTCTCCCGATGCGGGACCCCGAGGGGATTTCGGCCGAGGGCTTTGTCCCAGCACCCCAGGGACTTTGCGAGACTGTCAGCGCCACTAGTACTAGAAGCAGTAGCCGAGGTGAGAGTAAGCCACCGGTACAGGATCTCACCAGTTACCCCATGTTGTAGATAGCGTGCGTCAGTCCCTTTACCGGCATGCGTTAATCGATGCTAGCCTGAGTGTCTCTACGTGGGTGAGTGGAGACTTGCCTTAACTAGGGAACAATTCCCGATGTCTCGAGGCGTCGATGAGTCTATCAGTCCATAGGATGATGAGATCAGATTCTGGGTGTGATTGATATCGGCTGCGTGTTATCTGTCTCGGCTTTCCTACTTTGTCTTCATGGCCCGAAAAATAAGCGTTGTCTTGGCAGGCAACACCGCTTATATCTATGCTTTCCTACTAACGTGCTCTCATCCTTTGGGGGATAGGATTGGCCCGGAAAGAAATTATCGGGTGGAGACCGAGACCCGATGGATCCAATTGACCTAACAACATTACTTCCAAGCCGGGAAGTTTTCCGTCGATGCTCAGAAGTAGTAATTCTAGGCAGACGAGATATGTGATATGCGATTTGGTTATCGACTGGATGTCCTACTGACGTAAATTGTTCTTTCATGGGATAGCTTATCGTGATATTTTATCGGATTAAGATCTGGCATGTTCTCTGGCTAATGCAAAGCTGCCAAGATACTACCATTACCTATTAGTGAGATGAGATTGAACATGCACGTTGTGGCTGGCTGATCGTTGCACTTCTTGGTTTTCCTGGGTATCTTACTCTCCTTGCTCGCGGCGATTATTTTGGCCTTCACCCCTGAAACAAAGCACGGCATATCCCTTCATCGCAAGTGTTCTCGTGCCATCTGTTCTGTGCTATTTATAGGGGCAACATGCTCTAGCACTACTCCGTAGTGTCAAATAACCCCCCCGGCTAAATGTGATCATCGCTTAAAGATCTCAACTATGGCCAGTTCTCCACACATCATCTGCTGCTCTGTACTCCATCGTCTCGAGGCTATTCCTTGAGCAAAATCCTCGTCAGTATCGCAATCATGTTCACTCGAGTCCATTAGCTTTTCAGTTCGGTGGCGACTATGAGCTTCCTGTGCCCCCCGAACTCTCTGCTGACACCGAGCATCGGAAAGTCAGCACTCAACTGGCCAATAAGTTGTTAAGGATGTGCAGGGATGAGCATACATCTAATTCCTTGCAGATTTGACTGCGTACACTTGGCTATCATATCTATTCAGACCTCGCAAGTCAATAACGGTCTTCTCACTCTTCAACCCAGTCTTCTCCATAATTTAAGATTACGGGATCGGCGACTGGCTGATCCATCTTGGTCCACCAGGCCACGGGGAACATCCCTTCCCCTTTATCGTTTCAATGGGGGTCATGTCGGGAACCGCTCACGAACACGCTTCCAAAATATACCTGAGTCCCAGACCACCCAGCACGATTCCTGAATGGGTGGTCTGGATGAATTTGGTTGACATGACTTGAGGTGTTTATTTATTATATAACTCTGGGAAAGAAAAAGAAAAACATACAACAGATACTGTATGTCGGTGGTCACCGTGCGCCCCAGATGACCCGTCGCCGCTTTATTCAGTCATCTTCAGGTCAATTCGGGAGCGCTGTCAGCATCCTGAGTAGACCTCTTTAAAAGGTGCTCCGCTACTTGATGTACTAACTAGGTAGCCTAGCTAACCAAGTATAAAACTTAATCTTATCCTCTCCCATCAGAATCTGTATTATCTATTCTACTTATTTTAGCTCTACTTTTCCTGCAGGGAGTTATACTATTAACATAGCAATAAAATGAGTACAGTCAATCTTTTATCAGCCAGTTAATCTCAATAACTATGATAACTCAGTAACTAAACATACAATACTTGATCAGACAAAGAACACTTATAACAAGATTTTAGAGAAGTTTAACATGTACAAAAACCTTCCTTTCCAAATAATTTTACTTATAAAATTTAGCTTTCTTAAGTTGCATCCCAAAGCCTCATTTCTACTTAATATTAAAATCTATAAAAGATTTATAAAATTTATGAGTAAGAATACTACAGGTTAGCTTAGAGAATATCCTATATTTAAAATAATAGAGAGTTTCTGCTGGAATTTTAAGGCTGCAGTCCTTCTACGCTATAATTATAAAATACTAAATCATATATCCATAATAATTAAAAAGTAGATTATGAAAGATCTTAAAATAATTATTAATCTTTATAAAAAGAAAATAAATAAAGATTTTATTTTATTTAATAATCTTATAATTTTTTTAATACAGTTCTGGTACTATAATTATAAAAAATATCACAGAAAATTTTTTAACCAATCAAGAGTCCAGTTTAGCGCTTTTATATTATTATACTATTTTATATTAGTAAGGTCTAGAAAAGTATATAAATCTATAGCTTATTAAGAATTATCGCGGAAGAAGACCGGCTCAAATTTAATTAATAATATTGAAACACGCGCTTTAGTAGTATATTATAAAATATTTTTTTCTAATTAAGTATTTATCTAATTTACTAATCAAGTAATATTTCATACTTACTATTAAATAAATTAATAGTATTAAGATGCTGGTTCTCACGTATACTCAAGCTTATATAAAAAGATTTTTAAAAAAAAAAAAATAGTAACTCTCTATTTATAGCTTCTATAAAATATATAAGAAAAATATACTTCTATTTTTCAATATTTTAGTATTTTTTTTATTATTAATATATATAGATTATACTTTTTAGGATTACAAGTATATTAGTAAGGTCTTAGATATAACTAAAAATTTATAAAATAATAGAAACGAGAAAATTATTACTATACTTAAGTTTAAACTAGAGATTTTAGATATATTTATATTTTAACTATATAATAAATAAGTAATTAAAGACTTTACAGAAAGATTTCACGAAATAAATTTTTTTAATAAAAAATTTACAGACCTTGATTATTACTCTAGTTATAAGTGAAATATTACTACCTATATCTATCACTAATAAGTACTTATGGAGACTGGTAAGATATTTTAATATAATTTATATTCTTATTAATATATATATCTATATAGATAAATATTATTCAGAAATTACTAGAATAAAATTTACAGGCCATATCTATAAAAATATATTTAGTAAATTATATATATACCCTCTTTTTAAAATAAATGGACTAGCTAATTACCTTAATATCCTAAATTACTATAAATATATACAGAACTAGCGCAGTATAGACATATACTAATATCTATAGTTATAGTAATTACTACTAGTTAAGGCAGAGTTTAAGTTCCAAGCACGATATGATATTCTTAAACTTAATTATTAGATGTAGTTTCTTGCTAATAAGCTAGATAAATTCTAAGCTTTAATTATTAAATAAAAAGTTCAGATAAAATAATACTAAATATATAATTAAAAATAAGAATTTTATTTATAAGAGCTCTGAAAGTTGCAGCAAATCTAAAGAAAAACATTAATTTTATTACTAGAT